CACAGCAGTGAAAATGCATTGCAATCACAACAAACTATTCCATTTTGTTACAGACTGCAGTATGCCTGTAACAGACAGTAGTACAAATGAATTAAAATATATTGATTGTAAAGAAAATTAAATGCAAACTATTTAAAACGCAATTGATTAGATGTAATGAAACTCTGCAGACACAATTGCAGAGCTGGCAAACCTAAATCCAAAGAAAACCATCCCCCCTCTCTAGAAGTGCAGAGGACCTGGCTCCTAACCTTGGATTTAAACTTGAAGCTTGACAAACAATATTTCTCCTGCAATCCAGACAGGTGGCAGTCCCATCGCAGCGCATTCACCAGCATTACCACTCTCCTCATTTAGACTTTACATCAAGTCTGTGTGAGCCCTGGCTTGAAATCAGATTCTTGCTGTCTATAAGCAAAGACAAAGGCTAAAGCTTATTTATTAACACTCGTTATAAAGAAAGAAAGGCATTACATAAAGGACCACTGTTCGTTTGGATTGCACAGTGTTTTACAGGGACATGTGATACAGTGGAGGACTATTTATATGTGTGTTTGAACGTAACTGTGGATTACCTAAAACAGTTCTTATCCTCAACAGATTGACACTGCTAACAAGGTACAGAAAAACAATTTTACAATAGCAGAAAGTAACAACACTGTTTTGTTTGTGGGTACACAAAAGGACTGAAGAGTATAATTTTACTCTCTTAGACCAAATGAAGTCCTAAATTGGAAAAGCAGCTCCATCCAAGGTCGTCTCTGTTGCTTCCAAAAATATCTTGAAACAAACGCAAGAGGGGCACTTTGTTGGGTGTTATCTCGACATATATAGTTTCAATCAAATTCTTCAAGAAGTGTCAGAATAAAAGTCGAACATTTGTTTGACGCTGCTGAGCCCCTGGGAAGTGAATCCCTTCAAAGGTTGGAAATAACTTTGATTACAGCATTAAGAATTATAGATCATTGGGGTTTGTTTGTTTGTTTGTTACGCTTTAAAAAAAGCCATATATATTTAGGATGGAATTGTAAACACTTTTTAGAAACTTCATAAAACGATTGTATAATTCTTTCCGCTGCACGAGGCAAAGTGTTACAAGGTTGTGTTAATGATCTCAGGAAAATATTTATAGTGCTTTTTCCAGTGTAAGAGTTCTCTCTTCCCCTCTCATTACATTTTATGATCAACCTTCATTTCACTCAATTACATCAACAAGCAGGAAAGAACCTTCAGTATCCACAGATTTTAAAGTGATGCATTTCACGTACAAATGTTTGAAGTACAGAGTGGTAAATGCAAAACACGAAAGGAATAGCAAATAATAACAACCCATTGTGAAGTACAGCATGCTGCAGCTCTTTACCAGAAGAATTCAGATTATGCTCTTGTTTTCAGCTGTAGAAGTTATTTTTCTTAAGGAGATCTGAGATGGTGATGCCATGGTCAGTACCCACGAAATAACAAATGCTCAGTTTTCCTTACTAACCTCTGGACGTGAAGCACATCTCCCAGCGTTCCCTGACTCCCTCCTGCAGATACCTGAGTGGTCTCATCAGCCTACATAGAATGAAAATGAAGCAGAGAAATCCTTTAGGACAAAAGATGCAGTGTAAATGTAAAGTATCAGTGAAACAGGTTGTCTGTGGGTGACTTTCAGTGTTCTGATACAGTTCTGTTTTCTTTTAAATAAGCTCTAAAAACACAGCAAGCTTCAAAACATGGAATAAGGGAGGTGGGTACAGCATTTCATAAATACTCTAAAAAATTCCGAGTTTCTGAATGCTGCAGTCCACAGGATGCTGCCTCAGAGAAACACATCATTGAGATGGTGGTTGAGATGCAAATGCAACATTTTCACATGATGCATAATTTTTAGATATTCAACTTTTAGGGTTTCAAATTAAAAGAAATCATTTTGTGCTTTTGGTAATTTGTCATGAATGGTTCTGAGATTGATGTGCTGACTCCAGAGAAATGCCCCTTAGCTTTAGCTTATTTGCCAGAATAACTGTGTCAACCACATAAATTGTATCCATCACATTGTACAGACCTTAAAGTTTTGACTGGTATTCCAAAAAACAGTAATCCATTTATAAAATTGCATTCAAATTTTTAACTGCAGAAAACCTTAATCGAGATTTTTTTTTCAGTATAAGACAGTTGTAAAATTTATCAGGAAGATATTATGAGATTAAGTCCTCTATTATTTCCCTTAGGTGGTTATTCTTTGTATAAGGTGCATGCCTTTATACTTTTCTTGTTGCTTCCTAAGTGCCAGGCATATTTTTTATTCCATTCCAGGGGAAAGAAGCAGGAATAAGGAGAACGAGTAAGAAGCAGAATTAAAAAATTTACCTTTGAAAAAGGGTCAGATCCCATTTTCCATGCTCCAACCAACTTCATTTTTTTCTGGTGTAAGCAAAATGTGCAGGATTTGGCTTTCTCCTGTTTCAAAAGTTGGCCTAATTAAGCACTTACTGGAATAAAATTTAGAAGCTTAAAAATGAAACGTCATTCTGTAATGATAGAGAGGACTGAAGCAGAGCAATAGACGTTGGCTTTTGTGGAACCACCTGCAGGAAAAGAACTCCAGCTCCTGGCATTTAGCAAATGCCGTTGCGTGTGTCCTGATTTGCAGAAATGTACTTGTCTCAAAATGATGAGGAATGGAGATAGGATAAAAAGGTTAAAATACACTTCTTATCCTTATAACAAATATAAAGAATGTTGTTAAGTACAAGGTGATGTGGTATATTAAATGTTGTAAGTACTCCAACATGAGATCGAGCAAGACAGCCTCTCACAGATGTCTAAAAAAAATCAGAGCGTAGTGGATTATGGTGGTGCTGAGAAACACACAAACACTTAATTCTTGTTGTAAATTAAATGCTTCTAATGGAACATTGATTTGCTTTGGGCAAAAGTTGTTAATTTTAAGATAATGATGGTTCTTCTTTTTCTATCTGTCACACAAATCTGATCCTGGCCCTTTAATTTCCACTTGTTCCATCAGGAGGAAGAGCTAAATCCAGCAGACCTTATTTTGGCAAAACTCCCACTGAAGTCAGTGAGGGTTTTGTGAGAGTATGGACTGCATGATTTGTCTCACAGTTCCTGCTGATTACTTGGAGTGTGATTGCTCCCCGCCTCAAGCACCACAGCTCCTCGCTGAGTCTGACATTCCCGCAGCACAGGGCTGACAGCACTTTCCCTCTGTAAATTGGGAGCGTGAAAAGCAGAGTAATGCAATTGTGAAAAATACCCTTTTCACCCAGTGACCTTCAAAGAAACGGACTGCCTTGGGAGTTCTGAGACTGCCACTGCAGAGTCAACAGTACAGAAGCACTTGAGAATTTAAAGAACCTATTTTAAATTCATGCCGAGAATTTAAAGAACTCTTTAAACAATCTGAAAATGGGTCAAATTGCAACTGTTAGAAAACATCTCATCAATCGGGTGATGCCCATGAAGTTGATACCTTATGTTAAAGTCGTGATTCATGTAATGTTTCCTCGCTGCAACGCTGCTGTATCCCTGCAAATTTTAATTGTTTCCATTGCAGGTTACGATAGAGAAAGGCAGCCAAAGAGTTAACAGCATCCCATCAGCAGGAGACCTACTGCCACAAAAGATAACGTAGGGCAAACGTTGAGAACTAGCTCTTTGTCTCTTTCACTTAAATCTGAGCAAATACAGCACCAATGGGAGAAAGCAGATCTGCATGCTTCCACGTGGTCCTCATCCCTGAGCAAGATGATGGAGTAAGTTTCCCACACTGCGCTGTGGCAGTGTGTTATGACCTCTCTCCCAAGGTGACACCTTTTGGATAACAGCACTCAGTCTCTGCTGTCTTCCAGTCATGTTTGTCTGCCTTCTTGTGGAAGCTCACTCCAGGCTCACCAGACGCTGCCAGAGTGGTGATTTAGGAATTCAGAATGCTCCTGCCAAATTGCTCTGCTTCCATCACTTGCTGAGGACAGCGGCCAGGTAGCTAATGGTGAACTTTGAGTCACTGTTGATCTGGGCCAGACGTGAAATAGTGATGTAAAGAGAAAAAGCTCTCCAAATTCCAGTTCCTGAACCAGCAAGTCATTTTGGAGAACGGTTTTTGTGTTGCTTGTTGGCTACTTCATTCATTCTTATTGATCAGAAAATGCCCATCATAAGCACGTTGTCTAAGCTCTGAACTGTTAAACACTCTTGCTGTATTGTATTTTGTATCAGAGATCAATATCTTATCTGTACAAAAGCCTTATCAAGAAAGCTCTGGAAATCTGTATATTTAAACACAGTAAAATACAACAGCAGGACTTCTATGTTTGCGGGCAACTATACTACAAAAGTAGTAATACCTGTGTGTGTATAAAGGGTATCTGGGTCACTTAAGGAAGTATAGGAACACTTACTTTACTTTCTGTAGTTCATATGGAAGTTACATGGTAGCATAAATGAAACAATCTCATATTCAGATGATAAAATGGCTCTTTATGTAACATGGTAGACGTACTGTTCCCTCATTTCTGATGCCAATTTCATCTCCTAGGCCCACCTGGAGCTTTCCTGTGGCTCTAGGGACAGTTGGTGTTAATATGAGTAAATAATGTAAAGCTGCACAATGCCACCTGGAAAACCTTCTCATCCAGTTCTGGATAAAGATGAGGAGAACCCTATTGAAGCAAAGTAATCAGTTGTTCATGAGTGACTGCTCCAATCAGCGTTCTAACTGGAAGAAATTTGGTAAGTGCAGAGACCCCACATTTAGCTATGCACATTTTTTTATTTATTTGGGCCTTTGCCAAGAGAAGGCAGCTATTTTTTCATATTGTATGTTTAATCTTATTAACTAGCTAGATTAAATTAATAAAGTAAAAAATATATACATACATACACACACACAAACGGAATAAGATTTTCCTTACAATTTAGGAAGTAAAACTGCAAAACTCAGTCGAAGATTTTTGAATGCTCCCTTCAACTCACAAACCACATAGAAAAGCCAGTGAGCAGAAACCATTAAGGTGCATTTATTAAACATCCACTTATATAAAAGCTAAAAATAGCTTTTGAGTTTTTCCAGTTTTCTTTTCATAACAGTCATTATGATTTTCTGCTTCATCTCAGAAAGTAATTTTGCTGCTGCTGTAGTGTATAATCTCTGTGCCCTTTCTCGGTGCTGTACAAATGACAGAGAGCTAATCAGATCAGAGCAACAATCACGTCATCATTGAGTAACCAGCAATAAACTGTTTTTACAAGGAAGAAAGATGAACTATTTTTAGGGTAACTGAACAGAAAAACAGAAACGGTTATACTCAGTCTTACCCTACATCATTGCTATGAATTTCAAAAGCATTACTTTTTCCTGGGCAGCAGACTAATCGCTGCAATAAATCTTTGTATAAATGGTCTAGTCAAATAGGGTTTTTAGGGATTTGTTATAAAATTTTGAGGTATACAAAATGACCTTTCTCCCTGTCCTGGTGCCTTTGAATCGCAGGCAGTCCTCCAGCTCTGATCATTGAGTAACCTAAATGCCCAGGGAAGAGGCTGCTGGTGGCAATGCAGCACCTTCTTCCCACTTAACTGCCAGTGTCCTACACAACATCCTTCCCTCCATGCTCACTGATAATGTGCTGCTTCTCCTCGTCCTGGGAAAGATCAATGTGCAGCTGTTGAGAAAAACTATCTTCAGCTATTCGGCAGTGTGGGAGGGCTTGCATGAGGATGTCCTGAGTATCTATGGACATGGTGCTCCTTAGGCGGACAGTGGGATTCAGAACCTTTTGGGGACATCTGAAATAAACGTGATTAAATGACCCTGAGCTTTTCAAACCATTCTCCTGTGGCCCAGCCAGAAACTTGTCAGTAAGAATTTACTTTCTATTACTTCTTAAACCTATGAAATATGGAAAATAACATTCAGTCAAAATTTAGTCACTGAATTTTATTCAAGTTCTGTTAGTAAATATACTTAATGTAAAGACAAACTAGGAACTATACAGTTACCAAACCCTCCTTTGACAGAGAAAATAGCAGATCTCTTAATTAGGTGTCAGAGAAGGCTAAATCATTTCTTGTGTCCAAATTACATCTGAAAAAATAAACTATTAGTGAAAAAATCCATTCTTATTTAGGCAAGAAAAATAATAATAAAAAAAAAATCAATAAACCAAGAGACTACAGAAGAACAGCAGGAGCTCTCATCACCCAGACTTATCTCTCTGCTTCTGGTCTTTTGATTGTGACTAAGAGGCGCTCATCAGAAATGATGAAGCGTGAGGGACAGTTTCAAGCCTCATCTGCATTCCTCTTACCTTGGGTTAGCTGTGGGTCTCATGATGCAATTTTTAGGGCCATGACAGTTGCCTGTGGCCCACAGGTCAAAGCCTGAGTACAAGGGAGCCTTGCATATCTGTTCTGCATACCCTACCATACGCAGGAGCCGCTGTGCCATATTTACATTCACCAATAACCCTCCACCCCTGGTACGTCGCTCTTTGGCTGGCACAACCATGCTGCACAAGCAGAACAGCAATATATCTTCAATAGGGAAAGGTTTTAGTGGACCACAGTTAACACTTTCCCATGGACAGCTAAGAAAAATTAGAAAAAGGTATATGTTTCTATATGCAAGAAATAACCACTTGTTAAAACAAGAGATAATGGAATGAGCTCAGAATCCAAGTAATTGTTCTCAGAACCTAGTCCTGACGCTAGTGCAATGAACTGTCTCCTGGAAGCACAATCAGTTTAATTGAACCGTGCAAAGAAAGTATGAGTAGGAGTGTGCAAGCAAGGTCTGTGCAGCTCAGAGTGAAAATGGCTCCATTCTTGCCAGTCACACTACATGAATAAAGACAATGGGGAAGGAGAGGGCCAAGCCGGGAGGTCCACAATTATACAATATCAAGTACCAGACCTTGCAAAAATATAACCATAGTGATACAGAATAAGGAGCAGAGCAATTACGTAAGTTTTCTGTGACCCTGGAAAAGGGTTTGTTTTCCTTTGATCTCTCTGCAGATGCATGCCATTCCCAGCCTTCTAAAACAAAGATTTATGATGAGGTTCACCCCAGCACAGATCTCATAACAGATCTTCCTACCTATGTTTTGTGGTTACTTAAACAATGGACGAACAACTTCATAGTTTAAGTGCACTTTATCCATCAGAAACAGATAATGTACAACAAATTTATATAGAAATGATGAAAGCAACAAAGAGGTTACCTTTGAGAAGCACACCCACAGTCTTCTTACTTGATGGTGATATAAAGAAGGAAGAGTTCATAGTACAAGTCTGTCTTTACCTGCTTCCTGGATGACTTGACCAATGGCTGTTTGATTTTGTTGTTTTAGAAAACATTCTCTCTTACATTCCATTAACTGCTCAAAATCCTGCCACATTTTAATTTGCTTCATATTAGGCCCGTGACTTTCCCTTACAACCTTCTGCTTCTCTCGTAATTTCTGTTAAAAAATATATATATATATATTTGATTGCTGAAACAGTTTATGTCCAAAAATTGCTTACACAGGCAATGGAGCGACAAAAGAACGATAAGGATTTTTACAAGCTACTGAAATATTATTATTACATTTTGTTCAAATTAGTAACACTCCTTGCAAGGGATAAATGAATCAGCACTGGGGATTTAGGCATCTGCTTTGTATGGATGAACAATTGCTTCGAAGTTTTAAAACCGTCTTGTATATTTGAGAAGTTATGCTAAAATCTGAGTTTATTTCCACTGAGCTCTTACAGTCTCAAGTAGCAGCCTGCAACGCATTCATATGATCATCTTATAAACATGACATAATGCTGTACAATGAAACTCGCTATTGATCATAATAGCGACAGCCCAGACCTGTAAAAATCACTCACACTGACTCATAAAAAGGAAACCAATAAAAGAAAGATGCTTAGTGTGAATGGTACATCTGACCTCTTCTGTGCTGATCTGAGCTTTGTACAAGATTAAGAAGTGGACAACTGCTTTTGTTTAGCACTGGTACAATGATGATCCCTTGGCCTTTAATAACAGCGATAAGGATGACAGGCCCAAAATTTATTGTCATCAACAGGTTGCTTTATATACAACATCAAATTTGAGCTGGCACAGTTTGTCATGTCCATGTTTCAGTTTCTTATCCAAATGGTTTACTGGGAATGTGCTGTCACGTTAAGCTGTTTGACTATCTTTTACAAGCGGCTCATGCTATACTCTGCAGGAAATCAAGCCCTGAAGAGCTAGCATGATCTCTTCTCAGGGTATTAATTACCATTGCCAGCAGTAATGGAATTTTCTTTGTAGGCTGCAATATGCTTTTTATAAAGGACTGACCACAGCCTTTGATAGTAAGCTCCACAAAAATGAATGCTACAATTTTTATTTTTATTTTTTTTTAAAGGTAAAAACCTCATTCTTACCTTCCCAAGGTTTTCTTGTTCAAGGATCATTCGTGTATACTGTTCTCTAAAGGAAATATATAACAAGTTTATTATGAATTTTGTCGCTTTCTTTATAGTATGACAGAATAATGATTAAAGCATAAGAAATTCTGATCGTATCAGAAGGCTCATAAATGAGGTAAATCAGAAGAGGAAACACATAGAAACATTTCTGTCATTAGACAACACATCCCACGACATCAGGGATCAGCTCACTCTGATTCTCTCAGGCGTGCAGTTGGCAAAAGCAATACTGGATAAGATCTCTTACATTTTTGAAGCACGCATAATTATTGCTGCATCAAAGTTGAAGACAACAGCAAGAATTTTTAGATGGTTGTATTCTGAACTTAGCCAGGAGCCTACTTTCTACAAGCATCAAAGTTTACAAATACACAACCCTTAAAGCTGCAAATGTAGTGTTAGAATGAGTGGGAAAATACAGGAATGAGAAAGAATAGTATTTCAAATCCAGTTGCTGCAAAGGAACCGCCGTGCATTCCTCACTTTCAGAAAACAGCCGTCACATTTGGGTGCCTAAATATAGGTTTAGGAGCGTTAACTGTTGACATTCATTATGAAAAATCTTGGCTGTACACCTTTGTAACAGTGGCCGGATCACTTTCTGACACAGGCAAACTCAATACTTGAAACCTGACAATATAATATTACAAACCATAACAGCACAGTTCGGACACATTAAAGAACTTATTTTTAAAATGGGCAAAAATCTCTTTCTTCACCAATTTACTTGAAAAAAATAAATGCTCATATTTTGAGCGTAATGGTACAGTTAGAAGTTCAGAGTTTGCTTATGGAACATAAAATAGCTCAGTTCATATCAAGAACTTTTCAAATCACTCAGAACAGAAGAACTTCGCATAGAGAAATTCTAATTTCCAAACAGAAATATCAGCCTTCCTAAAATCAGGGTGTGAAAATTTGCTAGAGCGTAATGAGGAGCAGCACAGAACCAACGTTTCTTATATTCCTTCCATTTCCATGAGGTCCTCCACAATTTTGACCAGAGCACTTGGGCTCCAGGCCACCTGGTCCTGCCTGCCATGCTCCCCACAAAATGGATGTGCAAGGAATGCAGCTGGATCGTTTTATGATCTGTCACTCTTGGACAATTCCAGCCAGAACAAATCAGAGCAGTCTTGAGACTGCTCCAAGCACTGTGCAGACACAGCTGATCCCTAGCAATCCTCAACAAACTGGAGAGACAGAACAACACTGACTCTTATTTCCACTGGCACACAGCATATGTTCACACACATTTGGCCTTAAAAATATTTTTTTGTATAATAGAATTTTCAAAGTAATAAAATTAGATGTCTTTTGTAGTAAGCTTTTCTTTACTATTTATAATGATGACTGGAAAGAATGCAACTTGATAACTTCATTTAAAAAAAAATATTCTATTTTTAGAGAAGAAAATTAACTTTTCACATTCCTAAGAACTGACTCCACGGAACAGGGAGTTTATGTTCAAAAAAAGAGGGTTGGAATTAAGACATTTTTTGTTCAATACGTTGGTAGGAAAGTGCTGTTCTATTTATGGTTCATTTTCACTCCGTTTACATTCCAGTGCTTGCTGAAAAATACATTCACATTCTAAAGTGATGTCTAAAAACATGTTTGGGTTTAAAAAAATTTTTTTTTTTTTGGTGAAGATCCCCATATTGAGCTTTGTTGCAATTTATTCAAATGCAACTGGTCTGCAACCTTTCACACAAGGTCAGAAATGTGTATAGTCACTGTGATAGGGAGAATTTCTCTAGCTTCTGTGCCCACCATTAGCAAGCAAAGCAGGACAGCAGAGAGAGTGGTAATGCTTGCTCACATTCTCCTCACCATACCTGGAATTGCATAGCTGGACTCACCCTAAATTCCAGCACTTGGATTCAGTGGCTTGTCTGTGTGAACACTGACACTGTGGATGTTCTTGTCACAAGTGTTTGAGCTGGAGCGTTTTTTTTTTGCTTAACATTTGTGAATAAACTGAGACCCTCCCCTTCCCCACAGAGCCATAAAAGGACAGTGCCTGCTGTTTGACCCGCGTTTCCTCTCAGCTGCTTGCCCCTGCTGCCTTTCTTACTAATGAATATTCGCATCATCACTGAGCTTTTTCCTCACAACTACTTTTCTTTTGACACTTCTACTTCATTCTGTTGTTGTCCTCTTTCGTTAGAGAAATCTTTTTCAGTCCACTTCCCAATGAAGAAATTGCCTCAAGTGATGCTGGATTATATTTGCCTATTTGGATGGGGCTTTGGGCAGCCTGACCTGGTGGGAGGTATCCCCAGCTGGGGGGTTAGAACAAAATGATCTTTAAGGTCCCTTACAACCCAAAAAATCTTGTGATGCTATGTTGATTACCCACTTAGGATTGCTTCCCTAGTTGCCACCACTGCAACAGAACTGACCAGAAATTATTCTGAAAGGCAGAGGCCTAACAGGACAACTTGGGAAATTAGCTTATTCTTCCATCTCCGTTGAGAAATGATAGAGAACTAAGTTTTCTTCTTGTAACATCTGCTTAACGAATGGTCTGAAACGTTATAATGAAATGCAGAATGATTACTGTCTAAATAAGTTCTGTCTTTGCTGTGCTGCTCAGTCATGTTTTTGAACTGTTTTCTGAATGGAACAGTTTTGTGAGACATTTTGGCGTGTTGTACCAAACACTATACATGAACCACAGTTCTAACATGACAGCTTATACAGATCTCAAGTAACAGTCTGTCATGTCTCTGAAATACAAAGGCAGAAATCTAAGAAAAGGCCTCACAAAGATCGATACTGCTATGGATTTGAAGTCCATGCAATAAAGCCAACTGCAGGATTGCTCACCGATGCAGGTGGTGAAACAGAGAGGTACAGGGCAGAGCTGATTCCCCTCCTGCACTGAACTAAAAATGGGATTCTCTAGAGACTCCTTTCATACAGTAGTACCAGACAAAGAGTCTTGAAAAATCTCTCACTTTGATGCAACTGTCCTGTCAATTAAATGGAGAGTAAAGATGAAAGTTACTGTGATGGCATAGAAACCACAAAAAGGAGCAAAACAAAACCAGTTAGGGTGTGTATATTCAGTCCTGCATTTCTGCACTAGCGATGGTAACAGGCACAGCACCTGAAAGCAGATTGGCAAGGAATTGCCAGAATCTGATGGCAGCGCATGGTTGCTCTCTTTGAGAGATGGAATGTCTTCTACAAGCTGGAGTCTCGGGGCAAACTTGGCAGAGGCATTATGGTAGAGCCATGCTTCCCGTGGGACCTAGCTGAAGGATGGCTTCTCTGACCTTGTGCCAACAGGGGCTGAGAGTTAAAGCCACTATCTGGGGCCTATAATCTCCAGCAGGAGGGGAAAATCTTCTGGTATGTCTGAGAGAACTCATAGGTTTACAGCAGCATATACTGGAATTCAAGATGCTTATTTTTAGATTATTATAGTGTTTCTAAATTTATCAGGTGAACTCCTCCAGTTCAAATGCCAGTGAGAAAATTCCTAACTTCAATCTCAGATTCTGAATATCATTCAGCTTAACACAAAAGGAACACACTAATATGGTTACCGAATTGCCTTTCGTCTCTCCTGTGGATCTGGGGAGACATATATCTTCATTTCTTCTTTAACACGTTGCAGCTGTATTTCTAGATTCTGTAACAAAAGATAACAAACGTTTTAAGAAATACATAATTTCTATTTCATTTCACAGAATGATTTAGTCCCTCCTGTGACCTTACTTTTTTCATGCAGTTCACATAGTGGTAGTTGCTTTCTTCTTGAGTGCACTCCTCGAGAAGTCCCTTCACTTCCTGTAGTACAAGAATCAGATTTCAGTGGATGTTCTCACGGATGATCCATTCGTGTTGCCATATAAACCATGAGAATCCGTAACACAAAAAAACATAACTCTGAATTGTTCATTGCTTATGTGTTTTTAGAATTCTGGCTATTGAAAAACTTCTTCTGGAAGGTCTACTTCAAATAGGTTTGTCTGTGGAGTTCTTTATTTCACTTGGATTAAGCCATACAGAGATACATTCAGTGCAGGGAAAGAGTATCTGTACATCCATCTACACTTTGAATGTACAGTTTTTAGTTTGAAATATATTCCTCACACTGGCAAGCCCTTGAAAAACCAAATCCAAAAGTTCACAGAAGACAATCCACAGATTCATGTAAATATATTTTATACGTATTAATGCTGTTCCCACATCAGAATATTTAACTGGTTTAAGTACCTCCCTTCCTAAAAGTGCTGCAGTTCAAGCAATATGTAAGCTACATACAGGCAAGCTCCTAGATATATCTATATTGCTGTATTTACTTTTTTTAAAAAAGGTTTTATTTTTGTCCATAATTTTCAGGAATGTATGATGAGTTGCATCTAATGAAAATCCTTGCCATCAGTTTCAGTGCATTAATCAGCCATTGGATTGGTTTTGCTAAATTAAAGAGTACGCTAAATGCACGTGAAGATTTGTCTTGATAAATTACATTTGTCTTGATAAATTAACATTTTATTGTGAAATTCTCTTCTAACAAATACTTAGGTCAGCAGGATTTCTGGCAGATGCCTCTTTTACTCTTGCTAATCAGTGCTGGACTTCAGCGGATGGACTGATGTAGCACTGAGTTCATTTGCTGCTGTTCAGAACAGGAAGCGCGTGGGACCGCAGCTCATCCACAGCAGCTTCTGGCATGGTTTACATAGTTGTGGATCACCATTGACTCAGTGCCACCTGAAGTGAACCTAGAGCTTCCATATCCAGAGGGAAGGCAGGGAAAGTACTGAACCGTAATGAGTAACACGTTGCATGGCATTTATTAACCTTGTGACCAAGCCACCATCTTACCTGTTCCAGTGTGGAGCGATTGCTCTCTAACCCTGCTGCACAACTGTCATACTGGATTTTTTTTTCATCACATTCTTGAGTTAATTCCTTATGTGAAAAGGGCAGAAGGGTACATAAATGAAATCTTCAGTTGACTGACATGTGACATTCAAGCAGGCTCTTGTTGGTCTCACACATCAACCTCAGCTACTGGCACACTCCCTGACACTTATGTAAACCCAGCAGGCACGTGGGTACTGTTACACACACACAGTAAGGCTGCATAGTGGTGAACAAGCTGTATACACCACAACAAAGCATACAAATTTCCTCTTTACAGCCACAGCTTTAACATGGCAGATCATTAGGGCAGTGCTTGCAAGAAATGAAAAATAGTTACAAAAATGGAGATTAAGAAGGGATTAATATGCTTGCTACCTATGAAAAACCAACTTTGCTTTTTAGTTGTATGCAACAAATGGCTTAGCTGGATTTCTCTTGCTGACACTTTAAATAGTACCATTAAAAATAAGTTTTCTGGAAATTTAGTTGATAGATAAAGGGGTAGCTCAATTTACTTCTGTCTATGAGCCAACTTACAGCAGCTGTGGACCTGAATGACTTCTTCAGCTGTCTGTAAAATTTTGAAAACAGATGGATAAATCTGTCATTCCAACAGACTAATATAGGACTTAGATCAATGTACACAGCCATTGGGATGAAATTTATTTCTGATCTATTTTAAAAAAGAGTTATTTGAGATCACTAGTGCTGAGAAGCACAAAAAGCTTTGAAACTAATTTGAAAGTTAACTTTGCTGTGGTTTTGAACCATGATTTTTTATTATTTATCATCATAGGTCTTCTTTGTTTTGATTTTTAATTACTATAAAGGATAAAAATTCAGTGTGATATAGCTTTTAGAAATTTCAGTCTTTTACTTGTTGCTTGTTGAAAATCATTCCTGACTTATTCTGCTATTTCCAGCTTTCCTCCAGAGTTGATTACATCCCTACACAGCACAACAGAGCTCTGTGAATTACGCTCATCTGTGAATTTGACCTTAATTTTGAAGAATGAGAGGAAAATTTAATGCATTAAAATAAACCTACTTCAAGACCAAAAAAAAATACAACAAAACATAGAATGCAATTAAATAGAGTTGATGAGACTCTGGAGATTTGCAGTATTTGAAGCATTTAGGTGTCTGGTAAATGAAAACAAACTTAAACTAACCATATTTTAACTTGCATTTCTGCATTGTCTCAGTTCCTGCATTGTACACCTCAGCCACAAAGGTACAAATAACTCAATGGCAATGTGTATAGCTATATAAATCTATAGGGACGATAAGCTCCTGCTCTAACTATAGCACTTGACTGCATGGAGAAATGTGCAGAGCAAAACATAGGACTGCCCCCCAACGTCTGCCTGCTGCCTACCCTATTTCATCCATAAGCACTGTTCAAAGTATTCTGAAGTGTTTCTACCAACCTGGCACTTTTGACGCAGCTGTCTCAGTTCTTTGATGACAGGAGCTAGGCTTGACTTCTTCTCTGCCACCATAGCATTCAGCTTCTTTACCTGAAGGAGGGACAAAATGTTACACACTGATAATATGGTATTAATACATTTATGTTATTAGGATCATGAAGAGGTGAAAAGGGATGAAAAAAATATGGAGAGGAAAAAAAACAACTGTGTGACAAAAGAAGACTGAACTATATATAACATAAGTGCAGAACTGATTAACAAAGGGAAACAGCCTGTGTTCACTGAAATCATTACCACAAACCAGAGCACTTCTGTTCCCATTGTTTAACAGAACACCACAGACAAAACCAGCAGACCCATGTGCCAGATGCCTGAATGGCTTCAGGAGAGGGGAAAACAAAGGAGCTGCACAGAGCTAGACTGACAGAAGAGATCTTTGAGTAAACCAACCAAAAAAATCCCTGCATAGGTGAAATAAAGTTTGAACTTGCTAAAACAGAATCACTTCAAAATATTTATACTGAAAACTCACATTCTGCCCAGCTTTCCATTTGAGATTCATTCTGTTTTGATTCTACCACTTTATTTTTAAAGTACCCTAATGATTTTAAAGAATGCTATTTGGCTTTTGGCTCCTTTATAATATTATGCTTCTATGGCTACATGGTAAATTAAAACACTACAGATCTAAAGACAACTGAAAATTAGGCTAAAGAGAGGAAATAACATTTAGTTCTTCAGACAAATGAAATATTTTTGAATGAATACTTAACTCCAGTGATTTACATACATTTTAGAAAATGATGCTGTAAAAGAGTCAAATAATTAATCTAGTCAAATAACAGACAAAAATAGTCAAAATAGACAAAAATAATAGACAAAAAATTGTTATTTATATTGTTTGAAAGTACCTATTTTTCTGTATAAGCCTACATTAAAAGTGAAATCCCAACCAAAATATTCAACTTGGTTTTATACTCTGAGGAAGCAGATATTGAAACTGAGGCAATACAACAGCTAAAGACAAACATCACCATTTCAGACATGCTGTCTAGTGTTTGGCCTTTCATTTCATCCACTTCACTCTTCACTGCAGATACTCTTTCCAGCTCCTCCTGAGTGTAACTATATCCAGAAATACCTTTCTTGTCTTCAATAGCTTGCTGCAGACACAAAATAAATGCTGAATGTGAGTCCATTAATTAATAGAGCAAATTACTTCATAAAGATGAAATACTGTAAGAAAGTGGAAAGTACTGTAATCCATTCATTTTAAAAGCGAGTAATAACGTAGCTGCCACAACAAACTTTTCCTCTTGTGCCTGTATAGCAAACTAGTAACAACTTCCTGTAATACATCACTATTCTGTCATTTAATGCCCAATGAAATTAACAGGTTTCCACGATGTGAAATGGGCTTTAAGTCAGGCTGTGAAGGAGCTCAATATGTGAAATCCAGACACTTAATCAAAGGATGCAAAGTAGCTGATCTTTTATAAACAACTGTCAAGCTAAACTAAAGAAATAACGTATTAATTATAGCAATATTAATGCCAGATTACAACATTCTCGCATTTAATTACATACAATTTATATTAAGTGCTGATGTGATAGTCCTTAGCAATGCTTGCTCATTAAGTATGGAAGGAGGGTATTTTTTCAGTAAGCTGAAAGGTAGGTGTTGATTTGCAATTTGCAAAACACTCCTTCTTAAAAGTATCATCTGTCCATGAACACCAAAGTCAGTTATCCTCAAAAATCTTCTACAAGCATATGTTTAAGAAAAAATTTGTCTCTGCAAGGAGCTGCTGCTACTATGATGGGAGCATTTTGCAGATGTTTGCAGCAGCATACAGTCCGACAGGCTGTAATGCCCAGGGCTAGAAAGAGTACTTTTGATATTAGGTGAAAAACCTAACATAAGAATGCAGCCCTGCTCTAACTGGAGTTAGTGAAGATCTAATACTGACTTTGGAAAGCAGGGTTGAATCCCTCATTCTAAAAAGAAATTGCAGAACATTCATGACTCCCTGTAAAAAAAACAGTTGCTGAACATGAAGTACAGCAGCTTAGCATATCATATAGATTTTGTTCCCTAACGACTCTTTTACCAATGACAGTAGGATGGTATGCATTAGAAAATAACCAAACTCCATCCACCTTATTATAGAGCTAGTTGGCAGGGAAGGAAGGGTGATGGACTGTAGGACTAGTAAGTGCCTGCATTACCAACTGCTGCTGAATAGCCTCGTGCCGCTGTTTTAGGAGTTCTTCTGTCCTCTGGAGGATGCCATATTCAGCTGTAATTTCTGCTATTTCCAGTCTCTTCTTTTTATATACTGTGTTCTTGCTCCGGAGCTTATTAACATAGTGTTTAAGCTGCAGTGAGAGAGAACAGAAGTATCTACCATTCAACTTAAAGTGAAAAAGGGCAGTGTCTCATCACAGACTGATCCTTCATAAAATATAATTATCCTATTTGGATTGCATGCTGAAGGTTAAGAACAGAGACTGGAATCAAGGATTCCCAGAGTCTATTTACTTTCAGCAGCGTTTGTTTGCTGTGTGAGATAAGAAATCCATCTCCATTGCTTTATCCCAGCTTAATCATTTGTCAAAGAAAGACCCTTCAGTTCTACTTGCCACCATTTGACAGCTGGAAAACAAATTACTGAACTAATGTTCTGAGAATCATGGATAATAAAGTTAACGTGATAGGAATTTGCATGTTTAGCAGAGCACCAGATCAGCAGTGCCTAACTCCAAATAACACAGCACACCATAAGCATGATAAGAAAGCAGAAGGGAACACGACACGGAAAAAGAAGATCCTGCTTTTTAACTGCTAGTTTTCGATAGCTGAAATTTGATGTTCTCCTTCGTTGACTCTTTCAGGACTAAATGATATCGCTGGTTAAAGTTTCAAAAACAGGAAAATAAGAGCCCTTGCATAGAAGCAGAGGAATGTGGTATGTTTCACCCAAATCTGGAGGAATTGGGGAATTTATAGTTTTATTAAAGACTAAGCAAAATAATTCACATCCTTACAGCTAAATTACATCGGAATCCATGTGTGCTCAATTTGCAAGATGAAAAATCAGGTGCCGAAACAAACATGTCATGTTTTTCTTTGCCTGAATATTTTCCATCTGTCGAACAGGCAGAGCTCTTGGAGCTGCCAGTCACAGCTCTGAAATGCATTCAGATCCAACGATGGAAAACAAAATTTATTAGAGTAGATGCAGCATAACAGGCTTCAGAGTGTTCCTCACAGGAGTGTTCAGCATGTGCAGAGTGAACAGATGATGGGATCAGGAGGAAATGGGAGCCCCACTACCTCACCTTTAAAACTCAAACATAGCAGAACTTAGATTTTAAAATTTACTTTTTTTTTTTTCTTTTTGCAAAATTATGCCACTTTCCCTCCTAAAGAAGGGATCCAAAAAACCAGTGCGACCACAGCCTAAGAACCCCCAGAGTAACTGTATGTTCTATAAAAAGTCTCCTGGGCAAAATGCCCAAAATGAAATCAACCCTGTTCATCTGCCATCCTGTGCAATATCTAGGCCAAAGCTGCTTCTCTCTTGCTATGCTCCACAACTATTTTTAAAGCCAAAAGCTATAAACGTTTTTGGTGAAAGAACAAACCCACAAATTACTCAATGTGCTCTATGCAGATTGGACTATGTGTGGTTTAGAATACCATTTTACATTGTGTGTGCTACCTAGGACAAGGATAGACAAGGTCACCTAATCCACAGCACAGTGCAGCAGAGGCAGTCCTCTTACAGTCGTACTGTCATTGTTATATTATTGGCATGCTTAGTGTAATCTTACCAGAATGAATTGTTTTTCATAGCAAATTCACATATACCCACCTAGCTAATAGAAAAGACTCATTTTCTTTTGGTATTGCTTAGATAACACCAAGCTTTCTGTGATTTTCAAGATATTATAGAGTATAAATAGCATCTCTCCGATTATTTAAGAGACACAGTCCTCTGTCTTGATGGAGTAGATCCAGAGAGGTTTCATCTGATCAGTGAAATACAGTGAAGTGCATTGTAAAGGATGAAATGTATTGTGTGTGACCACATACACCAATCAAATCTAAATTATCTTCTGTCAGTTTCCCCCAGAATGAAAAGCAAACTATGATTCTCTTCACTTCTACAACTACTTTTAAGGTCTTGAAAATAGCTTGAATGGGAGGTAGAGCATTTGCATATTCAATATTCAAAGCATAATGTATTTTACAATGGAAGTCAAAGGATTTGGTTGATTAAAGAACTCATTCCACCAATATCCCGTTATTAGTTAAGACTGTATAATAAAAATTTCATCCAAAGCAAACAAGCTGCTCACACTGTCCAGTGAAATCTATTCCCTTTAGGAGACAGACATCTATCTTTCATCACAATCTGACTTTTTAAAAGCTAACAAGTTTTCATGATTTTTTTTTTCCCATAAATGAGGTGGAATGGTATAAACAGCAGCAGCAAAATGACCGTATCTGTAGAAGTCAATCAACAGTTTGGCACAAGTTTCAAAAGAATTCACCTTCTCCAAATGCAGCACAGATTAGCCCCTGAAAATCTCACTAACTGAAGCCTTCCTTAGATGCAGGGCCAAATTCAGAGTTGGAGCTGTTAGGCTTAACTCCAGTTAAATCAGCAGCTGGTAGGGATCTTCTGGCACAACTAGGTTTCTCCAGTCTAAAAGTTGAGAATCATGCTGTAGATTTCTGAAAACTATAAATAAGCCTCTTGCAGAAATCCAAGTGCCTTCATTTCTGTAAGCACAGCTTCTGAAGCTTTGTGCATCTCATGCTCCCATCTATATGTAGATGAATAAAAATCAAGCTCTTTAAAATGCTATACAAGATCGGATTTTACTTCTGCAAAAGGTATTTTAAACACCACAAAGAACTGAAGGAAGCAAAACTGTCTAGCCACATCACTTTAAAGTTAACTACCCAAAAGGAATCCATTTTTGACCAACAGCATTTTCCCATAGACAAGGTCAACTGCTCCCTACACACAAACAGCAGGCTCAACCTACAGAGTTCCCATGGATCCGTCAGCACTCACAGTAATGCACCATTCAAGGCTATGTCCACCAGCAAGCTTTCCTTTCTCAAGCACTCTAACACAAATAGTTATTTAAGCTTCGAAGATTAAATGACTGGACAAGAACCAAATGCTGGCACTGACTTAGCAGTTAAAGTAAACAAGCCTGTGGGCTCATTTGCTAGCCGAGCCAGAGCCCCCTGAGATATAAAAATGATCCAAATGAAAGCAAAGAAAGATTATGCTTTTCCACTGAGCTATTTTTATGGGAGACTGTAACATAAAAAGCGTGGAATCTAGACCATGAAGCAGAGTGAATGAAAGCAGGACTTTGATATCTCTTACAAGGTCCCAAAGCATGCAGGTACCTCGCATCCCTGGGCAGATTTCTTGTACTGCGTTCCATTTTTACTGGAAAACCCACCAGTGTCAGTACATTACACTTCTTCAGAACCATCTCAAGTCTGACTGCTTACCCCCTTCCCCAGAAAAGAACACGAGCACACCGACCCCGTGCTTCAGTGCATTGCTGAACTGGGATCAAAGCCCAGCTCCTCTCATGCTTACTCTTAAGTCCTCCCCTTAGTCTCCTGAAAACCAAATTTCTCCCCCTGTGAAATTTTGACAAGGTTCTTAGTATAAGATTATCACTGAAGGAGAAAATGGATAAGCTTGTCTACCAAAAAGAACAAATCCCAGATTAATTGCTTACTTCTGTGTCAACATTATGAAATACTGTTTTGTGGATTATCATATCAATTTGATTATATTAATCAAAATACTTTTTCCACAAGAAATTGTTACAGAAAATAAAGTATCAATTGTAAAAAAAAAAAAAAATCTTTCTGAAATACAGAATCTAAAGGTTTCAAAGTTTTGTTGATGAAATTATTTGCATAACCACAGTAATTGCAGGAAATCTTTGCTGACTGTTTTTGTTTCTATTAAGAATTTAGGAGCAGATGTTTTAATTTTTTAACTAGACCAATTAATAGCATACAGACTGTCCAAAACATTAACATTCAGTTCAGAAAAGTTCCTGATCATGACATGTTTTCAATAAAACTCTCTTTAAGAGGCTTTAAAACTGAGCTGGTACCTCCACTGCTGGATATGGTTAATAACTCACATAAAAGAGGGGAAAACTTCTCACAGACCCAACTGTTATCATCCCAACCAAATGAAATGAAGGCATCCTACAGCCTGCTCATTAGATAGGTCAGTCAGGAAAATTCTTCATTAGCACTGAGTAGGATTTCTCTTCTAGGAGTGCTTGCTTCTGGTTATTGCTATCTGTTACTAAGAAGCTGGACCAATCAGAATATTTTTAATGAAAAGCCATTTTCAGTTATCACTGAAAACACACAGATCAATAAAACTGATGATTTATTCATGCCAGTGGGTGCTGAAAGAGCGTTCAGTTCTGTGGAGCTATATTTTATGTCTGAATCACTGCATACATTTGGCTTAAATGATGGTTAGCTTCTTACAGCAAAAAGTTGTGGCTTCTGTAAGAATCCTACAGAGTTGCTGCTTTTGTTCTCACAACTTCACTGCCATCTACTCTCCCAGTTCCACGTTTAAGGAGTCTTTAACAGACAGCAATTTAACTGTACCTAGAACCTTAATGAAAAGATCGTAAACCTACAGGATAATTTATTCCTGGTCCTGACTTAAACCATTTCATGGCCAAGCAGTGAGTTCCTTAATCACTTCTTTAAAATCTGCCTCCCTGGCTCAGGGCTCAGTAACTGTTTCTTGTAGATGCAGATCAAATCAACCTTTTTAGAGAAAAAGTGACAAGATCTGCAGTCCAAGACTTCACTGTCTCTATTTTCAAAGCACATCAACCTCCTCTTTTTTTTTTTTTTTTTAATCATTCTACCAGTGTGCAATTAGGCATGGTAGGCATCAGTATGAAAACTGAACTCCTTATGTAAATTAACACACACATACTTGCTAACAAATGGATAAGACCATCCATACCACATTTTCAAAAACATTAACAACTGTAGCTAAGCACAGCTATGATACTATTCTATTCTGAAACCTTGGAGAAGTCTAGGCTCTTAGGGCCCTATACTGAACTCTGAAAAGTACAATGTGTTGTGTAAAGAGCTAAAAATACCACGGCTTTACCTAGGATCACTTGTAATTGAACCATCTAGCCTTCTAAGTGTCAACATTTGATTCCCTAATTTTCAGGATCTGACAGCTGCAGTGAGGAGCCTGCCAGCTTTGCCCCACGTCCATTGTGCTTTGTTTGAAGTACTTAAAAAGATTTCATAATCATTGAAGCAGACAATTTATTCCTACCTTTTCTGTGTTTGATGTAAATGAGTTGGTTATTCCCTGCTGTTTCTTCTACTTTCTGCGTAGCTGTGCAACCTCTCGAACTAACTGGAATACTCTGAAGTTCTTTTTTTTATTATTTTTTTTATTACAAATAGGAAAGTAAAACACTAGCACCTAAAAACAGAAGCCAGGATTGACCTTTTGGTGAATGAAGTGCTAAGAAGACCTCAGCTGAAGATCTGAATATTGGTATGGGAGTACAAGCTAGGAAGGCACTAATTCTTTGACTACTTGTGTTGTGATGTAAGAGGATACAGCCAAGGTAGAGACAAAGATGAGAATAGGGGAAATAATTATTTAACTGCAGCATTTAGATAAGTTAGATGTGGCAGCATTAAAAGCCTGTTTCAAACTCAAGACAGCAAAACTATTTGTCTAAAAAAAAAAAAAACAAACACATTTCTTCCTCTTTTGAAAATGGAGGAAAGAAATGCAAAATGTGTGGGAAAGCAACAAGAAGGTATGAAAGAAGCTCTCAGTTGTCAAAGAGTGAAATGTGAAGGTTGAATCTACAACCTCTTTCTATCCTCACTGAACATATGTATTGCAGTAGTGACTCACCATTACATTAATCAAGATTTCCTTTAGTATTGCCTGAAAGCTGGAGTAATAGAGCACAGAATACAAAGGCATATCATACCAGAAACAAATCTACAGTCTTGGTGAGTGATGGACTAAGACCTACTGATGCTTTTGCTTCATCACCTCTTCCCAACAACCTACTTCTATTGTATACGTATAAACATTCACATACACACACACACAACACACCTAACAAACTAATAAACAGGAACAGAACACTGATTGTATAATGCTGGCTTCCTTCCTTGGGCCAACATACAGAAAGTATTTCACAAAACAGGAAACAGTTCTTATGAAAATGCAAACACTCCTAACTGGAAGCTGATATTTTGCCCGAAGTGCTCCATTGTTTATTCTGCACTCATCAACATGAAGACTTGAAAATATTTCAAAAATCAAACATAGAACAGACTTGAACAAAAGGAATGAAGGTTACATTCAAAACAGGTAATGCCTTTTTTCTGTCTTCAGCCTCTTCCTTATGGCAGACAATTAACTTGAATTTTTCATTATCAAGCCTCTTAACTAACTGCTACCCTCCTACCCTGCTCTGCTTAAGTTACTATTGATTAGAGCATGCTGTCCCCACTCAGAACATCTATTATTTCTTACCTTACAGTGTATTTACAGATAATGTAAAGCATATGTTGCTGTCTCTGTAATGCATTCTTGTTGATTAATTAAACATTTCTCTCCCATCGCAGAAACACAGATTGTCTGCTTTCTATTTTTATTTTGAAAGCTGTCAAAGATTCTAGCCAAGCACTCACTGAGGATAAAAATCTGAGGTAGAAAGAAGTCTAATCTAGTGGTCTTGCTATTACTTCTACCAATGGAACACCATGAATGCCTATAGTACATCATGGTAAGAGAAAGTTGCAGCTAAATTCTTCAAAACGTTACTCAAGACTTGTAGCATGAGTTAATTTCACTGGAATCAAGAGATGCTCATTGTTCTAAACATAACTCTGGATAGTAAGTCTGTTATTGCTTCCACTTTTGGTTTTTAATCTAGATCTACAGAACGGGAAACAGGCAAAAAGGCAAGAGAAACCTACATGCGTTCCGTATTTTATAGGAAGAATTTATGCATGAGTGTACACATACACACATTCCCATACTTAATTTACTCTGTAAGACTCCTTTAAAAGAAAACTGATTTTTGTGGAGCAGGCACATCCTATGGGATCAGGAAGGGAGTTCCTTCTACAAAGGGCGTTGACTGTACTGAGCAGTATGTAAAAAAAAAAAAGTACAGAAATAGACAAAGAAAAAGAAAGCAAAGAGTGTTACTCTTGATAAAGTTATGGCAGTGCAAATTAAGACAGCAACAACTAAAACAGTGTGTTATTAACATTATTCTCATCCCAAATCCAAAATACAGCACCTTGCCAGTTTCTAGGAAGAAAATTAACTCAATCCCAGCTGAAACTAGGATACATACTAATTCAGAATATGATACAGCTGATGTCTTCCTTAGGGAATTTGCCTATAAGCACACTTAGACTTCTTCTAAACTAAATTATTCTCTTAAGAACAGCCCATTCATTTTGCTGATGAACCACTGTCCAGCTGCAGCAGTCTTATTCTTTGCAAACTTCTGAAGAAGAAAAAGCTTGTTTGGAAAGTACAGCTTCAAATGTAATTTTGTCTGAAATAAAATGACTGTGAGTCAAAGTCTGTGTTGCAGATGAACTGCAGGTGGCCCACAAAAAGTATTTTTGAAGTAAAACCTTTTGTGGGTAATAAATATAGAAATATTAAGCATGTTTCTGATAACTGCTGCTCCTATGCTTTATGATCAGATAGGCTTATACACTGACTAAAAAAATTTAATCGACCTGACTTATCACTTGAAGTCCTAAGTCAACCCCCATTAGTCTTAGTTGACTTTTATAGTTGGTTGAAGTTATTTATCATCATACCATTGAGATGATATTGACATTATTTTGTCTCAAAGCTCTGGAACGTTAGAACAGCCCAACAATAAGTCTTTATACACTTTGCAACCTACTAAGTTAAATTAATAATTTGAACATAGATACAAATCAAGTATTTTTAAAAGTGCTGTTAAATACTGGAAAGCATTTGAAAGCACTGGACAACATTGTACTATCTGCACTTCAAAAACATCTTCAAATACATTGTTGGTCATTCGATTTTAATTTACCATGGATAGGAAAAGCAGAACCCAGCCTGTTACAATGCTGAGGCCATGTTATAATAATGGATAAGATACTGCAGAAGCAGTTATTACAATGTGAAAGTAAAAGGAAACTCCAAGTTAACAACAACAACAACAACAAAAAAATCAGTCTGTCTTATACGCACTGTTACATCACATACCTCATCCCCCTTCAGAACTTCAGAGCCATCTAACTCATGGGCCTGGTTTGTCTTCTGTATCATCTGCTTTTCTGTGCTAGACATCTCTTCTTTAGCAGCCTGAAGTTCTTCTGCCTTGGCTTCCTTCTTCCGGGAAATTATAGATGCCTGAATGAACATTAGAAATATACATGGACATTTAAAGTAAAAAATGTATTTGCTTAGTCTTGTTTAATCACTAATAAAAACATGAAAACTTCAGGTGTGGCACCACTGAAATCACATCTCAACTGTAGGAAACTCATTTTCACTGGGAATTGCAGGCACATTTCTTTGCAAAGAAAAAAGACATGGATTACACAACTATACAGTTGATTAAACCACAGCTTCTTTAAAGTTGATTGCCAATTCTGAGCTTCCTTCAGTATGGCTGAGATTTCAGTCGTGTCCCTTTGTTCCTCAGATGCTTGCTGATGCATTTTACATTTATGTTTCTTCATCTCCTTTTTCATTGTCACTGAAGAAAAGGTATGTGTTTTGGGTGCTCCATTTAATCTACTCAGTCCCTTTTTGTGCATATGTAAGGCACATCAACATGGTTTAACTGGAAAGACATCCAAGATTTCACAAATGTCATAATACAGATTTTTATAACTCCAACCTACTCCAGCCTACAGAAATATGTTATACTAAGCAGAACCCAGCCTCTAAATCTTGGCAAATAGCTAAAAGACAATGAACAAAGCAGAAAAGTACAGAAATATTGTAATTATAGACTATTCCACTATTTTTTTTTTTTTGAGTCTAGAAGATAAAGCATTTAAAAAATAATGTTTTATACCAGGCAGAATATTTACTAGTACCTACATTTAATAAAGTTAAGAGCTTAAAAAACATAAATATACATTAGTTCAGAAAAAGAAAGCATTTTTATCTTGCCAAAATATATTTTTACATAACACAACACAGGAATGTATATGTATGCACCTGAATTTAGATGCGTTGTTGGTTACTTAATATGAAAGGAAAAACTTTAGTAAAAATAAAGCAAAACAGAATGGGTTTCTCTCACTACGTTTAGAGGTGCAGCTTTATTTTTAAAATCATCTAACAGAATTCTGATGGGGTCAGCTCAGCTCTTTGCTCCATGAGATATCTGCAGTGGTAAACTGTAGTGCAATACACAAAGAAGAAGAACAACAACAAAGCAAATACCTTCAACTCACAGCAGCAATCTGAACTCCCCAAGCTCCTCCACTGAGCACAGTTATATCACCAGCCAACTGGTCTTGGGTACCAGCCCATTATGTACCAGGCATATTTCACATATTTTATGTGATTGAACTGTAGCATACATTTTATCACCATTTTTTCCTACCACTGATATATTTTACCTACGCCTTTTTTTATTTTTTAAGCCGTCACCATAAATATCATTATGGAAATCTTGAATAAAATCAGCATCTATACAGGTCAGCTGGAAAAGAAACCACATATGTTTCTGCGTAAGCTGTAAAAGTCTCTGGTTTCAGAAACCCATTTTATAACTTTTGAATTTATTAAGGCTAGACCACACAGCTTATTTTACAGAGAAACTTTTTAATAGCTTCAGGATGAAAAAAATATATAGAGAAAAATCAAAGAATGCCTTCTTAACAGATGTAAAAGGAAAAGTAGCATGTGGTCAAACACAAGTGAATGCTATGACTGAAAGCAAGCTTTGCATCCAGCACATGTGCTGCCTTGCAAGATTCTGTCCACAGCTGGAGATTTACCAAAAAAGCTGTTCCCAAGTGATTCTTCCAGGGTTCCTGTGATGCAGCTGAAAGGCAACACCTCGGACAGCAACTGACAATCTCTCTAGCATGACTGAAAGCAATCGTTTGACTAAGCTTTAAGCATTTAGTTTAGTGCCATTTGTTTAGTTTTTGTCTTGCATTGTCACTTATTTCTACAGATTCTTGCCTTAATAAGTTAAAGAAAAAAAGTCAGTACATACAACAGTGACTGAAATTGCTCCACCAATTCTTCTTAAACTGTTTTGGTTTTCCTACCTGTTGGCGATACATGGAAAGTTTACTATCAACTGGCTCATACTTCATCATTCTTTTCTCAATTAGCTGATTTATTTGTACATTTACTTCATTTATCTGCAAAACAGAGCCAAAAAACAGAGGAAATGGAGCTTTATTTCTTTGTCTTCTCCAAGAACTGCTTTACAAACCAGATTAACAGCCCAATTACAAGGAAATATTGCTAACTCTGTTTTCAAAATAGAGGAAAGAAAAGAACACAAAAAACTCAATGAGTTACTCAGTACAGGCCAGGAAGAGGCTGGGTTTTTGATTTCCAGTTCTGTGCCTTTATGATAAGGCAGGAGCATGACATTTGCCCTGAAAATGAAGTAAACTAGCATACATGGACAGAAAAAAAAAATAAAAAAGTCAGTGAATTGGTTACATACAGACAGAAGAAGATTGATGTTGTCATATGCACTGATAAAAGCACACTGTCACATAGTAACAAACATTTATTTTCACTTAACTACTCATCAGACTTCTAAAGAGGAACAGATAAAAACTAGGTGATACCAAGTTTTACCAATGCTTTTAAGAGTCACAGCCATCACACTGCATCTCTGTGGTACCCTTCTTCTATTGCCACAAATGCACCTGGTTGTCCACAGGTTCAAATTGTTGATCTTCATTCTAGCTGAAACTTTAAAACCCACTGCATCTGGAAACAAACACCTACAGCAGCACACTGATTCCAGCTACCTCAGTTCTGACTTAATGCTACACTGGGACTCTCATCAGCCATGGAAACCACAGCCCTAGCAACCTTCCTTTAATTCTCTGCTAACTAGATGACTGCTGATAAGCAAGCAGTGTAAATATATGCTAAAATCTAATGAAGTCAAAACAAAGTGCAGGTACAGAGCAGGACATTACCCTAACGTTACTCTGAGTAATAGCTGCATACTCCAAAAGCTAAGCATTTCAAATAAAGCTTTGTTCACCATGTCATAAGCACTCTTCTTGTATTGGTATAAACTCCCTTGATATCAGTGAAAGTTTAAAACAAGCTAAAATTGAAGAGAAGAAAAAAAAAATATCAAACCTTTAATGCTGAACTAATATCTCTGCTCATACCATAGCAAATCGCTAACGCAATTTTCTAAATAGCGTTTAAGGACACAGTGGGTTTTGTGGTTTTGTTTTTTTCTTTTTTACTTATCTAAGAGCTTGCATTTAGTGAGTAACACATCTTCTTTTACAACTGAAGAGGTGTTCCTTTGGGAATTAAACCTTTCTTGAGGATGCAAAGTAGGCACAGGAGAAGTACAATATGCGCAAACTCTAAAGCATGCTATGAAACACAAATTAAGTGTCACTTTGGTCAACTTACCTTGCTTTCAAGTACATTGAGATCTGATTGACCCATAGCTGGCTCTGCAATTGCCTTCTGTAAGAAATATACTGATTTCTTCTTACTTTCAAGCTCCCTAGGTATTTTTTCAGTAGCAAGGTATGAATTGAAATTTATCTCCTCTTCCAGTTTCTTCATTAAACCTTAAGAACAAATTAAATCAATGCATGTCCATGAAGAAAGTAATGTAGAGGATGATTAAGTTCAATTTCCTCAACACATTGAAGCGTTCAGCGGTGGATTACAATAAAAACAGCACAATGCTTGAATCTTCCTCTCAGAACTCAAATTAACAAGTAGTTACTTGATCTAGCTTGTTAATCTGGATGTTAAACAAAACAAGTTGCATTACACTTGGTACCCACCTGTATCTCCAACATGTATCTATTAATTCCTCAGTGTATTCTTTTAGTCAATAAAACAAGTAAAATCTCTCCATAGATCAAAGTCTAGATGAATCAGATACAAAAACCTCAACACACAATGCTGACAAAGAGAACCATTAGCACCATCCATGTCTTATGCACATCAAGACATTGCATCGTTGCATCGCATTACTATTTTCTGTAGTGAATTATGTTCTTTTGAGACTGAAAAGTCGATGGCTAGAATTTCATGTCTTATGTGTGATCAGAGTGAGGGACAGCACAGCATGTCAGAGCTGTGCTGCCTTGCTCAGGGCTCCTCTGAAGCTTGGATCCCTTAGAACATCCCTGGCTGGAGCACTGGAGTGATTCTACCCCATAGATTACGCAGGTCATTGTTTCATGTGAATTACATCATCTGCAGACAGAAATTATCTCAGCATGAATCCTTTATCTGTGTCTCAAAATAGAACAAAGATCTTAATTTGGCCAACCTCCTGTAAGGTCTGTTATGTCCTTGGAAATTCTCTCTTAAAATAAAACTTCTTTGTTCTAATTTTGTATCTAAAAAAGGCCTTACAATGAGCTGAATTAAATGTATGCACGCTGCAAGAGTCTTCCACATTATAAAATGCCTCTCTATAAGTAACAGATGATTTTTTTCTTTTAAGAGCAAACACTCAGTCTTGAGACAGTATGCATTCAATATACTCAATTCAATACACTGTGAATATTGAAAACAAATAGATTTTAAAAAAAGAAGAAATTGCTGTATAATGTCAAAAATTCTATTGAGAAAAGCAATCACCTACCTGATGATCAAGCCTGATTCACACTGCATGATACATGCTTATAACGACTTTGCTCTTGCTAAGTAGAGTAATTTAGCCTCCATTACAAATAATTTATTTATAAACACAGATAAGAACAATACAGAGCTAGAAAAATGTGACAGAATAAAACCAAATTGCTATTTAAATTACATTACACAGCAATCTGCTGACAACAGATACTTTAGTGCAATTACTCCTCCGAGACACCTGTACCAAGGGCTATAGTAAAATTTGGAAGTTACACATTAAACAAGAGTGGGAAGAGGTATTTCTGAATATTTTTCTTGACCAAAATGACTAAAAGGTAAGTACCCTGGGTACTTTTTAAAACCACTCACTGGGGGTGTATGGTTGGTTTGTTGTTGTTCTGGTTCTTTGTTTGTTTGTTTTCTTGGTTGTTGGGTTTGTTGTTTTGCCGTGAAGTGCAAAGCAAAACAAGAAATTCCAAATCTCTGTCTTTCTCTGCAGAAAGAAAGAAAAGCTTGAATACAGGGATACAATAACAGAGCTGATCTTGCTGAAACAGAGAGGAAAGGATGCAAGTTGAAAACAGAGCTTTTGGCTCTGAGGCTAACGAGCCTGCTGACCACATCACTGACTGATGTAAGGAGAAGGACTGAACAAAGTTAAATACAAGCCTCAGAAAAGGGGGCTCCATTATTCTGCATCTATTTACCAAGAGGACTAGACACAGTACTGACAGATCCTGCTCACTCTCTGCTCTCAGCTTGGGTCAAAGGGAAATGTACTTGGTTTGTCTGCCAGAGAGGAAAGGAGCCATGCTTAGCTCTTGAGAAAGGCTCAAGAATGAGAATGAATAGACCCTAGGGAAAGCAGTGCTCCTAACAAAATAAAGTCAAACTAAACTAAAAACAAGAAGGAATTCCTCTTTTCCAGCTGTCCACTTCATTGATCTCATTTCATAAGACGTATGAGTGCATTTCATGGTATGAGTACTACCATAAACTCTTTTCCCCTTTGTGGAAAGGTTATTCATCTTGTGCAAAACAGCTTCAGTATTTGGTTTCAGAACAGGTACTGCACTTGCTATACGTACACAATAGCCATTATGTGCTGGGCACTACAGCTAGACTCAGAAATGCATTGGAATTTAGTGGGAGAGAACACCGATCAACCCCTGAGAATACCCACCTCCTTCTTCCAGGAGAACTGACTTTCAGTCTTCCTCAGCCCACTGATGAGCTGCGCAGGAAGGACTACATTTTAATGTCTCACTTGAAATCTACCACCTCTGCAAATGCAGCAAAGCTTCCCACATACACCATGAGCTGAATTATCACCTCAGAACTAGGAACATAACTCCCCAGTGGATATTTATAACCAAGAACTTCAGCGTGGAAATCAAAGTGATATCAATTAAATTACCCTGATATTTAATATTAATATTTTAATCAACTAATTTTTTTTTCTAGCCTGCCTCTTAGATGGAAAAAATAAAACAACCACATGTATAATTCATGATTTATTTCTTATCCTTCTCCAGCTTTCTTATAAAGCATGCCTAAATATTACAGATCTGAAGCTTAAACTCATGAAATAACCAGGCCTGAATGACTACTTTTGAAAACAGAAGGGACCTATTGACTTTACTGGGTAAAAACTTGATTGCTATCTTGACTTGTTTCTCTGATAACCTGTGAGCTATTACCAACTTCTTTCAAACACCAACTGGTTCTGCATCACACAATGAAGCGAGTTAAAACCTGACAACTTGATGGGGAAAGACATGATGATGCCAATATCCCTCATGACTAATGCAGTTCTTTCCTAAATACTTCTGGAGATATTTTTCCTTATGTATGATTTGACGTTCAGAGAAGTAACTACCTAAGAGCTATTTCTGCTGCTTAACAGAGCCTTAAAAAACAAACACACAGCAGCTCTTTTAAGATTTTTTTCTCAGTGACTTTTTTTTCCCCAAATTCCCAGGACAGAGGAAAGAAAAGCAAGCATACTTTAAGTTTTCCATTACACATATAAGCCCTGTTTTTAATGTTTTAGCATTCTCTTATGGTTACAAAATCTACATACGTAAGCTGCACAGAAAGGCTGGCTCTATGCCCTACGGCTATTTTGGCAAGGCTCTGCCAACCTTACACGTGAAGAGCTATTAACAGCAATTCCTCATGTTTTCCATTCAATTTTGTTATTATAATTATTGCAAAAAGCGAGGTGGGAGAAAGACTTTCTTAGTGCTTGCTCAGTCATGTAGGAAAGAAGCAGGTTTCCCAGCATAATTCTTCTAATAGATGTAAACTTGGATCTACTTTGTGCTCAGGCTCCTACTTCTTTTTCCCCTCTGTGGGCTACCCATTAGGCATTCCATATCAAAAACACCTGCAATACTAATTTAATTCATTAATTAAATAAGCTACCTGCCAACACTTGGAACACTTTGTTTAGTATCACACAGGAAGGCTATGACAAAGGCAGGTGTGGAATGGACTTCCACGTGGCATCTGCTTGCTAATCAAAGACTTCACTTCCCTGTTTGCGTTCATCCTCTACAAATGAGTACTGAAGCAATTCAGTCTACAGCTTCCAGTGGTACCATTTTCAGTTTCCCTGTATTAAACAGAGTTCTAGGACACGCAAACATTAATAGATGACGATTAAATCTATCAATATCTCCTTGAAAAACTACACAGCTTCCTGAATGTTCTACTGTACAGTATCCTTCCTATGTTATAATTATTACTGCAGCTCTTTGAAATCTAACTTCTCAATATCTTTCCCAAATTCCAGGCAGTGGTCAGGGTATTGCCATGATGGAAATACAGAGCTAAAAAAAGAGAAACAACAATGCTCCTGTTCCATTTCCTTCTATAAATGGATGCAAGAATAGCACCAAGTCTTTGACACCAGGAGCTCCAGTTCTACCATTTTTACACCATATCCCACAAGCCTTTATCAGAATCACTTGTTAGGAACAACTCCCACATGCCACCACATTTGGCCATTCCTTCAAATATGCATTGTTGGCATGGTCTTGGTTTTCCAAGTGATTATTTTGAATCAATTGCCTGTTCTCCTCATTACCCAGTCAATTCCCCAATCTTGTTTTCCATCTGGCAATTTAATCAGTGATCATTTGCTATTTTCTTTCATGGCACTAACATAAAACTGAAAAAAGAGCCAAATGCTGATTTATGCATGCCCCCCTTAGAAAGACATCCACTCAGTGAAAATTCCCCAACTATTTTAAAATCTTCAGTAAAGTCCTTTTAATCAATTTAATATAGGTCACACTGAATTTTTGGTTGCCTTGTTTGCTCTTCAAACTGGGATGCAAGTAAAAAGTCAAACATCTTGAAAGACTCAACCATAGCAATACTATCAGTCTTACCAGCCAGCCTAAGTATTTCCATCCTTAAACATTTTTATTATTGAGTTCCTCCTAAGTCATTTTCCTTTACCATAACTGTAACCTGGTTTCAGTACTGGAGGAAATTATTTAAACTTTGAATTTAAAAGACAGACAGTTCTGTGGCCAAACAAAAAGTTTTAAACAAACAACAACAGAAAAAGTTTGTGTTTTCATTCAAATAGGATATTTTAATAATAGTTTCTATTTTTCACTAAATGCTCAGAATGCCATAAAATAAACGTCTGTACAAAATAATTCCTCCTTATAAGTATCCTTATAAAATGATGTTCTCAGTGCTCTGAAATGCTACTACATATTAATTTAATGGAATGTATCAATTGCATGTTTCTCTGTTTTTCATTGGAAACCCTCTTAACCCATTCTTTTAATCAATATTTTCAAGCGAGGCATCCATTGCTCACTATTTCTGTCAATAATTTGAACAATGATGTTCCATTAAAATGGACAGAGATCAAGAATTTCAGTAATTCAGATCACTTCTTGGCATTCACAGTCTGTGTTTGTGCCAACAGATATTCAAGGCAAAAATCTAACAATCTCAGGTTATTCAAACTAGTGCTCAGTGTTAAAAATGCTAACAGAACTATATATTTTTTAAATCAGAAATTCCTATCAATACTAGCAGCAGCAACTGCCTCTCTGTAATTAAGGTTATAGAGCGGTGCTGAAATTTATAAACAAGGAAGGCACATACTATGGAAACCATTGTTATCAATTTTAGTCTGCAAGACAATGATCAGCTGTTCTTCATGGTCCAACAAAAGGTCTTCTAAGTAACATTTCTAAAAGTAAATAAACTATTAACCATAAGTTATATTTTTCTGGTATAGCTAAAGCAGACTTATGCTAACTGCACATTAACACGCTCATAAGTTTGGGTTAGCTGCATTCCTTAAAGAGTTGCATTTCTTTAAAGAACATCATCCCAAGTTAATTACCAGATGAAGTAATCAAAGCAACATGTAACCATAACACATATGTAAATCTTCTTATTAACAACAGCTTTTATCAATGTACCTTGCTTTGGAAGTAAAGCAGGTTAAGTATTAAGAACAAAAGAAAATTATTGTAAGGAAAAACACCTAACTTGAAGTAAAAATCCACAGTTACCAAACAGTCTTTGAATCATCCGTGTACAAGCTCATACTGATCTGAGTAGGCAGCTGAGATACAGAATTGGAGCCAGAGGGAATTTTTAAAAAATAAATAGTGTTAACTGTAGACCAATAAAGCTTTTAAAAGAAATGAAATCCTATTCAATACACTGTGGTCACATAATTTTAATAATTAAAAAAAAAAAAAAGAAATCAACAGTTGGCATTCTGTAATTGCTGCTACAGGCAGTGTCCTTGCAACTACTGAGGGGAAAAGTAATTAAATTATAAAGCTAAGTCCTAGAGTCTTTGGGCAAAATTTCAACAGAAGTTTTCTTAAATAATGACTCCAAGCTTTTCTTCAGAACATCTAAACACTTTATTTTTCCTGCAAGTAAGGCTCAACATAAGAGTATTAAATAAGTTCACTTTATTTTCATCTCAGTGATCAAATGACATTTACTGACTTTTTATTATGTTACCTTTGCTTCTGTGAACTGAACCCACCAAGTTTCCACAGGCCTTAAAAATACCCTATGAACTGAAATAGAAATGTTGACATAGCTTTGCTGTATAAACTCTCAGCCACTGCAAAAGTGGAACCATTACAGAATTCACCACAGGTCCTTTAGAGTAAAGAAGATAGTTCAGATACTCTTTTAGTTTTCATTTGTGGCTCAATGGCTGATGAACCTTGTAAAGCAAAATTACAAAGTAATAGTATCACAGTGTGCTGCTGACTAAGAAAAATCTTCTAACTCAAAACAACTGGCAAAGCAGTTCCATGATGCAACTGAAATACTAAATGTATCTGAGAAAGTAGGACAATGAATTACTTCACTAAATTTAAATACGTAGACTCTATCATCTGGAAAATTATTTATTCAGATAATAAAAAGCATTCTATTGCCTTTTTTTTTTTTTTTTTTTTAAAACCACAGCAGCTCAGAATGCCAATGCAAAGGCCCTGGGAAAAAAAACATTCTGAGTCATATACCTTTATAGTACAGTAGAGTTCTCCATATAAATCATCCCCAATAACAGTATAAACAACACAAAGCTTCTATCAATCCTGTGATGCATTATTGATAACCAGTTGAAGTCACATGTATCAGAAACACTGAACCCTACACAGACTCAGACTAATCTTAGCTATATTTTCTTCAGAAACATACATGCTATAGAATTGTAGACTTTGGAGACAGTAAGTTATGCATTTATCTGCATCTGCAATTCCCTCCTACCCCCTATTTTTATAGTGGATCAATGAGCAAAAACTTACTCTACAAGAAGTATAATTTATTTTGTTAGTGTGATTTGCAGAATGAGGTAAAACTGAAAATGAGCAGAAGCAGTCTAGCCATTCTTAATGTAATACATCAACATACAACTAAATCACCTACAGTCACATCATGAGAACAAACTATTTTACATGAATATTATAAATAGATCTATATGTTACATCTATATATTAATATATAAATATCTAGTATGTATATCTATAAATATATAAAATATAATTGTATGCAAGTGTGCGTGCACACACACATACGTATGTCAAATCCATTCTCTATTAAAAGATTAATTAGGAAGTGGCTTTGTTTTTGGTACCACGCAAAACTAGAACAGAAACTTGCACTACAGTAAGAAACAGCCCTTAAAGCTCTACAAATGAATGTGTTATTAAATGTAACTAAAAAAAAACCAACCAACAAGCAAGTCTACACTGAACAAAACAAATAAAACATAATATTAATATTCAATGTATTTGTACATTCACTGAGATGAAGCAGTATTTCCCTGATCCTCAATTGCAAATACAAAAGACAAAACTTCACAGTATCTAAACTCTGCCTTTTCTAAGAGGTTTCTGCTTTTTCCAATCCCTTGTAGTTCCAGCTGTTTGTTTTTTTTTCTTGCAGAGTATTATAATTAGTTTTCAGTATGTAACTGGCTTAAAGTTTTAAGCAAAGTGAATCTCAAAAACTGAGGTATCTCATCATCTTCCTTATGACCATCTCCCTCCTATTCTATAGACAGGCATAATCACCTTTAGGAACTCCAGCCTTTAGAATTTATATCTTCCATTAGTTTCTCTCTAGTTCACATGTACTTTCTGGCACTACCACATTACTGAGAATCACACAGTTTTAATTCCATTTCTCACAGAAGTGTAAACCCCCCAGGTGTTACACATTACTACTTACTTTCAGGTTTTGAATCCACTACTGCATGATGCATCTCTTTCAGCTGGAGCTGTGCTCTTTGCAGTCTCTGCTCTGCATGGAATAACTTTGGAGAGAAAATTGTACACACAAGCTCATTCCTTTGAAACGGATTTCTAGGTAACTAAAGTGAAAAAGTATCACAAAAAATCCTGAATACAAAAAATGGTAGTTACCAGCTTCTGGTTCACAAGGAAACATGCCAAAACAATTTTCAACAGTTGGCCTGGATTTACTTATTCTTTACTGTTAATTAAGAAAAGCATTGTACTCCCAAGTAGTATTTTCTCCATAGCACAAATCTGTTAAACTATTTTCAAGCAAACATTCAAGTGGCTTGAACATTAGAAGAACAGCAAAAAAGCTAGTCAGGATTGCAGTAGAAAACTCTTTATGCTGCATCTCTTTGGAAGGCAGCTGAGTTATCACAGCAATCCACTATTCTATTGCTGAGCCAAGTAGAGAACACATGGAAAAGCTTGTTTCCAAACAATGGCAGCCAGGTGAATAGTATTTCTGCTACTAGAGAAATGTGTGATAAGAAGCAGAATCAGCTGGATGCCACAGTATTTTCTTGTGACCTCCCTCAAGAAAGGATCAACGGCTTGAAAACCCTCTGATTCACATTGATTCCAAATCAGTATGTTGACTGTAATAATAGACATCTGAGTTTTGCTCCTTTTAAAGCAATGTTAAAGTTCATATTCTATTTGAAATCAACAGAATTTACTGAGATGATACAGCAGGCCAGCTTGGAAACATGCAACACAGCTTAGGAGTAAAATCCACCCCTACATTCAGATGCCAGCTGCTTCCACTACTTACTAGGACATCACCTTTGTGAGACTCAGGGACCAAAACCCCAAGGCTGCTCCCGAATACAAATTCTCCGTGCACTGATCCACAGCAAAAAGCTGTGCTACTTGCTGTTACCACACAATCTTAATGCAAGTGCTCAGAGATACAATCAAACTAAGGAAACATTTGCTCACTACCATAAATATAAAGACCTCTCTCTGGGTGCTCCCACAGTAAGTCATGGAACATTTCCTAGGATTGCTAAATGATGATGTCAGGGGTAGTTGAGGCAGCCAAATATCTCAAATGAGACATTCAAAACTTGTAGCATCAAGCCTCTTCCTTTAAGATGTACACAGGTATTTGTATTTTACATAGGATTTAATTTTCTGATACTAGGAGAAACTGCACTGTTTTTTTCGTGGTGCACTTCTTTACACACATAATCCCCAGACAGATATAAAAACTATTTATTTTAAGAGGTACACTTTTATGGCAATACCTGATTTTTTTGTTCTTGTTTCTGTTGAGCCAAAGATTCTTCTCTCTCTTTTTCTAAGCGAAGCTGTCTTGCTATTTCAAGCATTCGTTGATGATTTTGTACTGTCTCCACCTACAGCAAGTGGATAAATAGTGCATGTTACTGTCAGATAGCTGAGAAATACATTAAAGAGATCATATGTCTAACAAACCCACTTAGCACTTCCTTTCCATACATGTTACTACTCAGAAATGACAGCAAAGTACTGGACTCAAGATTCTTAAAAGCTCTGGACTAACGCCTAGGGAGATTCCCTGTAGGTCAATTAGTTATTTGACTCCTTCCTCAACACGCAGTATGTTTATTCTAATCCTTGTTTGCATTCCAAAATCAGAGTTGCAAGCCAAGGATTATGACACTGAAATGTAACAGCGTTACTTCTCTTATTACCCTCTTCTTAAGACGCTCTACTCTTTTGATGAGTTGATCTTTCTCCTCTTCCATTGCACTTATATCCTAAACAGCAGCAAAAACAGATAAAGAAATATTAATTTATTTAATACACGGTGCAGACTGAACTAAACTCTTACAAGTTACTGTGAAAAGCAGAATTCATCTCTGAATACACCTGAAGCAGTTATAACTTTATCAGTCTGTGATCAGAATGTCCAGGATTCCAGTATCGTTCATCTTTCTTACTTCCTCCTCAGTTTCTACTCTCTGCATCCTTCAGTATTAATGTGAGCATTTAAAATAAAAGCAGATGTATTTAAAAAAAAAACACACAAAAAAAACAGAAAAACAAACCTTACACCCCACAAACAGAAACAACCGAGCAAAAATCAGCATAATTCAACACATGATACAATTAAACATCTGTTCTCAAATCTTACAACCATTACCCACTTCCTGACAATCTGCATGAAGTTGCTTAGGATTTATATTTACTGATACTTCTTCCATTAAAACTGTGTTAAAAGAAATAATCTATGGTTCTAAAATTCTAAAACGTGTATCCAATTATCCTTCTTTAATCCTACTTTACAACAGCAGGATACCACACATTAACAACTATGAGAGAAAGGGAACTAAATTATCAGTTTAGGCCTTATCTCAACATTTGCTTAACTTGTTTGTATGTCTTAATGGAAAGCTGGATTCATGCTCAAACATTTTGATGAAACAGGACAAATATCTTTACTAACACTTTAGCTACATAGGAACACCATTTTTGTTGACTTAGGCTCTTAATTCATTCAACCTCTGAAATTATTACCCTATATCAGTAAAGTTCAAGGTTTTATATCAGTTTGTGGTCACAGAAAAAGAGCTCCAATATTTGAAAATCATGCTGAACAGTCTTGGCAGCCTCGTTTCCCCATCTGCTTCACAAAGCCCAGTTCTAAGCATGAGCAAGGACTTTCTGTTTGCCAACAGAGAACAGTTTCAAAACAGCAACTGAGTACCAATCAGCTCTGACCTCCACAATGTACACACTACAACGAGTTCACAAAACCAAAAAAATAGAACATCTTAAAAAAGCATACATAGAAGCAATGCAATTTTGTCATATTTTTACCCTTCTTATTTCTGCAGTAGATAAACCAGATGTTTTGAGCTGCTCACATTCCTTATGTAGGTTTTTAAATGCTTCCATCAGTTCTTCATACTATAAAATGAGATAAAATTGTGCAGAATGAGCTCTATGGCTGAGGGCTTTCAGGCCAACATTGCTTTACTATTAAGATAGTAAATATAGACAAAACATTGTAAAAACAAGAATTAAATGGATTTTTCACCACTAAAACTTAGGAACTTATGAAGTAAAAAATGACATTATATTATCTTCCATTTAAAGTTAGAAGCCAGAATTTTTGTAGTTTCTTCAGTATTTTAACCTCTTTCCTTGTAATACACAATGTAGTTTCAAAACAAGATGTTAGCTGAAAGGGACAATGCTATGTTAACTATTTTCCCTTACTATAAATCTGTGTACATCACATGTGTAAACTTATCAAGCTGAAAACAGAGAGCTGGGTCTAATAGGATGCTCAAGCGAGGCAATGGAGCTGGAGGTTAGAGCACTGATTTTCTCTCCAGTAAAGCAGCCTAAGAGCACACCTGACTTAACATGTGAGAAACAGTTTTGCCATATTGCATAATCATGTCCTCGGTATATTATAGAGACTGATATATGTAGTTTGGTTTTTAGGAAGAAGTAGACAGTATGCTACCTCCATACCAATACATTGCCCACCAGCACTCTTCAACTGAGAGGCAGTGTGAAAGTCTGTGTGGGTAGAGAAATAACAGGGGACAGAAAGAGTTTAGAAATATGGATGGGAAATAAATTTAGATTCAACTTGAAGAATGCAAGCTGAGATATAGGAAAGGATGATCTCTGCAGAAACAGCCATTCAATAAGACAGAAAAATCTAAGCAGAGAATATAATTTTTTTACTTCCTGGAAAGAGCAATTGATATGAATCAACTGAATACCAAATGGCAGCAGCAAAGCCAGGTTAAACAAAGAAGGCAAATCTGTGACAAGTGTAAGTGACATTGCTGCAAGAAGCAGCAATCCCATTGTATAAAACCCTGAGGAATCAGCAGCTGGAATACTTCCTTTTATTTCTGGTTGTTTTAGTATCAGGCACACTAGGACAAACTGGAGCAAATTCAAAAAACAGCAGTAAAATGACCACTGGGAAAAAGATTACATAATCAAAAAGAGCTTGACTAAATAACAAATAAAGGTATGATTAGAAGGTACACACAGGCTGGGTGATGAAAAATGAGTTAAAAAAAAAAAACAGAAGTAAAAATACAACTGCCTTGTAGCTCCCTTAGGTGTTATAGAAGTACTTCAACAAATAAAAAGATAACAAGCTAACTGGGAGCAACTGTATTCATTGCTGATTCCAAAAGCCTTCCTTTGCATCCCTTCTCTACCTCTTTCAAAAAGTGAGTTTAGAGAGCCTCTTCCTCGTGAGGACACAACATTTCAAGGCATTTGGCAAAACAAACACAGGCATAGCATGGTTTGGCAAACCAGAGCAAATAGGAGGATTTCCACTTCCACTAAAAAAAAAAAAAAAAGCAGCAGCATTCTGGTGCTGGCCCACACACCTGAAACAACTGACACACTCAAATGACCAAACAAAGCCCAGGTTTCAGCAGCAGAGTGATTCCTGGCACCTGAGAGCATCTCACTGAAGACTGATCAATTTGATTACCTTTAAAATTATACACTGCAACCACTTTGATGTCCAGATCACAAAATCAAGGAAGTGCCAGGTTTCTGAGAACCTTGTTTAGGGAATTTGCAGTATATGTGAGCTTGATTCTATACACCCATAAAACTTGCTCATGTTCTAAGATCTCCAGAACTTCATATTTGAAATGTTTCTATTAAAATGCACCATCACATGCCTGCCTACATAAATAGTTGAGGCTAAATTCTTTAATTCATTAGTATCTAAATATTTTCATGGTAATGCTGAGTTACATAAAGACACTGTATTACCCCAGCTTCTGTTCTGAGTTAAATCAGAAGGGTATTGGTTTAATAAGATGGTTTTATTACTGCAATCCCAAAAAGGAACACATCTTACGTAATGGAAATTATGGAGATGGATATTTATACATATTGAGACTGTGACATACTGAGAAAACTTACAACCTGCATTCCTTCCTCTCCTTCCTACTTCTGCTTAGTTCTTCAAAGCTATAAATCAGACCTTGCTAGCAATATCAAAAAAGAAAATCAGTCAAGCTACAGAGCTTTGCTGGTGCACAGCTAATAAGCAAAGTTACCAGTTATGAACGCTCACAAACACTGTGATATGCAAGTAACAACACAGGACAAAAGGCAGAGAAAACTGGATCAAAATAAAGTAAATATGTACCTCAGATAACACAAGTGTAAAAACATAGTTCTGGTTCACATGTAGCTCTACATTTTGAACCCACCCAGTCTCGCTGTCTAAAAATCAACATTTAATGCTCACAAAAGAAGAGGAAACATAGCAAATAGGAATATTAGCCAAGGAAAAATAAACTTCTGAATTCTCACACACACACACACACAAAAAGAAAGAAAGAAAGAAAGACGAATGGTTGAAGCAGAAGTGGGATAACACTAATATAAATATTAGGGGCAAAGTATTATACCTCAGTTGACAATTGTAAGGCAGCCATTTTTGTTCATAATGTTTTCTGAACTGATCTAAAGTGGAAATTTATAAAGTTAAAAATATCCATGTTAGAGTTCACAGAAGATAAAAAGTGTTAAAAAAAAATAAGAAAAAAGTATATTTCTTAGGCAGCATGAAAATGAAGGCTAATCAGCCCGTAGTATTTGATAAGCTTAAGTCCTTCCAATTTAATGCTACCTCTTCCTAAACAATGTAAGGTTTATTGGAAGAGAGATGGTTAAAACGTGTTTATTTTCATGAATGGTGGTCGACCCTTGATTCCAACACGCTCTCGTCATAACTCTCTTGAACGTTAATCTCAGCAGTAACTCCTCAATTCATGTATCCATTCTTCTATTAGCACTTCAATTAATTCCTCTAAAATGTTGGCATACGTGAAAAATACTACCTGCTTGTTGACGTCAGCCACGGTATCATCCTGTAGGAACTCCACTGGCACGTCTAGTTTTACTAAGAAGCGTGCCAGATAAGCCCTTTTCTTGAGCTCATTGGTTCTCTGAAGAAGCCAATGTAAGACAGGATGAATTACAGGTTTGCTTCCTGTAACCAACCCTTGGCGAAATGCGCTCCTATTCAAAAACAACAACAACAAAAAGTATTACCTACTATCAATAAATCTCAAACGAAAGAACACTGGCTGGAAAGTTTGAAGTGTTTTGACAATCCCATTCCACTTCCCTAATGGCTTTCTTAATGTAGTTAATAGAGAAGGCAGTCATGGTGCCAGTTTGCTATTTACAATCCTGATTCTGCTACCTTGAGGCACACGGAAATCCCACAACAAAACAAAGATGATAAAACCTGCAAAAACGATTCATCTTTTCCAGCAATATTCTTCGGGAAATGAGGAAATGAGGGAAGAGCGCAGGTTTTCAGGGTTACCACCTGGCACTGGAGGGTGGCACTGCAGCCTGAAAGGACTGGGGGCAGAAGTGACCCTGTCATGCAGGCGGCACCCTCTCCTGGCAGACTCTGCAATAGCAGCTGGTGCAGCCGTACCCCGGGGCTGCCCCACACCTGCGGGAGCCTTCTGCAGCCATCCCAGACCGACAAAACAGGAGCTCTTTAACTTGTTACACGTATCTACTTGGATAGTCAGGGTCAAAAATACAAAAAAAAAAACCAAAACAACTGAACTAAAAGTTGTTACATAGAAGCTGTAACACGAGCTTTATCATGATTTGTGGATCAAAAGATACTTACAGATCTGTTACACTTCCTGGAGGCTTGTATTTAAGGACACCAAGGAGAGTCAACATTCTTTTAGCTGTATTCTCTGGCAGCTCCTCTCTAACGTCAACAGCATGCTACATGGTTTGAAACATACAAATAAATATCCAGTATTTGTTCAAGTCATTTCAATTAACCAGTGACACTAAAAGAATTGACTTTATTCGCTTATCACATGTCAGTGGAGTGAGTTCCATATAGAACATTCTTTTTATCAAGTTGTGATTATCTTTAAAATGTTTTCCTCCTACACACGTATTCAGGTAATTTTATTCCAGGCTTAAATTCTCCCCACTCATAGGACCTCATCTATTCAGAGGAAGAAATTATTTCCAAGTCTGAGATCCTAACACAGCAGCACATGTACCTTTACACCACAGATCAGAAGGGATCAATTCTGTACCTCATACCTTCGGTAGCATCAGTGTAAGGGGAGTCAGAAACTCAGTTACCAATTGCAAATGAGAAACCATTCTTAGTCAGCTCCTACACTGCATATGTGAGCAAGACATAGCTGACTTTTGACTCAAGAATAGAGTTGTTGAACTTGTTGTCTGAACCAATTTAAGACCTCTACCTTGATTCCCAACTTAAAATATAAAGTCATCAGTCTCTGGTGGATGAGGATCCAGCATCCCTGGCCCAAAAAAGACTTGTTTGTTCACTGACAACTTGTAGATATATAGACACAAAGGATTCTTGTCAGGCACATTTATTTCCAGGAAAACTCATACAAGCTATTTTGATAAACCAAACATGCCACAAAGATACACAACGCCAGACCTAAATAAAAGCATTCCGTGCAATTTTTGTGACAGGCCAACTTAAGACGTTGGCAGTTACCCAGGTCTGAGCACCTCTGATTGCCCTCCTTACCTTCGGGTCAATCTCCCCCAGCACATCACTGAGCAGCTGCAACAGCTGCACCGACTCTAAGGAGTCAAACGTGATTAAATTGTAGTTCTTCCTGAAGGGCTCCTGATTGAGCTTCTCAACAATGAACTGGATTTGGTCACTCATGGTCGCGTCCTGGAAGAACCTCTGCAGAAGAGCCGGACGAGACGCCACGAGGCCTCAGCGGGGCCAGGGAGCCGAGGGCTGCCGGGAGTGCGGCTGAGCTCGCGGCTCAGCGAGGCCCTCGGCAGCGCTGCGGCCTTCAGCCGGCACCGGGCTCGGCCCAGCCAGCCCCTCACCCCCGAGAGGGTGATGAAAACCCTTAAGAGAGCAGGGGGGGGAGGCGGCCAAACCCCCACCGCCAGTCAGCCAGGCCCTCTCGGGGCCACCCCCGCGCCGTGAGGTAACGGAGCCGGGGCCGCCTTGGCCTTCACCCCCCCGCTCGCGCCTCCCGGTTACCGTGGTAACGGTTGCCAGGCCCGGCGATGACGTCACTTCCGGGCGTGCCACGCGGACTTCAGCTGGAGAAGCGCGCGCATGCGCAGAGCGGCGCGTGGCGTTGTGACCTCTGCGGAGGGGCTGGGACAGAACGGAGCCGATCGGCTTGTGGGGAGCGGGTCCCCGCCCCCTCCTCACAGCGTGATGTGTGGGGGGGAGGCAGTTTCCCATCCCACCCCTGCGCAGTGTGAGCATGGGGGAGGTCGCTGTGCCCCCCGCACTGTACACGGGATGTTCTGTGCGGGGCACAGCACAACGCTCTCGATGCAAGGAACGGCTGCAATAGGGTTTATGTATGGGTTTTGGATTTTGGAGCCTCTGCTCTAAGTTAGCTTTGTGGGTTGTCGGAGGAACCCACGTGAGTTCGCAGGTGATGGAGTAAAACACGCCGTGAGTCATTAAATTGGTGCCATTAAATTGAAATGCACGGGTTGTTTATTCGGTAAGCAGCAATCATAAGTCTAACACTTGGCAATTCTAAACAATGTTTCCATCTTAGATTAATTCCCCTCTTCTTTCCAGGGAATAGGAAATACCTCAGAAAATACCAATTTACCCATTTTTTTTCTAAAAGCCTGAGAAGTGACACCACATTTCTGTCCTCGCTTTTCACTGGCTGAACTTAGTCACAAAGGGGACGGATGAGTTCCTCTTGGTTGTGCATGAGAGCTGAGATAGAGCCAGGAACATAATCCAAGTCTCCTGACTGCTGGATTTGAACTTTAAAAACCAGATCATGTTTCCTTTGTGCTTTCCGTCTGCACGCTGACCTTTAGGAATCGTACTACCTACAAGTTCCCAGAAGAGATCTACTTTCCTTTGACATGCTTTCCTGGTATCGATTACGCTTTTCTTCTGATTAGTATTTTGAGCATATAGAATGCACAGGGGGTGCAAATGAAAATGATGTTTTCTGTGGAGGCGCTGGGGATGAGTTCTGCTCCCTGTAGGCAACACTGATGGGTAATAGGAAGTGGTAGGTGTCATCGATCCTGGGCACTACTTCCTTAATTCTGGAGAAACAGAGTGTTTCTGCAAATCTGGATGCACATCCTCAGTCCTCAGAACAGGGAGAGAACAGACTGTGCTCACAGTGCTGAGGATGGAGAGGGTCTGGACCCGGGCTGGGTACGGCCAGGTGGTGCTGCTCTGACCTCCTCTTTGCATTTAGGATATTTCACTCCTCACACCTTCCGAGAGGCAAAGGACTGTCCCCTGCTTTTCATGTCTCCTTAATGTTATAGAGATGACAAAGAAGAGAAAGGATGCTTGAAAATTAGAAAACCCCAAGATCAGACATGAAAAGATGCCAAGATTGTATCACTATGTCGTGATGAAAACCCACGAACTCAGATCATTCTGAGTCTGAGAGGAGAACAAGACCTCTCTGATGAGAAGTCAGGGTGAGCTCCAGCATGCTGGCCTGTTTGAATGTACTTATGATTCAATACCAGAGCAAAATCATACATCAGAGTTCCTCGGGACTTCCCAGGTCAGGGAAAGCATGGGGGATCCTCTGGTATCTTCTTCCAGTCCCTTCTTCCAGTGGTTTTGTGCTATTTGTCCATGCAGCCCAGAGTAGCCAGACTGCTACCCCAGGGTACCTACACACTACCTGATATTTGCCCTCAGTAATAGTGCCTGAATTCTCAAACTTACTTCTTTAAAAAAACCCAAACAAATAGTATAATAGCTTATTCTATAGTGTCTTGACTTCCACATGACAACAGAATTTTCACAGACAAAAGATATCATAGCTTTTAGTGCAGCCTTGGGTAAATGTTAGAGGAGGCAGTTGAGATTTTTGATGTGATATCTGAATCAAATCTTACTGAACTGAAAGCCACTGTTTCTATATATCTGTTGTATAATTCCATGGGCATCTTCCAAATTCCCAAGTTAGTGTGCATGAAGAGTCATACAGAGTTTCGAGCGAAGTTTCTTAATGACTAGAGAGTTGTTAGAACAGTGCATCCCTATCATCCTATCCAATTCCCTGAATAGGGTTTATGCTTTACACTGCTTGGGAAAAGCATATAGAGATTGTTTATTGAAAAAGTGTCATGCAGAGGCAATGAGCAGAAGAAAAACAATGGAGCAAAAGAAACTATCCAGACCAATTTAGATCTGCAGGCACATCTTCATTACTCTCTCCTGTCTTTCTCCTCCCTTTATAGCTACTGCTGTGTGGATGACTGCCTTGTAAAACTGCAAGAGCTCGAGCATAGAGGCCAGCAAATCAGAGTGGAACGAAACCTGAGCAAATCGAAGTTGTGCTCACCAGGCAAAGAGAGATCACCTTATATGGGAACATCCATGGACAAGAAGATGAATGCATCTGCCCTTGCTGCTGAGGTCAGATCCCAAACAGATAGAAGATGTTAATGTGAAAATGAGAGTGTTTAGGAAGCAAAGACAACACTTACTAAAGCTTATTGTATGCAACCCAGGTCTTCTTGTTTCTTCGTCTTTTTTTTTTTTTTTTTTTTTTTTTTTTCCTCCTAATAAATATTGTGATATTTGTATGTAACTGTAAGTCTGACTGGGATATATTAAAAATCAATTTATTTGTGTCTGTCCTAGCACCTAAATGCATCCCAGGTTTGTTTCTGGATCTTACCAATTGCGTTTTTTTTTTGTTGTTGTTGTTATTACATAGCAGGATTTTGCTTGCTGAAGTCTCTAATATCAACTATAGCAATGTGGATTGTGGTCAGCAAAGGCATAAGGAATGACTGCTGATGTCTCAAAAAATTAAGCCTCTTAGAACATGACCTGCTCCTGTGTGCTAACAGACCTGTCTGATTCCTCATGCTTTGTCACAGCTACACAATAGGCAGCGCCCTAGGTGATTTAAAACAGTAAAGAAAGCCATTATTTCTGTGTTGCAGGCTTTGTACATTTGGCGCATCTGTGCAGGTCTTCTGTTGCAAGAGAGAGTACCCCAGTCCTTTAAAGATAAGTGTGATAGATTGTGATCCAAGCTTCTTTTCTTTCAGACTTTGAGAATAAGATTTACAGATCCCACCTCAAGCGCTCTGCACTTTTACAGCTCCTTTGTTTATGGCATCAGATGGTTTGGCTTTGCACCTGCTCCTTGACCCCATGGGCCAGATGCCAGTATTTGGTTTGCAGCTCATTGACCAGCTTGTGCATGGAACTGTGCAGTGTGAGAAGCTGCAGACAATGTTATACACCTTGCCAATGTTATATACCTTGCCCTGCTCAGCACTGTGACTTTGTTATCCAGCTGTACTGCCTCTTAATACCATGACCTGGCAGAAAACCATCCTGAGACCAAATAGGACAGTGTGCTATGTAACCTGAGGTAAAAAGCTGAAGATCTTTGTGGCCACTGGTGTCCCAAAAATTTGCTTTACCATTTTCATTCTTGCATGGACATTGCCACCCCTGCAGTATGAATCTGGAAGTGTATGGCACCTTCTTTGCACTAGTGCAAATTGTTGGGTGGTGGGGAGTCAGGTTCAGAGGGAGGCCAACATCATGCTGGTTTCAGTCCTTTTAGATTGATCTCTGCAGCTGCCCCAGCTTCAGGCAAAGCATCCACTTGCAGGTCATTCACTGTGTAGTGCTGAGAGCAAGAGCAGGTGGTTGCAAGCAGGTTGACATGCAAACCTCAAGGAGAGTCCAGTGAGGTACTGGCCTACATGTTGATGTAGCAGTGCCTTCTCCTGGAAAGCCAAGCTGCAGAATTTGCAGTGGAGTACTCAACTTCTGGTGGGACCAGAACAGCTGGAAGGTTATTTTTGCAAATGCACAATGATTCTGTTGTCGAGAAGAGCTGTACTGGATCCTGGAAAAACATGGGCAGGAGCCTCCTGGCCTTCATGTACTGCTGCTCTCCCAGTGTAGTAGTGCTGCTCTGAGCTGCTTTCAACATTTGAGCAGCTTCTTCTGCACTGATGTTCCTGTAGCTCTTGGTTTCCCCTTTGCAAGTGTAGACAAGGGAACCATCAAGATTCCTCTGTGGTGGCTGAGGCTACCCAGCACATTATGGAAACCACGGCTAATGATGCACCCACAGCCAGCTAGAGAAGTGGTTGTAAATGATCTGCTCATTTTACAGATACTGAGTAAGATGCATTGGGAAAGGATGTGATATGAAAAGGGCCACAATAACCCCAAGGCAGAAACTACTGAGCTTCTTTCTTTATCTCTTTTCTCTGTCTTAAGGCTTTTCGTGCGAAAATAAGTGGCCTCAGCTAATGGTCCTGTGGTTTGACCAATAGTAGGTGTTCCAATGTTTATGTGATACCTAATCCTGTTTCTACTGAAGTGCTTTGGAAAAAATGTGTCGAATTCATTCTGCAGACTCAAGTCTTTTAAGCAATAGAAAAGCATTCCATCCTCCTTCAAGTCAGGGCAGCACCTTCAAAGTGTTTACTACTTCACAAAGTTTTCTCAGTCTGGTTTGAGGTCTGGACAGATTCAGTGAAAGGAAATTCTCCTCCAGACACTGCATAAGTCAGACTTGAGAACCTAGAAGGAATTTTTTTTTTTCCAACTTTAAACTTTTTATCTTTAAAAAAGCTGGGCTAGCTGAGGACTATCATTGATGTATCTGACATTTAGACTTTTCTCTTTGAAAAAAGTCCGAATTCAGAAATTTCAAGTGCACTACTGATATTCAGTTGAAGGGAATTCAAAAAATCTTCCCTCTCTGAAAACTCCCTTTGTCGCACATAAACGTGGGTGGCTGTGAAGAGCTTGTATTTCTGACAACGGACTGAGCCAGGCTACTTCTGTTTTAGTTCCCTAAAATAAGGTGGAAGTTAAGTTTGTCCTTTTCCTTCTCTGGACAGATAAAGAAGGCATTTGGTATCGCGTCTCTCACTTCTTTATGTTCTTTATTTTTGATTAATATCAAGCTCTGATCCACCAGCTGCCTTTCTTTTGAAGGCCTGTGGTACCATTCTACTCATATGGTTTTCTGACTGTGCCTTTAAGTGGGGTGGGCTCAGAAGGATGCAAAAGAAGACGGCATCGGCCACTTTCAGTTTCTATAAGCTCACAGGGAACATTGCACAATGGTTGCTCATGGCTGGATGAAGGATCTATTTAATTATGACTCCCCAAAACTGATCCGTTTTCCCAGTGTTGGATGTGTATGTGTGAAGTGGTTCATTTATGGAGTTATTGCTGTGTATATTTGGTAAGTGCGGGATGACGGGAAATGAGCACAAACAAGTGTTTGTTGTGCTGGGGGGTTGTCTGGGTTACAGTGTGGCTTTCAGAGCTTTCAGTTCTGTGGTAGCAATCATTGATTTGGTGTTAGACCACTCTTGGAAGGTGGATTTGGCAGTGTGAGCTTTGTGGTGGGATTCTGGCACGGGAGGTAATCACAGGGTGGGATTTCACTGAGTTTTCACTAACAAATGCTTGTGGTTTCATTTCCTGCTATGCTGTTTCTGTTTCTTGTCTATAAACACAGACTCACTCCATTGAATTATCTGACATTTACATCAGTTTTTCTGAGATTAGAGTGTGTTCCACAGAGTCTCCCATCAGGACCAGATCTACCTAACAGATGAAATAGCCAATCAAGCTCTTGAAGCACATTTCAAGAACAATAAGGTGTTTAGGAATAAACAATAATTGGTTGCCTCTAAAGGGCAAATTTTCCTCCTTGCTGCCAAAGTAGGGCTGTTTTCAGTGATAAGTCTTTGCTGAACAAAGTCTGCAAGTTCAGAAAGTGATTTATTTCCCATGTGAGGGCAACAAGCCAGGACACGGAGCACACTGATCCCAATCTTGGTAAGAATCAAGTCTGCAGGAAATGCAAGCACCTACTGCTGCTCAGAGCCGGGTTCCTACTGCCAGTTTCCAAAAGCATGCTTATCCCAAAGTACTGATCTCCAGAAAGAGAAGGCTGAAATGCTGTTACAATAGGCAATATAAATGAAGGAGCATTGATCAAATGCTTTCTACATCTGTTCTTTAGCAAATTTTATCTATTCCAGAAGAGTCTGCTGCTAAACTGTAATGATGCTGAACCACTCCTGTGGCTATGCAACAAGATTGTTTTTCAAAGCAAACCTTTTATATGACTTTCGTGTAATGTGGAAGCTACCTTCTGGTCATAAAATAGTTCTTCAAAGATGTCATTGCCTGCAGGAATTAGATGAGCTACATCACTTCCTGTCAACATAAAAATACAGCTGACTTTCTACTATTAGCACATGAGAAAATGAAAGTATTAGGCCAAAGTTTTTGAAGCAATCAGCATGAGGCAAAAAAAAAAAAAAAAGTCACAACACTGGAAAATTAAAGTCTAAATATTCTAACCAGGATGTGACCTGAAGTTGTCCACAGCATTTAGGATGGGAAAACAGAAATTCTCTTTGCGCATATTTGCTGACGAAGTGAACACTGCAAAAGCGAATTCAAGGAGAACTTGGGCTCAAGCAATACATCTGTCTCACACCAAAAGGGCTGAAAATGCCCGTCTGACTTTATGCTGCGGTTTATTTTGTCCAAGAATGATACAAAAAGCCAATTCATTTTATTTTTACGAGTTTTCTTGTCCCCTCTGTTTAATTTGTGCAGTTATACACTCATTGTTCACAAGCGCTACCAAGAGAAAGAGGAACTCACCAGCTCAGTTCGCATTAACCTGAAAGGAGTGGCTCATGCAGACAGGATCTGGGATGCAGCAGAATACACCATACCAACACAGGCAAGTGTTAATTTAATGTCAGCACAATATTCCAATTCTATCAATACATCTGGTTTCTGTCCTGGTAAATCTGCTGGAATGAGCAGTAATATTAAGGGAGACTTAACATTTGAGACAGCAATGTTTTAAGCCAAACCTACCTTTCCCCAGCAGGGAAGAAAAGGAAAAAGATTATTCTTTTCAATGAGATTTCTGTGGTGCTATTTGTTACATGTTTTTTTTTTTTACAATATCAGTTTAATATTTTTATAGTAACAAACCTAGGAGCAGATTTACTCCAGTACAGCTGTACTAAACACAGTATTGTTATTCCTAGTTAATGCTATTGTGTCTTTCTAGGTTGTAATGCCAGTATTTAAAAAAAACATTAGTGTCTTTTTGCCTTGACTGCTCATTTGTGCCCTGAAGCCATCTCTGGCTTTTCCTGTTTGAGCTGGGGAGAATCTGACATCTGACATCTGTTGGGGGGAGATAGAGCAGCAACAGCCTTGTTGTCCTACCAGGTGATGTCCTGAAGAGGTTGAGGTCTGAACCAAGTACGTGAAATTTCAGTCATATTCATTTTCTTTTCCCCACGTAGACAAGAGACTCTTTTTTTGTGATGACCAACGTCATTCGGACAGAGAATCAGATTCAACAGACTTGCCCTGAGGTAAACATTTTTTTTGTAATTTATACTCAGGATGATGGTATTGAATACAAATAGCCAGTAGTTAACAGAAAACATTGATGTTAGTGTAAAAGAGCAGACTGTGGGACAGTCCTGTACAAGCAAATACAGCTGCTCTTTATACTTATATCTCAGTAGATAACATGCAATCTAACCTAACTGATCATTTTCTTTCCTTCACCCTGCTATTTCTTGGGGAATCAGTTTGTTGGCTGAGATTTTCCCTTGCATCAGTGAGCTTGCCAACCCTACCTGCATTGCTTTTAGGGAGTAGTGACATCCAGGCCAGTGCAGCTTTTCTGGCTATGCTGCTGCCCTTTTGAGAACAACCTGAAGGGATGCTGGAGTTACGGAAATGCTCTCACTGTTGCTCATTCCCACATCTTCCCATTCCTCCTTTCTGTAACTCAAACCTGGCAGTCAGCTTCAGCTCTCCTTCTTTTTCATCCAGCTGGCCTAGAAGTGGGTCTTTGCAGAGCAGTTCCCAAATATAAGTTGACTTGCACTGCCAAAAGTTTTTGGGGCTGTTTATAAACAAAAAAGTAAATAGTCCAGTATTAGATTTATTGTACTTAGCAGTATAGAAAACAGGAAATGACATAAATAATAAAAGAAAATGTTATTGCAAGGAGAGACATTGTATGGAGAGACACACATACTGCTCTTCCATGTCTTTTTTTTCAGTATCCCATCGCCAAAGCTATCTGCTCTTCAGATAAGTCCTGTGAAAAAGGGATTGTAAATGTCCACAGTAATGGTACGTAAATGGCATTTTCAGACTGAAATATTGTTTGTGGGTACTGTCTTCTATTGTGTCATTGATCAGTGCAGAACATGCAAGTTCCATTTTGGAGAACTGCAGCAGAACAGTATATAATCCTAAGAGATACCTGATAACAGATTTTTCAAAACCACAAAACAGAATTTTTTACCAGCTAGTGCATGCCCTTACTAAAAGGAGAAACTGTGGAAGGAAGCAGAGAAAGGGGAAATGTGAAGAGTACAGACTGTGGCATAAAGGAGGACTCTCACTCCTGGTGTCTGTGGCTGCTCAGCAAGGGGGGTGACTGCAGGATCTACCTGAAGCATCTGTAACATCTGATAGGTAGTTCTCAGAATAAGTCAAATGGCTTGTGTCTTTCACTGGGAACTGGTTGTCCAGAAGACATCATACAGTTTTCATCAGCTATGTGAGTTCCTTGTAGTGCTGAGATTCCCCAGATTCAGGCTGCTGGCTGAATTATATCTTTCCCTGGTAAAGTCTGAGTGTTCACAGAAAATTCTGACTCTCCGGGAATGCAGAAAGAATCAAGGTTTTCTATATACCTTTAGAGAATCATAGAATCATAAAATGGCTTGGGTTGGAAGGGATCTTAAAGATTGCCTAGTTCCAACCCCAATGCTGTGGGCAGAAATGCCACCCACTATATCCTTCTTTATATCCTTGTTTAATTTGCTCGTGTTGAATTAAACTTCTAGCTGAAACAGTTAGTTTCTCAATTTATATCAAGACTCAGATATGTCAGGATATGTCAAACAGAAGGAAATTACTTCACCTTTGATCCAAACAACAACAATCTCTGTTGACCCAAGCAAGCAGCTAAATAAGGACTGGTGAAGACATGGCACGACCATAATCTGGGTAATTCTTAAAGTCTCCTCCATAGAAAGCCATGAGAATCCAAAATGTACAAATCTCTCCGTGGCATTTGAGGATGAATCTACTGCCATGCTGAAACTGTCTAGATGGTACAGAGTGTTTGTGTTTGCTGAGCAAGAGCTTGTTCTTCTACAGGAATTCAAACTGGAAGATGTGTGCGCTATAATGCAACTTACAAAACGTGTGAGATCAAGGCATGGTGCCCTGTTCAAATGGAAGAAAGCCCCCCCATGTAAGTAACAACATTATTTTCTTTTTTTTTTTTTTTTATCAAGAGGAGAGTTTACTTTGACAGTCCTACAACTTTCGGATAATCACTTTGCCTAGGTGCAGATGTATCTCAGGTATCTAAACCAGTATCTATCAAGTATCTAATCACAGCATAACTATAGCTAAATACATTACTTCTAACAACTGTCCTGCTCTGTGATTCTGCAGTGAACCCATAGCCTTCAGTCTTAGCATCACACAGCTGCCACAAAAACAATTTTAGATGACACAGGCTCATCTTGAATTCACTCAAGGCATTTGGATGATGAATTCAAATGTCAAGGAAAATGCATCAACATAAGACAGGTTTTTTAACTTGAGGTTCTCAGTGCTCTGTGGTGTAGAAGCTCTGTGTGGGTTCATTTACTACAATGACCACTCAGACCAGTAGTGCTAGATTAGTTGTTGTCTGTGCTGCAGAGTAGCTTTTAGGGGTCTACTCTAGACTGAAGAACATCTCTTCATCCTTTCTAGGCAGGTGATGAAAACCTCAGTGCTGGCTATAAGTAATAGAAAACTGAGGAAAACTGTAGGAGAAAGGCTTCAGGAAACAAAGCTGCTGTGACTCAGAGAGTGGAATGGAGGAGCCCTGTAGGCATCTTTTTCTGTAACCACATGACTGTGTAGTATTCTAGGATGAAAATGTTCAATTTCCTTTCTGAGTCAGCCAAAGCATGAAGAAATTCGAGAAAAGGTTTTATTTCAACAGAAATGATGGAAATTTCACTCTAAGAAAGCAAATGACTAATCAATTTTAGCTTCTCTGAACCAGCTTTTGAAATATATGAGTAAGAAACCAGGTCAATAATCACTGAGTAGTGATACAAGCATGATTCTGTGCCCGTATCCCATCTCTTCCCTAAGTCAGAGTTTTCTGCAGACACAGAGCATTTTTTCCCCAGCCAGGTCCCATCCAAATCTCACAGTGCCTCCTGCAGTAACTTCTGCTGAGTTCTTTTCACCTCTTTAAAGGAATTGCCATTCCCTTCTCCTGCAGACAGAGCTGTGTTCTGAAAAAGGCTTTGTCCAAGAACAGAAAGGATATGACTGTTCATACAGCATCCTCTCTGTGAAGACAGCAAGGAAACTATCTGCTCACTGCGCAGAAATCCTCAGCTGCCAAATGTTATAAACTCTCACTATTATTATTCTGTAGCAAGATTTATATGAGAAGTCTCATGAGCTCATATTTCATCTGCATATAGGGATTCAATTTAGGCTCAGCCCACATAAGAAAGTGCAAAAGGGAAAGAACTGTTTATACCTCAAACTAAGAAAATGACCTTTATCTTTCTTGATCCTCTGAGCCAATTCTCTCCCTGCTCCTCAGTCTCTTTCTCAGGGAAATATTCCTCCCACTGACAGTTTTCCAGGTAATAAATTAGCAGAAGATTAATTGATGTATTTAAAAGTTAGTTGATTTGATGTTTCTCTTTTAGGCCAGCTGTTCTGAGGAGTTCTGAAGATTTCACAGTGCTTATAAAGAACAACATTCACTTCCCCACATTTAATTACACCGTGTAAGTGCCAGTATTCCTCCGTGCTTTCTGCAGAGTGAGTGGTTGTGCTCTGAAGAAAAGGTTGTATAAATTGGCACCTTATTTATTCAGAAAGAATATATCTTCAGGGCTTTATCTGCATGAGAACAAACCACAAGCCTTTAAAAGATTGATTCTTCAGGAACAAGAGAAATAAGAAGACCTTGGGAACACAGCCTCCCAGCATAGCTCAATTTCTCTTCAGGCAAAGGACAGTAGAATTGTTCATTCAGATATTCCATTCACATTAGGGTAAAATCATTAAATTATACCATAAGTGATGTGAGATTCAGAGTCTAAGTCAAAATGCTTTGTTCACACAAGTAAACTGTTGCTTGTGATACGTCCAAAGAGTAAAGATTTCATCTTGATTTGCAAGACTCATAGCAACATACAGATCTGGTAGCTGTGAAAACAAAAGCTCATACAAGTAAAATCTGAGCACGTTTAACACAGCTTCCAGCCAGTGTGAAATCCTTTAGCTGTATTTATAGCTGTTCTAGCTTTTGCTTTTAGATTTTAACAACTGTATGTGTTCTTCATAGACAAAACATTTCACCCAAATTGAATACTTCCTGCAAATTCAACAAGGTAACTGACCCACTCTGTCCAATATTCCGCCTGGGAGATATCCTTCAGGAAGCAAAAGAGAATTTCTCTGAGGTGGCAGTCAAGGTCTGTGATATTACTTTTTTGTATACTCACTGTTAAAACGTTTTCTAGCCTTTCTTCCTTCATGTTTTGCTGTACGCCGTGTTGTCCTAGGTTTAGAAGCTGATTGTTTGAGAAGCAATATAACCTCAAATTGAAAGGATTAAATGTGCTTAACATTTCACAGCATGGGACCCACACTGACAGCGTTGATAGAATATGGTTGGTATTGCTGTAGTATGTAGAAGTCCTTCAGCAAACCAACATGCACTTAGGTCTCATAGAAAGTTGTCCTTTGTGGTCATCTTTTAATTCTACTACATTCTAAATCATGTTGTCTGGGGAGAGAATCACTGAAAAGTAAGACTGGCACAAATGGTAGCTTATATTTGGCATTAAAAAAAAAAAAAAAAAAAAGACATTTATTTTTCCCATTATATTTTTGCTCTATTCTTTAGGCTGTTAAGCTAAATCCCCATAGCACAGTATCCAGCCACACCTCTGGCAAGTTTATATTAATGGATGGGTAGATGAAAAGTAGAAATGAAGTGTCTCAAGAAGAGTCATCATTTAAGCCAGACTTATTGAGTCTTAGCATGGCACAAGGGCACTAAAGATGAAAAATTTGGACTGGGTGTCTACCACATTTACATCTGCAATTTGGCTTTTGGTTTGAGCCAAAATGAAATTGCCATCACAGTGTTTTAGCTACATCCACATTTGTGCTACTAAAATGAAGAAGGATAGGCAGAAAATAGGAAGAGTCAGAATGAATGGTTGCTTATAGATCACGCAATTAAGACACTTCCATGAAAGACTGTTTGATGAGCAAAAGTTTTTTCTAAGTTAGTGTGCATAAGGAGATGTCCCAGCCAATGGCATCCCTCAAATCTCTGCTGTCTTTAACAGATATCCAGCAAAGGCAGCAATCAGAATAATCCCTGTGCTTGTTTCCAGGGAGGAATCATTGCCATTGAGATTAAGTGGGACTGTGACTTAGACAGGTGGTCCTACTACTGCAGTCCAGAGTACAGCTTCCGCCGCCTGGATGACAAAACAAGAACCCAATACCCTGGATTCAGCTTCAGGTAAAAAAAAAAAAAAGTTACGTGAAGGAAGTAGGATGTTTCTGAATTAAAGCAAAGCATGGAGAATGACAGCTTGGAATAACAAAATGTTTGACTGTCCTTTGGCCTTGTAGTCAAGTCCTTAACCTGCAGTTACTGCAGCTGTATAGATATGTTGTCATCATCATCTCAAAAATGAGCATGTTCGTGTGGCAGGAGGTTTTATTTCTGTGTTGAAAGGCCTAGAAAATTCCCACAAGTATTTGGGGAGCTAACACGAAAAATAGTTTGGGCAGATTCTACCATATGGCATTTGAGGCTTGAAACTGCCTAAATTTGTGAGATTAAATAAAATAAGAAAGTATTTTGCTTCCATCTGGGTAACCCCACAGTTCCCAAAGCAAAACTTATTCAAAAGCAAATGAAAGCTTTTGGTTCTTTGTACATACAACAGATTCATGCACAATTTTAATGAAAAATCTTGATGTGACTCCAATTCTGAGTAGTTACACAATTTGTCAAATGCTTATCAGCGTGTTTGAGACTGAAGTTGTCCCTCAGATCTAGGTCAAAACTCTTGTGTAACAGCACTTTTTTTACTCATGGCATGATTATTGTTGTGGGTTTTCATACATTTGTGATGCTAACATGAGTGCCATAACTGTCTGAGAGCTGCCAACATATTCCAAAGCTGTGTCCTGCTGGAGCTGTGCAAACAAGGAGCAAATAGGTGTCAGCTCTGAGCTGACAACCATAGACAAGAGATGGGGGAGAACATAAGAAAAAATGGAGATGGTACTGTGAGGTAAGGCCAGCAGCCTTCCTGATGACTAGAAGTTTGTAGGACAGTCAGATCAGACTGGCTTCAGCCCCTTGATTTTGGAAGGCAGGAAAAAGAAGACAAGAAACTACATTCCCTTTTGCATTCTCTAGCTTTGTATCATTACATTCATCAGCTGCACAGATCTTCACTTGTTCTTTTGCAGGTTTGCAAGGCACTATAAGCTACCAGATGGGACAGAGCAGAGAACCCTTTTCAAAGCCTATGGAATACGGTTTGATGTCCTTGTGTTTGGCATGGTAAATGGGACTGTTGTTCCTTCTGGAGGGAAGAGAGAAGAAAATTTGCTATTTCTTTAATGCTGCTTTCCATATATCCATTTCTTTTCTTCTGTCCATCGTTCTGGGATGGAAGTCATGTCAGATGAGTAGATCTGAACTCAGCTGAGCAGCGTAATGAGCAAAGTTGAAGAGGAAATAGCAGAATTAAGAGAGAATTAGGATTGTTGTTTAGACTGAAAGCATGACAAGGTTTCTTGCCTGCCGTGAGCCCTGCGTGTCACCACCATTTCCTTCTCAAATTAGTTATTTTTCCCTGCAAAGTGCCTGAGATGGTCTATGAAATCTTGAGATTGAATGGATGAATCACTGCAAAGGGACAAAACCAGAAATGCCGTGACGCTGAGTCAAAGATCTTGCTTCCCAATTATTATTTTCTGCTTCCTTTAGGGTGGACAATTTAAACTCATCGAACTCTTTACCTTCATTGGGTCCACGATCGCCTATTTTGGCTTGGTGAGAGACTTTTGTGTATCTTGAACTAGTTCTGGAGACAGAGTCTCATTAAGAAAGTGGAATCACTGCTTGCTTTTCTTTCCTGTGCAGGCTGTGACCGCTATAGAAATGTGTTTTCAGTTTTACAATTGCTCCAGCTGCTGCAAAATACCATTCTGTGAAAATGTAATCAGGAAGAAGTATGAGACTGTGCTGATGCCAGAACAGGTAAGGAATGCAAATTGTTCATTCCTGCTTCTCTGCTGGGCTTTGTTCTCCTGCATCCTGCAGCAGCCTGCAGCTGTGGTTTGAAGAGATCAGGGAGTTTTGAGAGAGGGGACTGCAGGACCCAGTGCAGTAAGCGATGGGCAAAGAGAACTGCTTCCTCCTTTTCATGCCAGAGAATCTCCAGGAAACTCCAGCTTACACACAGAGCCTTGGTATGGCAGAGCCCCACCAGCTCTACCAGGGAAACCTGCAGGGAATCATGACCTTTCAAAACGGTAGGAAGGTGCTGTGAAAAGGTTGTCCATTCAGAGGGCATTGCTCAAAGCCTCTTCCCTGCCAATTCTGTATTGCCTCTTCCTCTTTCTCGAGACATTTATGGTTGTTTCACTGGGCTCTATCTACTAATTCCCCAGTATTTTAGAGATGGGCACAGAGCAACTCTCCACATAAAGACTGCACAGCCACACTCTTGCAGTTAGTTCTGCACTGTCTCTTGTTGTTATTTCTGCCTGTCCCCACTGCTGTCCACGTCCTTGCTATCCCAGATACTGGAAATCTCTACTCTTGCTGCATGCAATTGCAAGGCATTGTTGCTGGAGTACAGACTGCAGAAACCAGACCCGTGGTGAGATCTCTGTTCTGTCTCCAGTTCTGTGAGCAACTACTTGAGCTGACAGTGCTGATTTCTTCTGCTTCACAGGTGATGTTTGTGTCCTATGTCGATAAGCCACATATTACTTTGATAAAGATGCCTCTGGAAACAAGCTTGCAGAATGCTGAGGGCAGCAGTTTCGAGGTAAATGCAGACACTTAACATCTGAGATTCCCTCCTCAAAGGAGAAAGCTGAGGAATGTAATTTCAAACTGATTTGCATTTCCCCCCTCCTCATATTTCAAGATTAAACCTCGAGGAACTGAAAATAGATTCATATTTCCCCTTCAAGTTAGTAAGTCCTGTGACCAGAGGATGCGTGTTTAGAGTCAGCTAAAAGCTGCTGTTTTCCTGTTGGTGGGCATGTGCTAGTGGGAGTGTGTTGGTGTTGAAACATCTCCTAAGGTGTCGATTTGATTTTGCTGTGGTGGGCGTTGGCAACACAGAAAGACAATCCTCCTCCAGATCTGCTGATCTATCGTCATTATGCCTATTGTGCTGTGTCAAATGAAACACCCGATGCTGAGAATCACTGCTGTAAATTCTCTCTGCAGATGGGTGAAGCAGCAGCAAACGTTCTATTCTCATTTATTTGGGGAATTGTTTTCCAGAACCACCCTGTGAAATTCTACGATCCTCGCACCTGCTGCACCCATGAGAACGAGAACCACAGCACTGCACAGTCCGAGCTCAGGCTGCTCACACAAAGCATCTCTTCTGCACACTGCCCTGAGTGGTGCTGCTGTGGCCAATGCCAGGTGACACAGAAGTACCACGAGCAGCTCTGCTGCCGGAAAAAAGGAGGGCAGTGTATCACAACCACCTATTGGTTTACACAGCTGGTGTTGTCCAGAGACACTCTGAATAAAGCCCTTCTCTATGAAGACCCCTTTCTGGACCTGACAGGTCACAGGTCCAACAGCCAGCTGCGTCGCATTGCTTACAAGCAGTTCATTCACTGGCGCTTCGGCTCTTTTGAGCTGGAGGACAGAGCCATCATCCCGAGCTGCTGCAGGAGGCTGATTAGAAATACTTATCCCAAAGCAAACGGCAACTATACTGGTTTTAATTTGGAATGAGGATGCAGCTTACCTTGGCTCATACTCTGGATTTTTAACCTGTTTCTTTTATGTACCTATAGAAGAAGAAAAAGCATATGATTTTTTCAAGATCTGCTATGCAGCTGAATTCTTGTGTCATTGGAGAGGGACTATTGCCTACTGCTTGGCTTAGAGTTCCTTTAGTTCCAAACCAAGTTTCCTTTGGTTTGGAATTGTAGCCTCTGGGGTGAATTCTTAGTGCTACATTTTAGTGAGAAGTTCCAGCCCTTTGCCTTTGCTTTGGCATGTACCAAAGTTCCAGATGAATCAGGAGATGACCAACACCCTGAAAATAAGGTAGAGCTAAGGATCTTCTCAAGGCATCACCCTGAAAGAAGCCTAAGAGATACCACTTGAAAATGTCATCCTGTGTGTTTCGATCCCCTTGCCTCACCACCATGCTGTGGCCCTGGATCAGGACTAATAAGAGGCTGCTGTGCTTGTATATTTGTAACCCACTGTTAAAGGCCTCACAGTCCATCCAGATTAAACAGGCTTATTTTAGATTTCAGTGACACAAAGCATTTTCTGAAAAGCCCAGCTGTTCTCTTGCTTAAATCAGGAATTACAATGTAAAGTACTTACACCATCTTTGTGTAATATTTGTAGGCATTTCATTCATATTCATTGAATTTTAATGCTAAGTCTTTGGCCTCCTGTTTGCTCTTAGCTTCAAGCAGGCCTTGCCTCCTACACCTCCTCCTACAGAACCCAGCACAGCACAGGTTGCTTTTTGCTGTGATGCCACAGCCCAGGAGCACCACATTCAGGGTGGTTTCATCTGTGCTCCAGCACCTTTCCAATCCTTTCTTTTTGCTGCCCTCGGACATGTTCTATTTTTGTAGAAACAAGGTGAGATGGATTATCATTTATATATTCCACAGCCCTTTCAACTGAGCTTTGTTTTTTCTGAGCTACACCAGCAGTTTGCCATTCAATTTCCCACGTGTATTTTAAAATAAATTGCCTGTAGATGATGCAAGCCACATTTGTGTCTTCAGTTGTAACATTGCATCCGTGTTCACGCTGCATCATTTTTTATATCTGGAGTGGAAAAAGATTACAGTTGGCATTAATGCACCCCTGTTCTGACACACGTGCTGGCTTTCCTCTGGGAAGAATTATAGAATGATAAGTTGGAAAAGACAACAAAGATCACTAAGAAAAGCCCACAAAGCCCAACCCCCGTCATGCCCACCTCAGTGCCACACTCCCACGGTTCCTGAGCACCCCTGGGGACGGTGACTCCCCCCCCAACTCCCGGCACAGCCCATTCCAGCACCTGACCGCTCTTTAGGAGAAGCTTTTCCCCGATTCCTAGGGGAAAACTCCCAGGAGCTGAACCTGCCCTGCCGCTCCAGCCGGGCAGAGGGCAGCGCCGGGGCGGGCACTGAGCCGGGCAGCACCCGAGCGCTCCGCCACGAGCAGCGGGGCTGCGGAGCGCGGCTGGGGAATCCCGGCTCTCCCGCTGCCCTGTCTGTCTGTCTGTCTGTCTGGGCGGCGGTCGGTGCTGCTGCTCCGCTGCCCGCCCTCCCCGGTCGCCGCCATGGCTGCGTGCTGCGGGGCTGTGCGCGGCTTCCTCTTCGAATACGACACCCCCCGCATCGTGCTGATCCGCAGCCGCAAAGTCGGGCTGATCAACCGCGCCGTGCAGCTCGCCATCCTCGCCTACGTGATCGGGTGAGCGAGAGGGGAGATCGGGTGGGCGGCTGTGCGGGGGGGAGAGTCGCTGCTGGTGATTGACGAAGCGCTTCAGGGGTGTGCAAAGTTAGGACTTTCCCTTCCTGCTCACCACGGGGACAAAGGTTGAGCTGTGTGCGCTTGACACGGCGGCCTTGTGTGCTGCCGGCTTGGTTTGGATTGCTCCAGCCCACAGTGGTTGGATATTAGGAACGATTTGTTCTCCCTGAGCACGGGGTCAGCGTCCCCAGGGGCGGACAGGAGCCGTGGGGATGCGGTGCTGATAGACGTGGCCAACGGGGATGGTTTGGGGCTGAGCTTGGTGGTCTTAGAGGTTCTTTTCCAGCCTTTGTGATTCTGATCCTAAAAATAGCGTATGAAATATCCATATAAGCCATAAAATCAATTTGATTTCCAATTGTCCTGATTTTTTTTTTTAAAAAAAAGATCGATCCATCACGGACAGCACATGCTTTTGCAGTAGATAGCCTTAAAACTGGGATGATTACTTAACTTTAAGCTGTATTGTTGGGAAAAGTCAGTCACTGGGAGTTCTGGATTGCTTCCCACATCCCCGCTCCTCTCACCAGCAGGGCTTCACTTATAAGTCCTCATTCCTCCTACACCTGGTGAAAGGAAGTTTCATCTTGTCTCCTTTAATACCTGAAATAGATATAAAGCAGAACCAAAGGGTCTGACCCACCTCAACAGCAGTGAGGACCATCTGGGCTGCACTGAGCTGAACTGTTTTCCTGCGAATTGTAGGAGAGCATCGCAGCCCTTTTGTGAACCCATCTTCACCTGGTGGGGGTGGGAGGATGTGTGTGTAATTACACAGTAATGAAACGCTGCCAAACCACTTGGAAAAAGCAGGAGGAAGGTTGCTGGTCCTATGGCTTTTCACTATGAAATTGTCTGAGCTCACCTCTGCAGGAGACATGAAAAAAAGGAGAAATTCCCCCTGCCTGTGTTTGTTTGTGGTGTTTAGCTGGGTTTTGTGATGAGGTTTGCCTTTTATTTTCTTTTTCTTGCAACTCTTATCTTGCAGCTGGGTCTTTCTGTGGGAGAAGGGCTACCAGGAAACAGATTCTGTGGTCAGTTCTGTAACCACGAAGGTGAAAGGAGTGACAATGACAAACACGTCCACCTTGGGAACCAGGATCTGGGATGTAGCTGACTACGTCATCCCTCCCCAGGTATGAATCATTTGCACATACAGAGAATGGGTTTTCTAACAAACAGTCACTGCTCTGCCAATGTCCACGCTCCAGCATGGCCTTTATGCAAGAGAATGTAGAAAATAAAGCAGGTGAACTTTATTATTTATCATTGGGTGAGCTTTCTTGTTTATTATTTATACCACCTGAGCTCTGTTAGCAGAGATGTTTGGAGGCAGTGCTTTGGATATGCTTTGCAGATTGTCACTCTTAAATCTCCTTCTTGTTTTGTTGCTCAGGAGAAGAATGCTGTGTTCATCATGACCAATGTGATATTCACACTGAACCAGAGCCAAGGCCACTGCCCAGAGGTGTGTAAAGGATCCACATCAACCTTGCCCAGAGTGGCTGGGAGTGCAGGAGGAAGAATTTGTAGAGTTTTGTTTAATTACTGTTCCTGTCCAGCTTCCAGATGATAACACAGAGTGCAACAATAACAGCAGCTGCGTTCCAGGATATGTCAGCACCCACAGCAATGGTAGGAAGCTTGCTGCAGTGGCTCCTTGCATTCTGTGCTATCACTGCGTGGTGCCAATCTCTTGTGAAGGAAGCAGTGTTTCATTGAGTCTCCTTGTTCTAATTCTTTCATACCTAAGAGAACTGAAAAGGAAGCTCAGATTTTTCTTCTAGAAGGGACTGTTGGGTGAGGATTTGACTCAGAAAATAGTCATCTCTCTGAAACTGCACTACGGTGGAAAACAGTGGGGGAGTTGGTCACTGGCACTTCTCTGTAAGACAAATACTGCCCTTTGTTTTGTTTGGGAGTACCTCCATCCACTTGTCTTTCCAGGTATCCAGACTGGGGCGTGCATACCATACAACAGCAGCATCAAGACCTGTGAAGTCTTTGCATGGTGCCCTGTGGAGGATGACTATCACATACCCAAGTGAGAGCTGTCTTCCTACCCTGTGTTAGCTCTCCTGGTGGGAGGCCCATAATACACAGCCAGCCTGCCACAGCCAGTGTTTTTTCCTATGGGGTCCTATTGGGAAAAGCTGAAGAGGTTACAATCAAAGGCCCTGCAGCATCGAAGAACTTGTTTCTGAAAATATAAATGGAACTTACTTATTTTTCCTATTGCTTTTCAGGCCGGCATTCTTGCAAGGAGCTGAGAACTTCACCATTCTGGTAAAGAACAACATTTGGTATCCCAAGTTCAACTTCAGCAAGTAAGCAGTGTGTGAAGCTTTGCACTGCCTGGCCTCTCAGACAGTAAAGAGGAGATGGAGAAGCGGAAGAGGATGCAGCACATCTCCTCTCTGTTCCCCTGCAGGCGAAACATCCTCCCCACTTTCAGTTCCACTTACCTCAAGAACTGCATCTACGATGCTCAGACAGATCCCTTCTGCCCTATCTTTCGTCTGGGGAAAATAGTTGAAGCTGCAGGGCAGAACTTCCAGGAAATGGCTGTGGAGGTACTTGGCAGAATCTTTTCTTGGGGTTCATCCGCATAGAATAGGCATCTCTTCACCTGGCGGGATGAACCACAGGACATGGATTAACTGCAAAATGGAGAGCTGCTCTGGCCGTAGGGATCAGAATCAATTCTGCTTAACAAGTAATTGGCCTTGGCTGGGGATATGTGCAAGGTCCTCCTGTAGCAATGGGAAAGAGGCACTGGGACGTGGGCCAATAATTGGGGTTCTGGTCAGCCCGGGAGCCCCGTGCTGGACTGCCCAGGCTCCTGGATCACTCGCTGTCTTCTCTCTGCTCTGCAGGGTGGGGTCATGGGGCTGCAGATCAACTGGAACTGCAACCTCGACAGAGCTGCTTCCCACTGCGTGCCCAAGTATTCCTTCCGGCGCCTGGACAACAAGGACTCTGCCAACACTGTCTCACCCGGGTACAACTTCAGGTAATGTAGTAAGGAAGGGAGCCTGACGTCCCTATGGCTCAGCCTGCCATTGGCACAGCGTTCCAGGCTGCTCCCTCTCCTCTGACTGTTGCAGGCAGTCCTTGGAGTTTCTCTGCTGCTGTAAATCAGAATCACAGAATTGCCAGGGTTGGAAGGGACCTCAAGGATCATGAATCTCCAACCCCCCTGCCACACGCAGGGCCACCAACCATCCCACCTAATGCTAGACCAGGCTGCCCAGGGCCCCATCCAATCTGGCCTTGAACACCTCCAGGGATGGGGCATCCACAACCTCCCAGGGCAGCTGTTCCAGTACCTCACCACTCTCTCTGTAAAGAACTTCCCCCTGACATCCAACCTAAATCTCCCTTCCCTCAGCTTAAAACCATTTCCCCTTGTCCTGCTGTCACTCACCCTTTCAAAAAGTTGCTTCCCCTCCTGTTTGTAGGCTCCCTTTAGGTACTGAAAGGCTGCAGTGAGGTCACCCCGCAGCCTTCTTTTCTCCAGGCTGAACAAGCCCAGCTCCTTCAGCCTATCCTCATAGGGAAAGCTCATTTTGAGGTTTTCTCTGCTGCTATGTAAACCACAGCAAAAGAGGAAGTTCCACTGATTGTGGGCGTCCGAGTCATGTTTACTCCAGCATGTAGGTGACCATTGGGCCAGCCTCCCACGGCGTGTCAGCGCAAGGAATGATTGCTTCGGGGTGTGCTGATGTGGCAGAATTTGAAGGGAAGCAGGGTGGGAGCCTGAAGGGCCTCCTCCACTGTGCAAGGCCAGGGAAAAGCTGACCTTGAGAAAGCAGCTCTGTCAGTCAGAGATCTGACGTGCACCAAGAATATCTTTCTGGCACACCCCGCCGTGCCAGCAGGTTTTGGGGTGTCAGACAAGGCAGGCTGGGTATCACAGGCTCCAATCTTGCAGATTCCAGGCCTCCCCTTACAGGCCCTTCCTCTTCTCTTCTCCCCATTTCTCTGCTTCCTCCTGGTGTAACGAACCACGTGGTGCAGTAAGTCTGATCTCACTTATTTGTTCTTACTCCTTTTCTGTATTATTTGTGTGCAAGTCATGCGGTGTGAGACCAGGAACTGCCTCCATGTGCCGGGCTGAGCTGTGCTGCTTCTCTCGCTCCCTGCCCTCTCGTGGCTGCCTGCACTCCTGCAGCGTCCTGCTCGTCTGAGGGGATGATTCTCACGTGTAGCTGAATTTCTTCCTATCCATCTTCCCACTATCCTGACTTGCTCCCCTCCCTAAGCTTTAGAGGTCTCCTGACTTGGCTGCTAATAATTGTCTTAAACTCACCTGCTCTAGGTTTTTCCCCTACGTGTGCTTGCTTGCATGTACAAACATTTAGCCCATCCTTTTGGGATGGGGAACACACCTGGATGTTGCATGAAAATCATACAAGAAACCTCAGAATTTCCAGCTGAGCTCTAACCTGCCCTATTGTTCCAGGTTTGCAAAATACTACAAGGACAGCAGTGGCATTGAAACACGAACACTTATCAAAGCTTATGGCATCCGCCTTGATATCATTGTGTTTGGAAAGGTAGGGCAGCTTCACTCCTGGAAGCTGTGGGCTGACACTTTCAGAGATGCTGTAAAACAGTCATCATTCTTGTAACTATCTTCCAGGCAGGAAAATTTGATGTAATTCCTACAATGATTAACATTGGCTCTGGCTTAGCGCTGTTTGGAGTGGTAAGTGACACCATCTGCTCTTGCACTGAACTTTGTGTCAGCAGCTGAGTTCTGAGAATCGTTGTCTTAAACTCTTTCCATCTTCACTAGGCAACAGTGCTATGTGACATCGTTGTCCTGTACTGCATGAAAAAGAGATACTACTATCGAGAGAAGAAGTACAAATACGTGGAGGATTATGAACTGGTAAGCATGAGTGAAGGCAGAATGGAGGCAGGGTTTTTTCCTCCTCTGATTCTGAAACAGGATGCACAGAGTCCATATCACACACAGACTTTGTACCGCAGCTGTGAGGAAGCTTTATCTTCCTTGGAGCCGTTCATTTTTACCTCGAAGCTGTTGGGAGAAGCACTAGAAACAATATTATGTTTCCTGGGCAACCACTCTTAGAGAGGGAAGCGTATGTTTGAGTTCTGCTCCCACTGCATCTCTCTTTGGGTTGCTGTTCTTGGCAGTTGCCTCCTGCAAGGCACAGACAGCTCTGCCTCCATCAAATCCCCCCAAACCTTTGGAGGTTCCTGCTGCCGCAGCCAAATCCAGTGTGCTGACAGCCACAGCTACACCTGCATTCAGGATCTGAGCAACCCATTGAGCCAGTAGGAGGATTGAGCCCTGCTGGGGTTGCTTGGTTAGTGCTGGGGGCAGAGCTGTGCCCTGCAGCCCTGTGCTTGTTGGGATGCGGTGCTGCAGAGGGAGCATTTCTGGTGCCACTGGTGGTTTACTAAATCCAATAGCAGAGATTTCCTGTGCAAAGGGTTTTGTGTAAAAGAAAGGGGGAGAAAGCAAAGCTTTATGGCAGAGAAGTGCAATTTCTGATCCTAGCAGGGCACAAGTGAGACGTACGGAACGGATTCCTGACCTCCTGCTGCTGCTGCACCAACTGGACGTGAAGGGATGCTGTGAATGTAACCCTGCTGTGAGACCTACCCCTCCTTTAGAAGGAAGGGGTAACAGAACCTAAGAAAGGAACCTTCTTCATTACTCATCACCTTTTGCTGGCCAGAACCAAAGAGGAGAACTGGATCTGCTCCTTTCAGGTTAACTGCACCAAGCTCATACAGAGCCTTGTGGCTTCATGCCAGACATCTTCACCAGCAGGCCTGGGCCAGGCTCTGCTCTGTCCTTGTCATTTCAGCAGTCCTTTCCCTGAGCTCACTGCTAGCAGTGATGAAGCCCTTAAAGAGGCACAGACTCTTCCTTACAGGGAACACGGCCCATGACACGCATTGCCTAACCCTGGAAGAGCAGTCTCTTGCTGTCAGGGATCACAATGCTTAGGTGAGACGACCTGCTATTTCATTGCATCTCCAAGCTCTAGTGGCTACAGCCTAAGACAAAGCAGTGTCTGGTTCCATTGTGCCATGGTAAATAACTTACTGGCTACAGGATTTCTTTTCTGTTTTGTCTGGCCAATGCCACTATGCTAGAATTTATTTTTCATAAAATGTTACTCTCTACCAGCTCTCCTGGAGTACTGCAAGCTAGGTTTGGGTTGCTTTATTTCACTCTTGATTTGTTTGCTGCTGCTTTGAGGACCGAGTTGAGGACCAAGTCCTCTCTCCAGGCTGTGCACAGAAATGGCTCGGTGTGAAATCCACTGTGGTCTTAACCATGCCCAGCAAACACCACACTGCAGTAACAGAGGAGGGTGCTTTCAGACTCGTCTTCCAGCAAGCAAAATCTCATAGCTTTGATAAAAACCAATCAAACATGATAACGGTTCCCCCTGATTAACTAACTGGGGTTTGGTGGCACATCATTTATTTCAGCTCATACAGAGAAGCTTGAACAGCTGTGTGGAAAAACACTTAGTTGTTTTCTTCTTAGATAATATAATTTAAAAGTGGTAAATACACAGTATTTAAACTTGATACACCTGATTAAGTTAAATGCATAATAAAGGGGTAGGAATGAAACACAAGCCTTGGTCATTAAACAGTATAAAAATCTGCAATAGTTCAGGACTCTAGAAAAGAAACAGATCAGTTGCCTGACAAGTAAGAGGGGACCACCAAAAAAACCCCAAACCACTCAGGACAAGAGGCCTGGTTTCCCCCTAGCACTTTCCTGTGTGCTTTCTGAGCCAAAAAGGCTGAGTACCCAGCATTAACTCTACAGTCAGCACTGGGCTTGCTTGAAAGGAGGGAAATTGGGGAAATCAAGCTGTAACCCAGTTCCAAGGCACAAGCAAAATATTTACTTCACTGTAAGAAAGAAGCTAGCTTTACTACTAAAGAACAGCAGACAGGGAACCAAGCAGATTTATATACACAGTACAGCTTCTTTAACAGGTCATGCATTTAGACATAGCTTCCTCACACATCCAAGCTTTATGCTTCCAACAAAATGCATCAACTAGAAAATCTACATCAAGTTTCTTTTAGAACCATGCATTTGGCTGCAGCCCTACCAGAGCACCAAGAGCCAAGCCTTTGGGATCCATATGAACCAAGCCTGCACTGGCCATAAGACACCAATCTGTGCTAATATCTGAGTAACTGGGATTGAGCACAGAGAAACTGGGACAGGTTATTCTGTTCAGAAGCTGCATTGCACCTGGCAAGGCCGTTCAGTAAATTTAAACTGACTGCTAGGTACCTGCCACATCACCAACTGGAGACACTCAGCACAGACCATCACTACAGCTCACTCACCTTTAACAAAAACACACCATGCACATCACTATGCACCAGTTACAAGTAATCAGATCCCTCCCTTCCCCACCCCCCTCCCTTTTTTTTGGCAGAATAAGCCCATTTACAAAGTACAGAACCAAACCACCTGCTCCCAGTCACTATTTCCACAAATAGAAAGTCCTGTTTAGAGATGGGAGCAGGCAGCCTTAGCAGTGCTGGCACCCCAGTTACCTGTTTGGTTTTCCCATAGCTGAAGCTGCAGGGCTTTGGCACAGCCTTGGACTAAGAAGGGAGGAAAACAGTGCGTGTCTTATGGCTCCAAACTCCACAGTACTGCTCCTATGCCACGAACCACAGGCACTGGCTTTGGAGAGGCCAGCTGCACCATCTTTCATTAATTATCTGCAGCCTAGGATAAGCATAGTTTCAGGTGATCAGACTTATGGGGGCAGTTCTGTAGGCACCTGTGCACTTGCTAAGACCACCTGAATTTAATGAGGACTCATGATAAGGAGGAATTACTGAGCCATAACCATGGCCAGAAGCCTCAGTGCTGTGCTGCTGGCAGTGCCAAGATCACGGAAGACAAGGGAACAGCCATGTCCTAAAAGCCTACAGCAGCTATGGCCAGCAACCAAAAACTTCCCTTTCCTATAGTGCCTTCCTCCTCAGGGCAAAGAGCTCAGCCATACCCCACATCCTTGGGATGCTTGAATCCTCCCTCATCCAGCACAACCCATCAGTGAGGAAACTGAGACAAGGAGCCCATCCATCTCCTTCCCAGCTCCATGACCCCCCAAACCAAATGTAATAGTGAGCCCCTTGCTCAGCCCAGCCCTGATGCCACAGCTCACCTACACACTGTCCTTCTCCAGCTTTGAGACCTGGGGAGTGTGAGCCCAGAAGCCAGAGGCTCTCCCACCACAACAGAGATTTTTTTGTTTTTAAACAAGCACCACAAAATGATCAGAGTAATCTGATTGCAGGTGAAAGAGCTCTTCATAAGAAACAATCTGTTAATTAGGCATTCACTTAATTTACTAGCAAGCCTCTGACCCACAGGCATTCACAATTACTGGTAACGAACTTACAAAAAAATACACAGCATTGGCCCCAGAGTCCAAATGAAGAGTTTGGAAAACAGAGGTTTCTTTGAAAAAAATCACTAGCTAATCTAGGTATTTCATTAAGATCTTAAGTTCTAAGCAAGCCCTAAGTCTATACTTAAAAAATAGCATACGTTTTATTAGTTTTTAATCGTAGTAAACCATGTAATGTACATGGAAGTGAAGGATTTTACCCTGAATTTTATATTTAATAATATAGCTATCTAGATCAAGTAAAAGATTTAGAAACAAACTCTTGTTAGTGCTTCCTCTGCTGTTCAAAGCATTCAGCTAAACACCACCTTTCACTCTAGTGTCTGCAGCAAAAATAGTTCAGACTGAACTTAAGCCCTTAAGAACCTTTTCCCTTCATAAACTGAATACTGAACTTACCCAACACTGAGACCTCAGGAGAGGCAGCATCCTCAAACCCTGCCTTTCACCTCACTTTCTGAACGTCCCCAAGATGCTGTTTAATATATCTTGGCTCACAAAGGTAGGCATTCTTTTTTTTAAAAAAAAAAAAAAGCTGGAAAGGTGGTTTTTGCTTTGTTCCCATGCAGTTAAAAAGGCGTCAATTAAAACCAAAACCAAACAAGAAGAAATCGATGCAACAACCCTCAAAGCACATGAGTGTGGTTTCACTGCTGCGCTCTGCAGAAGCTTCTCGGTCCTGCGTGCACCCACAAGGCAGGCACACACTGCCCTGGGATGGTGGGAGATCCCTTTGGCAAGAAAACCAGGCAAAAAGCAGTTCCAAACACAGTTTGCCTTGCCTGCTCAACACCATCCCTCACCACTCTGCGATCAATCAGCACCTTTTTTTTTTTTTTTTTCTTTCCCCCCCCCATGAGAAGTCCAAGCAATCAGAGATGGTCAATGACGGGTACAGTAGTCGGATGTCTTAAACATGCTGCTATGCAAACTCTACATCCAGCGTTACACTGAAATAGCGCCGTGTCATGCTGGGGGTGGTGGGGGCTCTGTTAATGCCACTCATCCTCAGCTGCACACTCGATGAAGTGCCCCGGACCGAGTTCAGCTCAACAGAACCATCAAGCCGTCGGTCATGAAAGGACTTCCTCCTCTCCCACGTTGGGCAAGTCGTTGCATTTCAGGTTATCCTCACTGCCTTGCTTCCTGCTTTCAGAGGGGAAAAAGCAGGAGGTGATCCCAGCGCCTTCCCCATCATTGGGCTTCAGGACCTGAGCACATTCCTCACTCAGATCCCCCGTTAGGCTGGAAGTACCAGAAGGAGACACCTCGCAGCCCATGGGAAGGACAGGATGCTCGGCCATACAAAAACCAGCTCCCCCCAGATCCCACAAACGACAGAGTACATTATATCTGGGTCATAGCCCTGCGTGAAAGAAAACTCAAAGCCTGAAGCCCCAGACCCCACCACGTGCTCTCCAGCACACAGGACGGGCTGCAGGCACCCCACACTTACGGCAGCAGGTTTCCAGGGGCCGACAGCGAACGCTCCTCCCGCCGGCTGCCCTCAAATGGGTTCCCAAAGGACCGCTTCCGGATCATCGTTTTAACCAAGATCTGCAAGACCAGGGTGGGGTTGGTCAGGGTGGTACTGCTTTGCTTTCATTCAAAAGCGAAAGCAGCATCCAAATCCCTATTTACCCAGCAGGAAAATTCACTGGAAAGGGACAGGGAAAGGAAGGAAGCAATGCTGTTTTCTCTTGACATCTGGGAACCCCCGGTTTCGTTTTCATTGCTGCTCTTCCCTTTCTGGCTGATTTATCTGCTCAGCACTGAGAGCTCTCACATGCGTGAGATGTGTGTGCCAGCAGGGTCCCGTGGGGAAGGCATTTATGCAAGAACCAAAGCCACGTGCATCTGGCACTCGAGCGGAACGCCCGTGGTTGAGTGCACAGAGCTCGGGTGCTGGAGGGGAATTTAGAGGAACAAATGCAAATAGGAAAATTCAAATTGGGCCGGAGGCAGTGCTTTATTTAAAAAGGCTCCCTATAACGTGCTGCCCTGATTTGCCCTGAGATGGGCTGAATCCACCTGGATTTCCAAGGGGAACAGCAGAGTTGAGCAGCCCTTCTCTGCAGCAAGTCATCACAAACTGGTGAAATGGGGAAAAAAAAAACAACCCTCATCTGCTGCGATTGCTTTGGGCAAAGGCTGTTTTTTAAACTTGTGCAGAGAAAAGTGCAGTTGCATGCCAACATATCTGCCTTTAGCCTCAGACAACACCACACCAGGGAGCTGCAAATCATCACTGTTTCTCTTAGCATAAGGGCGAGCAGGAAATCATTAGGTTCAAAACCCAAAAGGATTTAATTTTCCACACTGTGGTTACACTGTGGTACTCATCACCACGCACTGCTGTAGGGAATAAAGTCCGTGAGCTCAAAAAGAGACCAGAGGAATTCATCAGAATAGCTGCAGGCAGGGGCTGCCCACAAAACCTGTCTCAAGGAAACGCTGCGGCCAGCAGGGCAGAGCAGGGCAGCAGGAGCTCCTGCACCCATTCCTCATTCTGTCCACGCTCTTGACCAGATCTCACCCTGGACCAGGATTTCACCCTGAGCAAATACAGCAACAGCAATGCAGCAGAGACCAGCAACCCACTGATGGGTGCTTCCACTGACCATCACCCTGTGCCACCACAGGCCAGGCCCCATTCCTGACAGCAGGGAGGTTTTTGCTTTACTCTTGTGCTTCTGCTCATCCACTGCAGCCAGTGCTGTATGCCCACAGGCTCCTGCTCTGCTCACACTCACCACGGTGGCCAGGCTGGGGATGTGCTTGACCGAATTCTCCACCTCCTCCTCTGTCACCTCGACAAGTGTGCAGTTCTCGTCCTCAGTGGGCAGCAACTCCACTCCGTTCTTGGTGACCCACGGGTGCAACTTCAATGAATAACACAGCCTGTCAGGGACGATGGCCTCTTTTTTGTAACTCCAACCACACAGGCCTGGCAAATGCATCTCCTCACCCAAGCTATGGTGCCTGTACCCTTCCAAAATACAGGGAGTGGGGGAGAGACACTGTGGCACAGCCAGGAACAGCTCAGCCCAGAGCAGAAAGCACGCAATTCAATAACCTCAGTACAGCACTGCAACGCCACGTCCCCGCGGGTTTCATGGCAGAAGAACTATTTCCACTCTCATCTTACAGAGGGGATTTTCTCCAGACCGTTGGTCTCAGACTGGAATTAATCCAGGCACAAAGCCCTTCTCCTCCTTGCCCGCACAGCTGGCGTCCTGGACAGCCACCGGAGGAGCACGGAACGCTTCAGCAAAACCCCGCCATCCTTTCCCCCTACCTTCATCTCCATTTTCTCAGCTTCTCGCCCCTTCCAGGTTCCCGCAGGGGCGAAGGGCCAGAAATCTCCTGCCAAAGGCTGCTGCAAGGTACTTGCCTGGTAGCAGAGGAAATACTGGGCTCAGGGGATTTCCACTGCCTGCGACTGCTGTAGGCACCAATGGTCCCAAAGCTGAGCGGGTCCCGGAGCAGGGGAAAGAGCTGGGACTCACCTGCCCGGGAGCCCTGGGCATGCAGGAGGACCTAACCTGGTGCAAGCAAACTGAGCCCGAAAAAGCCAAGTGGAAGTGAAGCCCTGTGGAAGTGAAGCCACGGCCACCACCAGGGCTTCAGGTCAATACCTTGATTTCAGGGACTGAAATCCTCGACTCAGGATTTTTATCCAGCATCCGCATGATCAGATCCTTCAAGAAATCTGTAACTTCTGGCCTTGGGAGGGAAGAGTGGAGAGATGAGACAAGACCTGGGCACACTGCTGTGTTCCTCTCCAAACCACCCCAGGAACCAAAATATTCCCATGTTGGGCAATGAGGAGTGTGAGCCCTGGTGCACAAGGCCAGGAGAACTTGATGCTGCATCTGCCCAGGCTGACAGCTTGAACGTGCTTTAAAAAAAAAAAGGGCTGGAGGTTTGGGGGTTGGGTTTGGGTCGGTTGTTGTTTTTGTTTTGAGTACTTACTGGTCTGGAAACTCCAATGTTTGGGTCTTGATTTTATTGTGTAAACTCAGGATCCTTTCATCCATGAAAGGACACTGTCATGAAGAAAAAGAGCAGTGAGAAAAGCAACGACTGCTGAGCAGGGGCTTATATGGATGTACCAGAAGGTTTCTTACTATAAGAACTTTTTTTTCTTTTAAGCAATTAATAAGACATTTGACTAAAAATGATCAAATTACTAGAGCAGCTCCTGCCCCCAAAATGCAGCCAGGCACAGGAAACAGGCACAGATAATACTGAAGAATACCATTACCTGCCCAAACACAAAGCAGTACAGCGTGATTCCCATGGCCCAGACATCCAAAGCCTGCAGAGAGAAAAGAGCATCCTTAGTCCCGCACGTACAAAGAAGGTCATTACAAAAACAAAACCAAATTGCTATTAAATACCTTTCCAGAGAAGATTTTCCTGGTTTCTGAGAGTGTCTCTGGGGCCATGAAGGCAGGGGTGCCCACCGTGTTGGTCAGAAGGGCATCAGCTCCCTTGAACTCATTGCTGACACCAAAGTCAGCAATTTTAACATGTCCATCCTCCCCCACAAGGAGGTTGGAAGGCTTGATGTCCCGGTGGATTATCTTCTGGTAGTGCACTATGATCCAAGGGGAAACAAGGGATGCGGCAAAGGAAAGCAGGAGCCAACTTCAAAGGGATTAGAAATGAGAAAAATCACAGGTCCCACCGTGCTGCTTCACACTCACAGTATTCAATGCCCTTGATCAGATCCTGGAAGTAGAACCGAGCCTGGTCCTCACTGAGAGGTTTCAGGGTGGGGATTTCCATCACTGGGCTGCAAAGGTAAGAGGAATGAGCTGCAGCACAGTGCTGAGCAGAGCCAGGCACGAATGCAGCACCACGTCCACAGTGGGGAAACTCACCCTTGTTTCACCAGTTCGAACACTGAAACAGAAAAGGAATGGTGATTACTGACTGTGTACAGGTGTGAGCTCCTGCAAACATCCAGCACAAAAGCAATTATTTTAATGATGAACTTATGAAGGTAATACATTAAAAAAAAAACACCGTAGAGACCCAGGCCCATATGCAGCTCCCCCAAAATGTGGTGGGAACCCACACCAACAGCACCTGTGGGCACTTACCCATGTACAGGTGGTCCTCACTGGGGTCATCCAGCACCTGCCAAAAGACACAGAGAAGAAATGGAACAAGGCAAGAAGCTGCCTTGCAAGATCAATGCTGTGATTTATTGATTTTTCATCAGGCTGCCCAGTTTTGCCCCCAGGGGCTCAGGGAGTTAAGGAGGGAGGTGCTGCAGGTCGTGAGCGCCCGCCGCCCTCAGGTCCTACTCGTGACATTTTAATTTAAAATTGCGTGGGTTTGCTCTGCTAATCTCAGAGCTTCTACCCACAAGGTGGGGGATAAATAAGAGGAAAAGATATTGTTGGAAATAAATATTTCAAACACACAGGAAGCATCATCTGACTCATAAGGCAAATGAATTCCAGCCCGCACATCCTTTATTCCTCATTTTTGTTTCCTATGGACCTTTTCAGGCTGTCAGTGGGTGGTGGGCAGCATGGCTGCAGAACTCACAGGAAACCATTTCCTCCCCAGAACTGATCTGTATCCTCAAGGGAAGTGAAATATTTCTGCTTTTCTCTTTCCAAGCAGAAAATAGAAGATAAGAGGGGGGAAGAAAAGACCTTGTAGAGTAGGGAAAACATCACCAGGATTGCCACTCCCTGCTCACCTCCACAAGCTTCACCACGTTGGGGTGGTCCAGCTTCTTCAGGATGGCAATCTCCTGGTAAACCTGTTCGATGGGGCCTCGGGGCTGCAGGCAGCCCTCTGAGGCACCTTTGGCTCCACGGGGTGGAGGGCGGCCTGCAGGGAAGGCAAAAATAGGGTGGGCATGGCACCAAGTCCCTTCTGCCACCTGTCCCAGAGCTGTCACACCACTGGGTGCCACTTACGGGGGAAGCCTGCCTGCCTCATCAGCTTCTTCTTGGAGAGAACCTTCATTGCCTGCAGAGGGGAAAATTGGTGGGGTTTGGAAAAAAACACACTGGGAGCCATAGACAGCCCCATCCCTGTCCCCATCCCATTCCCAACATATGCTCTGGGCAGCAGCACTACTCACATAGTAGGTGTTGTCGTCCTCGTTGTAGGCCAGCTTCACCACTCCATAGGAGCCCTAGAAAGGGACACATGGGTGACCAACCAAAAAATACTTCAGCACCAGGCCAGGCTCCTCTGCATACCCCAGGTGATGCACAGTGAGCATCGGGGAGCACAGTGCCTTGGTCTGGCAAAGAAAAGGCTCAGATACCCTATTTTGTTGGAAAGGGGAAAAAATAATGCTAATTTAAAAAATAAATCAATTAGGAGCCAATGGAGACGCTATAGTGAAGGGCTGACCTCCCAACTGATGTCAGACTGAAAGCAAGAGCAAATCCAGCACATTCCCACCCCAAATTCCCACTCCAACCCCAAAGCCAGAAAATATTCACCTTCCCAATCTCATCCTTCAGCTTGTACTGGTTGAGCTGGACGCAGTCCTGCAGGAGAGAGAGCAAATCAGCCAGCAGCCCAGGCCTTGGGCCAGAGCTGAAAAGCTCAGGGTTGTTAGCAATAAACCACACGTGGCCACACACTGCCTTGTTTATAGACAGCTAATTACTGGCGTTGAGCACTGGGCAGGCAGCACTGTCTGCTCATGCAAAATGAGAGCACCAAGGGCAGCGATGGCAACTGGCACCCGGGGGCTTAATGCTCACCCAGCACCAAATGTTTTTATTTTGTCCTGCAGATGTTCAGTGCCTGCATTCTGTTGGTGCTGGGAAGGCTGCGGTGGGCAGTGCAATTACTCCCTTGAAGCTTTATTGAAGTCTCTTCCTTTTTAAGGGGAAAACCAAAAAATCTCCATTTCCTGCATGGAGCTAAAAAGTGAATCTGACTGTACACAGATTAAGCATGGATGGGCTGTGGATTCTGGCTGCTCCACTCTCACATTTGCCAGAGCTGGTAGCATTTGGGAAATACAGAAAACGCACTCCCACCACTGCATTAACCCTGGCAGATGCTCTGTCCCCATACGTGGGGCTGTCCCCATGGCTGGGGATGAACCAGGACCTCCCATTATCCACGGGGCTCCATCCCAAAACACCAAGCAAGAAGCAGTGCGGCGAGACAGCGAGACAGGAGCAGGGCCTCACCTGCAGCCCCGTGATGGAGACGCGGTTGGATTCCACTGTCGGCCGCCTCGGTAGGCGCGGGGACGAGTGTGGGGATGTCACTGGTGAGTAGGGGAGGGACGGGTAGATGAAGCGCTCGCTGTCACCACTTCCAGGGGAGCGGGCCGGATGCGAGCGCTCCTGCAGGGACAGCTTTCGGCCGGAGAGGTTCAGCTTCGCCCTGGGCTCCCGACTTTCTTCCACGGCAGCCACGCTCATCTCCTCCTCGCTCGCCGTCGCCTCGCACTCGGTCACCACGATGAGCGACTCCATGGCGGGGCGGCCGGCACTCAGCGGCAGCCCAGGTGCTCTGTGGTGGTGTGGGGGCTGAGGGGCAGCAGGCGAGCTGCTGGGGATGCAGGATGGCATGGTGAGGTTGCCGGCCTCATCCCGGCCGCTGGCGGTGCTCCGAGGGGTACAAACACCTGAAAGCACAGCGGCAGGGGGATCCCACGTGAAGCAAGTCCCTTAAAGTGCTTTTGCAGCTAATAAATGGCTTCAGCTAATATTAAGTAAAACATTAGGTAAGGGTGGAGGAAACTGGGTGGCACCGAGCAGAGTCCTCCCCTCTCACCAGCACTGCAGTCATACTGCTCACCCCTGAAAATAGCAGCCTTGCCACCTCCCTTATAGGAAACCCACAGCTGGGGCTGCAGATGTATTTTACTCGGGTCTGCACTATGAATGTATAAACGTTGCTCAGTTCACTGCTCTCTTGCATGGAGTGGGCAGATCTTGCCCAACAGCCCCCAGAAGAGATGTACAGAGCCCTTACCAAGCACGAACTGTGGGGTCTGCCCTGGGGCTCACTGCCTCTACCTACAGCACAGCATCCACAGGGGTTTCTCCTGCTTGCCCCGAGTTCCCTATAGCCTCCTTTGCAAAAATGGGATTTCGGCACCCTGGAATAAAAAAAGAAAACAATAGTATTAGCAGCAGATATATATATATATATTTAAAGGAAAGCAAATTGTTCAGTTCTAAGCCATTGCAGTGAATCCCTGTGCAGTGCTGGATACGTGACACTGAACATACGTGCTGGTGGATGGCAGCAGCACCACGAGCCCGGTCCAGGAGTGGGGCTCCAGCAGATCTGCCTGTGCCACAGCAAAGCCATCACCCTTCCCTCCTGCATTACTTTTGATTTCTAAGTTGAGGATTTGCCACAGGGGCAGCCCAATAAGAACCCAAACCAACCCAAAGGCAGCACTGAGGACGCAGCATCACTGGGTGTTCCGCATCGCACGAGGCAGTGGGTTAAAATTAGCTCCGTTCGCCTGCACTGAAGTTCCCATGCTCGGGAGCAATTATAGGACAAGTATAAAAACCTCAAGCAACCCCCCCAAAGGCTTCCCAATGGCCTAATTGCCATTTCCAATGCAAGTCTATAAACTTGAGTTTTCTCGCCCAGCTCTGAAGTGAGAGCGCAGCCATTCCGGCACGGTGCTGCTCACTGCTTAAGGGAAGCACGGGTGATGTGACAGCTATAAATAAGGCAGTGTGCAGCAACAAGGACAAACTATTTCAGAAACGCTGCTAAATCCATTCCTGGTCAGGGCTTTGCTATTCAAGAAAGCCGGGACCCAGCAAAACCATGGCTGCAAACTCCCCCAGTGCTGCTAGAGCAAATCCCAACACTGGGATGCATTAAACCACTATGACCAGCGTGTTTTAATGCACTCTCAAAAGCACATTAAAATTATTAGGTACCCGTTCCCATTTCGCCCCAAACCAGCACGGCTGGATCCAGATCCATTCATGTTGGGAAGCCTGCCAGGCTGCGTGTATAAATAGTCGGAGTAATGATGGATCCCAAATGCTGTGCCCTGGACCCTCACCACATACCGTGGTCACCCGGTGAAAATTCACCAAACAAGGCAGTGCTGGGGGCCCCATCCTGCCCTGAATCACTATCGGTGGCTGTCCCCTGCCTCTCTGCCCATCCATCCCAATAGCCATCCCCATCCAATCCCATCCCATCGGGCTACGGCAAAATCAAGTTATGAAATGCTTGGGACTGAGCATCCCAGTCCACAGGCATTAATTGGCTTTAAAGGATAAACATATCAGGATTAATTAATTCAAGAAGGCTTGCCGAGGCTCTGTAACAGGCCACAAGTTCACCCCAGCACCATCCTCACAACTGCTAGGTGGAGAATCAGAGGGTTTTTTTCCTCCCTTTGTGTGCATGCAAAAGGGGTGGCTGCAGAACCTGGCTTTTTAGAGGGTACTGTGATGCATTCCCAAACAAAACCCAAATGTGAGATTCACCTCCTGAAGGGATGTGGGATAACCTCTAACGATAGTGCACTCACTTTGCCTTAATAAGTATCTGGGGATGCTGAGGAGGAGGAAGGCAGCCATCTAACTGGCCAGAGGAAAAATAGCTGCAGTGGGGAGGAATAAATCCAAGCGGAAGAAATACAGCCTGGGGGCTCTGCTCACCCACCCAGCTCATTGCATGGGGAAAAGTAGCACGTTCTGGTGTGAAACCCAACAGATCCTTATGTAAAGGCAAAAAGCATATGCCCACCAAATCCTCAGGAAATGTAGCAGCCTGGTGTATAGGAATGATTTATCGGCCCGGCTTTTGGCTGCGATCCACGTATAACCCATCGCGGCTGTGGCAGGATTATTGAAGCAATCAGTCTCACATCTAATTCAGCAAGGAGAGGGATATTAAAGCAGAAGAGGTCCGTGAAGCCCTGGCAGCATCCCTCCCTCTTGCTCCGTAGCCACGTGGCTCAGTGCAAATGAATGGGAGCAAAATTGGCCTCGGCGATGGCGAATCCATCAACAGAGCCCTGTGACCCCACAGGGTCCCCACAGACCCCAAAGCACAGGGACAAGGGACGCTCCCAGTCCCTTGCAGACACATTTTCCCTCACGCGTCAGGCAACGAAACCTCGGTGGCAGCAACAGCATCACCACCTCCACGCATCCCATTGTGGGGATGAGCTCACACGCTACCCAAAAAGTTGTTTAGAAAAAAAGTCAGTGCCCAGTGTGGTTCCAGCTCCCCCTGGGCAGAGTCCAGTCACCGTCCTGCGTTCCACAGTCACTGCCAGCAGTGGAAGTGCCAGAGCCAAGTGCAGGGTCATGGCAGCAACGGGGCACTGATCACAGTTTCCCTTCCTACGGGCAAGATCGGCCCTTGCCAGAAACATTAGTCACTGTGGTATACAAAGCCCATATGCATCCCCGCCTGACTTTTAATGGAAAAAATCTCCCAGCAGCTTCTCCAGAAGTCAGAGGGCACCCGAAATAAAGAGGCTCTGGAAAGAAGTCCATCCACACCGGGTCCCTGGGCCCGAGCAGTAGCACTTTCTGTCACCCTGGGCCCACTGCGTGGAGCCAGGAAAAGCCACCAGCACCGGCAGGAACGCTGTGGTAGCAAAAAACCCAGCGGCACGCTCCAACGGGAACCAAACCCCATCTTTAACCCCAATACCACCAGTTAGCTTTGCTTACCGGGCCCGGCCCGGGGCTGGGACGAGCGGGGAGCAGCAGCAGCTCCTCACCCGGCTCCCGGCACAGCAGCTCCAGGAGATGGGCACTGCGCGCTGCCAACACCACTTAAAGGCCATTAGGGCTGAGCTGAAAGCAAAGCCTCCTCCAAATTACCTCTCCGATCTGATAACAGCCGGCACGGCGCCGCTCAACCCGAGCGTAACGGGCTCTACGCTTTTGCCGGCTGCTTTTCCCCAAACCCGACCGGTGCGCAGATGCCCCAACTCCGTACGAGCCCAAAGCACCGCGGAGGGCTCCAGATCCCGATCGGAGCCGAGACGGGGACGCGCAGCGGCTCCCACCGCACATCCCGCCTCCCACCGGGCTCCCCCGCATCCCGCAGGTGCGCAGCGGGGCGACCCCGACGAGAAGCAGCGCCGTTCCGCAGCGCGGCATCCCCGGAGCGACGCGGGGCCCCTCCCGGGCTCGGCTTTGTCTCGGCAGCCGCCTCCCCGCGCGGCCGGGCCCGCCCCGCTCCCACCGCCCCGCTCCCACCGCCGCACCGACCTGCGGGCAGCGCAGCGCTCGGCTCCGCTCCGCTCCGCTCCGCCACAGGGCGCGGCCTCGGCCGCCACGGGGCCGCACGGAGCAGCCTTCGCTTTCGGTTCCGCTCCGGTGGCGGCGGAGAAAGAGAGAAGGAGGGAGGGAGAGAGGCAGGGAGAGGGGAGGAGGGAGGGATGGAGGGAGGGAGGCCCCGCTCCGCCCCGGGGAAGGGGAGGTTTCCCCTCCGGCGGCCGCATCCTTCCCGCCCCCTCCGCGAGCCTCGATTGAAGGATTGAAAACCCCGATTTTTGTTGTTATTACGTTATTAATTTCCGAGCTTTCCCACCTAACGGGACGCGGCGCCGTTCCCACCCGCACGGCGTCACGGCCCCGGCCCCCTGTGAATCGTCTCCTGGCTCTATTCCCGCAAATATTTGGGAGTTTTCTCGTTCTCACCGAGTGCCGTTCTTGTGCTGAGTTCACCCGCGTGGTCTTCGGGGCCAAATGCTCTCCTCGTGACGCACTGGATGGACCCATGGCCGTGTCCCTGCTGCAGTGACAACCCGGCGGTTGTGGCACGCACTGTTGAGCTGTAGGCGCTGCAAACACTCTGGGATCACAGTAAGGCTGGAGGAAACCTCTAGGAGCACCCAGTCCAACCCAGCCCACCACCCCACGCCCACTGACCGCATCCCTCGGTGCCACATCCCCACAGTTCTTGAGCATTTCCAGGGATGGTGACCCCCCACCTCTCTGAGCAGCCCGTGCCAGTGCTGACACTCTTTGGGAATCGTTCCTAACATCCATCCTGAATCTCCTCTGGCACAACTTCAGGCCAAAACCTCTCGTCCCAACAGTGGACCAACTCCATGGATCCATCTCTTAAGCACTGACTGATGTGAGCCACTAAAACCAGTATTCCCATTTGGGAACTCTGCTTACTTCTCACTTTCAGTAAGGGGAAGCATCAATTACCTGCCAGCAGCCCTCTCACAGCAGTAATTAACGAGACTCTCCGGGCCACCCATGCTTCAGCCTCAGTGCTTCCAGCCATACACGGCCAAGCTCCAGCAGTCAGGTTTAGTTCTGAACTTGCTTCCTCATGGCTAACAACATCACGGGCTCATCTAGAACTTCCTGGCAGGATATTTCAATTGTTTACACTAATGATGTGTGCAGCTTTTATGTAGTAGCACTGTGAAGGGACTCAGCACGCTGAGGACAGGGCTGCCAGTCTTTTCTCACAAGGTTAGCTGTGGTGCTCGTTTGCTCATACACAAAGCCAGCTCAGATCAATTATACCCAGCACCTATGAGCCAAACAAACCCGTTCCAGCTGAGCGAGGGCTCCATTTCAGCACACTTCATGTTTCTCAGCCACTCTTTGCACAAGGACTCATCTAACACAGCAGTGCAGGGACTTTGCACCATTAGATCTTTCCAACCGAATCCTGTTTTTCCCTTCTGCCAGCACCACCTGTTTCTGAAAAGTAAACACTGCCTGCAGACAGGTCAAATGCAAGGAACCATTTTCATTGAGACTCTCTCCATTTTATACCACTCAAGCACAAAAGCCTTGCCTACATTTTCCACTATTTTTTGTACCCGAGCTCACAAAGCCAGCAATGCTTCCAAATACGTCACCACTAAGAGCAGGTATTATTTCATGGTGACTGTGCTGCTCCCCTCAGCGTGTTTGTGTTGCAGTCAAGAGTCTTTTTTTATGTTCAATTCTTATTCTTAATTTCAAGCACAGACTAGAAGTGAAATGGGTGGAAACCTATACTTTCCCCTACGTCACTGTGAGCAAGATACAAGTTTGTTCCACAGAACACCATGATTTATTGGCAATTACTTTGAAACACGGATGGTTAAATATAGTCAAAAGACATTTGTACAAAAGAGGAAAACAAACACGTCTCATCTCTGAACGCTTCACTTGAAGGCATTTATTAAGGGGACACCGTGAGCGGGCAGTTCCTGGTGCAACTGACGGAACAACATGGCACATTTGTTCCTTTCCTGGGTCTTGCCTAGGGTGTGGAACAGCCGGGCTTGGAAGTAAAGAACATCTCTGAGCTGCTCTTTGCAGTCCACCTTGGCAAGGTAAGTCTTAGCTTCGTTCAGATTCAGAATAGCAGATTCCAAAGCTGGGAGAAAAGGGGACAGCCATATACAAAACAATATCACAGCAACTCCAAGCAATACAGCTCAATTCTAAGGAGCCCAATTATGAATTCCTCAGCTTTTCAAAACAATTGGTGTCTTAGCAACATCGCCTTTCAGCTAGTTTCTGTTATTCAATCTTTGCTGCAAAGTACAGGTGTTGAAGCATGCAGACAAACAACGTTCTATTATAAACACTGCATCTATTGAACAACTACTTCCTAATTAATTCTCCTAATTGATTACTAGCTAACACACTCCGTTATATTGTTTAAACTTTGTTAACAGCGACTGTGCAGCAGGACTTCAATATACACAGGGGAGCACTTTTCAAGGGAGCTCAGTTTCAGAGAGAGAGAGTTACCCCTGACATTACCTTCAGCCTTCTTTTGTTGAGTGTAGGAAGCTGTAGAAGCCACCTGACACTTGGCCACCAAGAACATGGCGCAGCCTTTGTCTAGCACAGCTCCATGGGCCAAGCCAGGTTCTATTGCCAGGTGCAAAATATTCAGAACTTGTTCAGGAACGCCAAGGATCAGCTGAAAGAGAAACACTGTTGTTCTAATAGTGGAATCCACTGGTTGAGAGCAGCTCCTTCTCAGAAGAACCATAACCCATAGACCAAATCTGTTTCTAACACAGTAATGCTACAGACAAGGATGTTGTTTTTTACCCCATGATCGTCTTGTAAATCAGAGCTAATTAGCAGACACGAACTACTACCTGAAAAGATTTGGCATGGCTTCTCCACCCCAGTCAGTGCTGACAACTGGGTCCCTGCCAGCTCAGAAAAACCAACGTAACCCAACTCCATGACAAGCATTATTTATAATTCAGGCACATGCCAAACTGTGCTACTAGAAAGCCAAACAAACAGCATAAAAATAACAACTGGAGAAATGAAGCCAGGCCCAACTTATGCTTGTTTAATTACATAAAATAGATACTCATCTTACTGATGAACATGGAACTCAACTTTCAGCTTCCTCGTAAGATTTTACGTTTAGAACACACTTCATCTTTAATTCCAACAAGGTTATGTTCTTAAATCTCCCAGGAGTAAAAACAGTATCCAAATCCCCAGCAAAAAATGCCCTATGACCCTGAGAAGATACAAATCAAACATACCTGGGAGAAAGCCAAGTTCAGCACGGTCTCAGAAGCCAAGTATTGCAGACTGTGTTCTCGAGAGAAGGCAAGAGCCTGCAGCAGGACAGGCAAAGCAATGGTATGACATGAAGATCTCCAATAGAGCTCTGCTACTGACAGCAGCACACTATCCAAAAGAGAGGGAAAGAACTATAAACTGTTTTCTTTTTGATGAAAGATGTCCACTTGTTTCCCAAACAATTACTCTACCCACAACAATATTGATTTTATTAGGAATTACATTTCTGCATATACAATAAACTGTATTGTAAAAGTTGTACTCTTAAGAGGAGATGTCATATCCTGACAAAAAGGGAATAACAGTAATTACTCTGTAGTACAGACACAATTACATACATGTTTCTACTTTCTATTTATTTTGCACGCATTATTTTCCTTTTCCATAAATCGTCATGAAGCTTTAAATTTACTACCTTTTAGTTTATATAAGGCTACTAGGTTTCAATCCCGTAATGATTTGAGGATTCCTCTACGCCACGTTTAACATATGAAATTATTTTGTAATCCCCAAATCATTTTAAGTAATCTGAGCACTAGTGAAGTCTGCACACAGACAAATTGAAATGGCTGATTCTAATCGCTGCAAAGTGGCTTTAATACTCTGAAAATGAAGCATTCTTACCTAATCACTATCTCGGTGTTCTTGATTTCCTGGCAGTGGATCAACAATTTCTGCAAAAGCTTGTGTGCTTCTAACATCTGATTTTGGGCTTTCAATACAATGGCTTTTCTGCCGTGGTAGAAAGAAAACATCGCTGATATCTTTGTATTTGAGATATAATTCTGCTCTTCAGAATACAGTAAAGCAGCTCTCTACTTTGTGACCTCTGTTTCTTCTGACTGCTGAACGGCACTCTGACAAAACACGTGCATGCTATACACACAAGCAGAGCAAGAACCAAGAGCCTCTGCTTGCTGGACAATGCATAGGCAGAAAGGATCAAACTCATGAAACAGCTTTAGATGAAAAACAGAGATTGCCAAAAACAAGGGCCAAACAGGGAGCAGAAGTGGGAGGGCATGCAAACTGGAAAGCACAAGTGATTATTTGTGGAAGAAAAACAGATCTGAGGTAGGGTAGCTAAAATTGGCATAAGCCAACAAGGACAAAGAGTGAGAGAGAACGAGCGAGAACAGGAAAATCAGAGACAAACACAGAGCTGTGGGAGATGTGTAAAAGCAGCCCAGCCCATATACTGTGTGATATATTTAAAGATCAGGGAATAACAGACAGTCCAATTCCAGAAGGACAAGCATCAGGTCCCACAGCTTGAATGCCGATCTGCCGGCTCGCTGCCATTGCCTGTGTTTTAGGTGTTTTGCCTCAGTTAAAAACAATTGCTTTCAACAGCAAATTTTCTTTATACTTGGCAATCAGCAAGCTTTAACCCTATCTATTTCTAACATTTTCATTTAGAAACGAGAACAAATTAAGGTGAAAGAAAAAAAAAATCGTATCGCCCCACTTTGGAGATTTGTAAACTGGGACACAGATGAAGACATAACTCAAGCTCATATGTAGCAGAATTGAGACTTGGCCTTACATCCCTTAGGTCAGTCTTATATAGTACTCTGCACTGTGCTAAGGTTTGAGCACAGTTACCATGGCAGATTTTGAAGGAGTATTTTGTGTTGACAGGCTAAATCTACAGCTCTAGAACAACAGGAATTTCACTGATGCTACTTTTGATTTTAAAATGCCTAAATAAGCATCTAAAAATGATGATTCTGGGACACACACTAAAGGAATAAGCACTGCAGATTGGACAACATGATAATAATTAACTCTGGGAAGGGGAGAACATTAACACAAATGACTGCCAGCAATCATTTTGCTTTATTTTTCATTATCTTCATGGGATACACCTGCAAGCACGTGCAGATTCACGATTACTTACCTGTACATTCCTTCAATGCTATTAAGTGCTGTAATTCCTGCTACAAGAGAATCTGCTATATGGTATCTGCCATCATTCATGGCTCTTTCAAACTGTATTTTTTGATCAAACAGCATCCAAAGCTAAACAGAGAACATCCAGGAACAAGTTTTAGAAGTTGTACACGTTCATTTTCTAACCACAAGTTAGAAATTTTATTTTCCCCTGGGGACATTTATGTCTAGACACAACTAACTCCACTGTCCAATTACTGTCTTTACTAAATTACAGTCCTCAACAGAAATGCTTAGGTCTGGAGTAATGTTTCAATACTACAGTTCACCTATTTGATCACACCTTAAGTAAAAAAAGCACTAAAATCATGGCTAATGCTTTAAAATAGTAACTTGTTCCACAGCAAAGAAAGGAGAATCAGACTAATTTCATAGAATCTTGAACTGTTAAATGTAATGTTTTAGACTGATACGCTCATGTGTTTTCCAGTGTTGCACAATAGATGACCTCTAGGTTATTTCTGAAGTGTAATATATTAAAATAATTACCACCAATTAAGCAGAACTTTGAAGCTCCAAATCAGTGTAGACTATTTAATTTCTACATGTGCTCATAAAGCAGACATGTATTCCTCTGTCCAATTACAGTTCTTTGTTAGCAGCTCGTCCTTAGAAGGCTATTAAAACAACCAACACATCTTCTTCATGTTTTTGCAGAGAATTTATGCCACGTGGCTTCTGGTGGGGTCACGAGCCAAATGAAATCAGCAAACATATGGCCCCAGGCATATGGAGAAAAGACATGAATTCAGATGCAGTGGAATTTAGATCCTATTGTATAACAGTTACGTAATAGACAGGCTAAATTATATATATTCTACCTGTGCATGCTGACTATTGGGAGGGAATCTCTCCTTTAGATGTTTCAGTATTTCAGAAGCAGCTGCAAAGTAGCCCTGTAATACAGAAACAGCACTGATAAACATAGAAGAGGGCAAGCACCCCTCCCCTTGATTTTAACACAACCTTTACAGCAAGAACTTGCCAGGCACAAGCCCTATATTTGCTTCGCCCCCAGTGCAGACATTAAAGGCAGAACAAAAAAGGATTCAAGTCTCACACTTTGTCGATACCACCCACACATCCACTCACCCAAAGGACTTTTTGTGCAACTAGCCATAAAACTCACCTGCTCTGCATGAAGCTCAGCCAGGTGACACAGTACTACAGCAAAGGCCTCTGTGTTATTCTGCTGCACACCCACATTCACAGCCTCCAGGCTGTTCATGCTCAGCAGTGTTTGGGCTTGTTGAAGTGCCATGGTGCTTGAGCAAGAGAGACATCTTTTAGCTTTCAAGCAACAAACATCATTTTTTAAAGTTCATGTTATGACTGTGGTCTACAGAATGATTTTCTGGGTACTCTGGGGGCTTGGGGGAGAATGAGAACCCTTAAAACAGCTGCTGCCTGGGAACTCCAACTATGCAAGCACATCAAGTACTGCATACTGAAAGCTGCACACGGTCTAAGTACAGTAATGCTGAAAACAGGGACACAGGAATGACTTAGGCACTATTTGCCACCACTAAACAGAGACTCAATGTCTTCTCCAGAATGACTTCTAGATGAACACAAGAGAATGGAAGTAATTGCATCCAGCCTGTACCAAATCACAGTCTGATTGCTTTATTTTAGTGCACTGTAGACACACAGTTACTTGTTTCACCTATATAAATAACTCAAAATGCATTATGTGCTAACAAGTACAGTGCTCTAACCCAAGAGTTTAAAAGAAACAAAGTACCTGCGGCCATATAATCTCCAAATTGCAGTCTTCTGTGCTATACTAATATCAATAAGCTCTGACAAGCTATGTTTCCAGTGCAACAGATCAGAATCTTTTAAGGCATCCATTAGTTTGTTGGCAGCCTTTCCTGCAAAAGCTCTTTGCTGAACCAAGGACTGTATTCCCAGGGAAGCAAGGTACTGGGAAGAGGGAAAAAATAATCCAAAATCATTGGAAGACAATAGAGAACACTAGAGCAAGAGTCATAAATTAAGAAAAAAAACAACAAAGAAAGAGATGTGATGTTATTCAGCACAGACAAAGGAACACTGCTTCAGGCATTTCTTTAAATACACACACCCACACATAGATGAATGCCATTTTGATAGATACAAAAGGTAACTTCCACACCCCCACACCGTAGTCTTAGAGAGGATGACTGGACTTGTACCTGGATTTCTCCAGCAATTAAACAGCTGTGAAAACAGAGCTTCCCTCTCCCTCCCCACCAACTGGCCACACCTGCTCTCATCTCCCAACATCAGGAGTTCGGTTCCTTTTAGAACAGTTCTCACAACAAAGATATTGCAGCCAACTGATACAGGGCACAATACCATCTAAAGGGGAAGCTGCCATAAGAGACTTCACAGCTGGAATGAAGCCATATAAGCAAATGTGTTCAAAGCCCTGCCAGAGGCATCAGTGCTGAGTTTCAGGGAAGGCTGAGGCTTAAGAACCTCCCTTGAGCACTAGCAGATTGCATGATGTTCCTAAGTCCTAATGGTGCACAGGAACAAACTAGCAGCCACAAAGTTCTCCTGCCTGAAAAAGGACAGGTGAGAAGGCAGAACAGCAAGTCACAATAAGCAAATGAACTCTGATTCATTAACACAAAGATTCAAAATAAATAGATGCAGATAGATTTTTGGAACATAAAACAGGTTGGTTTAAATCCAATTACCTATTTTGTAATAACAATTTTGATCAGCCAAAAAAAAAAAAACACAAACCAACCCACAAACCCTCCCAAGCACCCCTCCCACACACATGAATTTGTCCTAGAACAGTTAAAGAGAAACAAAACGGACTTACTGGCAAACCAAAGTGTAAGGATTTGTTTACTGAGTGTTCCAGCAGAACACAACTATCAAATATCTTCTGCTCTGAGATGTGTAACCAGCTCTAGGAAAGAAAGAGGTTTCAGAGTAATGCCCAGAAACACCATCATAAAGTCAGCTGTAGGAAACAGCATCTCCAGAGTCTAGTAATACTAATGTTAATTATAGAAGAAAATACAGAGTAAACAAATTCTTTCCTTCCTCCTTTTTGTTTGCTGAAAAGGCCAATGACTCTGAAAATCAAGCAGACAGTAAGAAGAAAGTTTATGAAATACTTTGTCTCTTTAAAACACACAAGACTAAACTTTGACCTTAGTATTGAGTAACTCTCTGACCACAAGTAACCCTGAGTCGCAACAAAACCATCCCATTCTCCAGCATTTGTTGCTCTGGGTGATCCATCACCCCACTGTGGGACTGTCATATTTAGATTACTGATCTGTCTGATGAGATGTTACCAAAAGAGCAGTTCTGCAACAGTTCACTGAGCAAAGGCTCAGGTAACACAAAGGTGACCTAACCTCCATTTCAGCACAGCTATCTTACCAGGCAGTGCTGCAAACAAACATGATCATTAGACTCCTGTGCAATCCGGATGGCTTCCTGAAGTGCAAGTTCAGCTTGTTGACTACCAGCAAACAAAAAAAGAATATATTAGCATTCCCATAGTGCTTAAAATACAGCATTACAACAGTACAGAATACTGATCTAAATTATGCATATTGCACTCAAAAGAAAACTGATTTAAAAGACTGAAGGAGAAAGCCTCCGGTTTCCATCTAGCATCAAGCAACATGTGCTATTCTTGAGGCTAATGAGCAAGATGACATCTGCAGGCTACTACAAAAATGCAACTATCATCTCCACACGGGCTTTCAAAGCTGTGTACATGCCAAAGTGCCAGGTTTGTGCTTGAAAAGGGACAACACTAAGTATTGGCCTATGCAGAAATAGCTGTTAACTTTTCCTCATCTCCTGCCATCTCCAGGCCTTCCACAGGTTTCATCCAGGCAGCAGTCAAAAAATGCAAACCATACATGGAGATGGGTATGCCAGCATTACTGATAAAGTTACACCCACCCCCAGGTGGCTTTTTTAATTATTCTTTTCATATTAACTGTAGATTGATTTGTATATAACAGAAAAACTACAATAGTTTCTTGAGACTATGGCTGGAAATAAGCACTTGTGTCCACTGACCTTTCTGAGATGATGGAAATAGAGCAATTGAGAACTTAAATTCCTAGGAAACGGCTGCAATGGGACACTGACAAATACCAGCCCTCACAGTGCTGTAAGAAGCCCAGTTATTATGGAAACCAAATAAATGCCAAAATAAAAACAAACCCACACAAATTATGATTACTAGAAAATTCCAACCCAACTATGGCAAATACATATTAGAGAACTCCCTTCTCCACTCAAACAGATTTTCATGCTGAACAAAAAGTCCACCTGTCAGTGATTACAAGCCAAATTTGAGTAGTGCAGCACAACACACTGACTTACTAATGGCCAAAGCGACAGTGCAGTGCAGCCAGGTTCAGGGCGGCGTATCGCAGACTCCGGCCATAACCTTCATCCCCATTGCTTTTGCTTTCTGCTCCGGTGAGAATCAAACGGTCAAAATAATGCAGGAGGCTGTGTGTTGAACTGAAGACGTCGTGCACTCTGAGACTATTTAAGTAGCTTAAATAATGCTGAAATTTGAAGAAAAATCAGCTTCAGCTAAATCAAATGAACATAAGTCATCAAAACCAGCAGGTATTTCGCCTAATAGTTTTTAGACTGTGAAAGTATGAGGCCTGACATTTTGGAGCTTTAGTTTACCCCTGACACAGTCCCACCAAAACTAAGAGGATTATATCTATGCATAAAGCTAGACATGTTGTTAGGCACTCTGCTTAATTAAGGTTTCTGTACCTCCAGGAGTTTCGGTCTGAATTACTGAATATTTACATGCAACTTGCTCGTGTTTCTATCATCTTCTTGCACGTTTCAATATAGAAAAAAAACACTCTCCAACAATTCCCTCCTGGAAATATGAAGAAATCCCTTTACAACCATTCTGGATGAAGGAAAAGATACTTACTGCTTCAGCAAAGTCTGGATTAAATTTTAACAAGTTGTTCAATTCCTTCTGTAAAGATCCAGGAGTAAGTGCCTTTGTTTCATCATTCTTTAGCAGAGAAGCCTAGAATCAACATTGAAACCAACGCTAAGTAACTCCAACTTGAGCATTATGAATATACTTTGATACATGGTTGTCATTCTGTTATCTGCCTGAAGAGAGCATTAAAGAAGATTTCAGAACAGCTCTATTATGACACTGAAACATAAATGGCAGTTTTATTCTTTGCTGTATTATAGCATTCACTTTCCGGAGATCAGAGAGTTCGGGTAAAATAAAAGCATATTTGAGGGACTGTTTGAAGGAAAGAGTTCTATTTCTCTTGTTCAAGAATTAGTTCAACAGACTGCTTGCTGGAATTACATGAATGTTTCCTGATCTGTTTATTTATTTTGTGAGAACAAAACTAAAAACAAAAGTAAACCCATGCCAGATTCAACAATCCTTAATAGTAAAGATCCTAATGGGACTGAGACGTCACTTTAAACTTGTAAAATGTATGTGAAACATTACATATGATACACACTTGACTTTGTTAGCAAACTATTCTAAGTGTGCAGAGCATTTACTGACAATTCTACTCATGTATTTCTGCTTTTTTAAATAGTTATCTGCTGAAATAATCAACACAACTACACATTCAGCAGACAGTAAATTTGAAGCAAGAGTCAGAATGGATGTGACCTTCTCACATCAAATATCATCATACAGTGCCCAGGTTTAGATAGAAAACACATTTAAGCCCAAGTGCTCATACTGAGCAACTACATGCAGTATAACCAACAAGTCTTTACAGATTTAAAAAAACATCCTGCTTGACACTGAACAAAACTGAAGGTGAAAATCGTGTCACAGATCATTTACTCAAATTATTCAGATTTAACATACCTGCTGAGAAAGAAAGTACTCTGCTTGTTTCTGGGAAAGAGGCCCACTGCAAGATATCTCTTCTTCCCTGTTAAAAAGCACTCCTGTTAGAAGGAGGAGCAATGAAATAAAATGCAAGGAAACACATTTTATCAGAACTCCTGCCTTATTAATTTTTATGAGACACTGTAAGCTCAGAGGCATAAAAGGAAATTAAAAAGAGAAAAATTAATTCAGAGTAAAATCTGCCACATCAAAGTTACAATCCAAATGATTTCACATGGTGCTGTTGCAATCTTCAGCCCACTGAGACCGCAGTCAGTCTAAATGTTACCCTAAATACACATGAAAACTAAACTAAAAAGCAGCAGATATAAAATTTGTGGTGACATATTCCAATGGTTTGCCCTGTTTTCCCCTTCTGAAAATGTTCAGAAAGAAATGAATTGGCACTTTGGTCACATACATCACCCCAGAAAACAACTGTTCTGCAATGGAAAGACCAGACATCAGCATAAAGCTAGATGCTAAAAACCATTAAATGACATAAGCTATAGCACAGCTTGGATAAACACAAGCTTACTTAAATACCATTTATAAAGTATATATTTAAGTATACATATACATAAAATACTTTCAGGACTGTTCTTACAGTGAAACACTTTTCAAGCAAGTGAAATGGCTCAATGTTTGCTTCTCACATTTGATGTCAATGAACGTATTTATTTGTCTGGGGAGGGGCAAAAACAGAAACCAAAAATGTTAAGCTTAGCTTTTCCTAGGAGGAGTCTTTTTGCTTCCCTGCACTGGAAGCTGAAGTGATCTCTCCAACAGCTTTAGCACACTGCACACTAACGTAACATGGGAAGAAATCGTTCGGCATTGGGCTGTGCAGGAGGGAACGGCGGGCAGCACTTGGCCTTTAGTTTGCAGCTCCCTAGGTGAGCTCGAGAATGGAGCACCGCCATCTTCTGCAAGAGCAGAACTGCTGCCACTTACAAATGCCACCACACGGTGGCACCCAGGAGACAGAGAGGCCACCCAGCTCTGCCAGCGTGCATCAGACTCCGGGTAAAACAATCCGAAAAGACAACCTCTTCACGGTCCATGAATTTCACCAACACAAAGACAGAACCTTTGAATAGAGCCTCTGAATCTAAAGGTGACATAACTGTCCCATTCTCCCCGTCCTCTGCAAGCAAGAAGGCATTTAACAGGGTAAAATCTTGGGTAGAAGCTGGACAAAGCCAAAGTTTACCTTGACGCATACAGTTGTAATCTGAAATACAACTGATTTGCTGACATAACAGAAAAGATTTCAGTATTCAGAGATTACCTTAGAGGTACATCAAGTTCTTCTTTCTCCATTTTCCCATCCAGTTCCTCTGTGTTGGTCAGCTCCATATCATTCTCATCAATTCCACATTTTTTCTCATCATTTAGAAAGTACTGCTGAAGTGCAGTGTAAAGTTTGTAGACCTGACTAAAAGAAAGCTTATTGTATGCCAAGATCATATGGCGCAGAAATAGACCTGGAAAGGAAAACATATGCTATGACATTGGTCTGTAGGGGTTTTATTGCAGAGAGGAGAGGAGAAATCATTATAATAGCCAGAAGCTTAAATGTTGTTAAGTATCTCATCTCAGCCTACCAACTGATAAATCTCAGTTCTGCCAAGTATAAATCTCAAATTAATTTTGTGGCAAAACTCACAGATTGTCAGATCACAGAACAACGTCAGCAAGAGGAACACACTACATACTGTTGGTTAATATGAAACACTTGAGTAAAGAGAAAGATCATATTTAATCTTTACTCCTCCATAAAAAGAAAAGCAAAGCTGTATCTTGAGTGAAGAATCTTAACAGCAGCTTAGAGACGACAGCTAGTTACCTATGACACTTGTTTTATGAACTTCTGGCTCTGTTCCACTGAATGAATCTGAAAGGTCATCAAAAAATTGTTCCATATCTTTCAGTTCTCCTTCAGCTATGAGCTTTAACCTAAACAGGAAAAAAGAAACAAACCTTTAGAGTTTAAATATTATGCATCAAACAATATTCCTCTATTTCAGGTACAGATGAGTGAACTCAGATAAAAGCAAATTAAAAAAATAATAATAATAATTCACAGAATCAAAGAGTGGCTTAAATTGGGGGGAGGGGAGACACACACCTTAAAGCCCCCCCAGCCCCACCCTCTGCTGTGGGCTGGCTGCCCCCTCAGCTAATGCTGCCCAGGGTCCCATCCTGCCTGGATGGGAACAAACAGAAAAGGTGTTTAACAACAGATAAGGGGCCAGACACCAGCGAGCGTGCTTGTGCCGGCTGTGTCGCCTGTCACTGAACAGTGACAGCAGTGTGACGGGGGCAGCCCAGAGCTGAGGACCCAACCGACCTCCCCCACACACACACACACACAAAGGGCCCCGCCGCCCACCTGATGTGCACGGAGCCGGCCAGGTTGGGGCAGCACTCTTCGATGGCCTTGCGCAGTCGCGACAGCGGCATGTCAGGCCCCTGGGGATGATGAGGAGAGCGACATGTCGCGACAGAGCACAAGTCAGCCCCCCCCCCCCCCCCCCCCCCCCCCCCCCCGGCCCCTCAGTCCCACTCCCCACCTGCAGCAATGGCAGCAGCAGCCGGTTGAGCCGCCGCCGCTCCAGCTGGTCGAGCTGCGAGCCAGCGCGGCCCAGCTCGCTGAGGAGCACCAGCAGCGCCATCTTGTAAGGGGTGACCCAGTCCTTGATGCCGAACACGTTGGCGTGCACCACGCCATTTGTCATCATCGGGTTGAAGTACAGGCTCTCGTGCACGCTCGCCATAGCGGCACCCGGACGCCTCCCGCCAGGGAAACCGGCTACGCCCGCCAGCCAATCACCGCCACGGCTTTCGTCACGTGAGAGGAGTCGTGACCAATGAGAGGAGGATCTGTGCTCTACTCTCTTTGGGCCGGCTGGAGGACTGAGCCGAAGGGAAACGTTCCGGGCGGCGGTGGGGCCCGGACCCCGCCAGCTGTAACACATCGTGTGTCTCGTCATGGTGTCCTGTCTCCAGACAGAGCGCTCCAATTACTGCAGTAATTCTCTCTTCCATTTTTTTTTATTTCTTTTTTATTTCTTTTCTTTCTTCTTTTTTTTCTCTTTTCTTTCTTTTATCTTTCTTCCTTTTCTTTTTCTTATTCTTCTTTCTTCTCCCCTCCCCTCCCCTCCCCTCCCCTCCCCTCCCCTTCCCTCCCCTTCCCTTCCCCATTCCGCTTACCGTTTTTTTCTTTTTTTTCCCCCTTTTTCTTTTTCTTATCCCTTTCATTTACTTAGTTTTATTTTCCTTTTTTCTCTTTCTTCTTCTCTCTTCTCTTTTTCTTTTTTACTCATAACTCTCCATTTTTACACATCTGCACATCACCAGGGATTACAACTCAGGCACTCCTGATTCACGCCTGGATGTGGTTAGACAAGGAGGAGGCAAATTGAGCTTGGAGTAATTTGCTGGAATACATCTATATTGAAGAAGCTTAATGCTGTAATTAGTTGTTGTGAGCATAATTAGTGATAACTTCCTAGATCGCAATGAGCTAATACTCATTCAGCTGTATCTGAATATAAAAAGCAGGAAATAGCCGCAGCTGTTATGTTACAAAGGTTAATTTAGTGGTATTTCCTGAAAATAAAGTAAGACAGCTTGGGCGGAAGCACTGAAGTGGGCTGCAGGGAGGGGTGGAGATGAGAGCTGCAGTCGGCATTTGCAGAAGTTGGAGAGAAAAGGAAATGACACATCTGGCCCGCATCCTGACGCTCTGTGTAACTCTCCAAACTCAACATGCAAGTCACGCTGACAATCCTTCTGCTTTGAACCTGCTCAGATAGTAAGCCCAAATTACTGTGTGCGTCTGGGAGTGAATGCTGTAAGGACTTTTTGTATCGATAGTAATGCCCACTCTGAAATTCCCAAATACAGCCTGGAGATTACCACTTACTTCAAAAGTAATGTAAGATTTTGGGTGTGGCAGGGATGGGTTGGACTTGATGAGCTTAGAGGTCTTTTCCAATCTTTGTGATTCTGTGATTTTGCAACTGAAAACACTAAAAACAAACGGTGATTTCTGCTAAGAATCATTTCTCTATTCACCATGTAAAACCATGGGGGATCACAGAGCTCCAGTGAGTCATCATTCCACAGCAGAAGTAAATGGGACATCTTGCATTAATAGATTCAAATCTTTTAATGCCTCCTTGGCACAACCCTGAGAGCTCAGCGAGGGCAAGGCTTATTAACAGAGCTCAGCAATGCCACTTCGCAGCCACCGAGGTTCAAGTTCCCTGTTAAAGAACAGCAGCCATGGTTAAAACTCAAGACGCAGTGACAAAGAGATCTCAAATCAGTGTCACAACATGACTCACTGCCACCTGCCCCACTGAAGGCAGAGTGCTGAGGGCAGCTTCAGCACGGCCATGGGCTCTGCCACAGCTTGTCTGCGAGGTTTTCTCTCACCAGAACTCATGGAAAAACTCATTTTTCTCCTCTTTGGCCCATTTCTGAGCACTGCTCCAAACACAGCCCCCACCCACCACGTTCTGAAGGGCTTTGCAACCTGTGTGAGTAAACAGAGCCTGGGCTCGCAGCGTGTTCCCAAACGCTGTTGTTGGGTGCTGTGTTGGCTCTGCGTGCCCTCAGGATTTGCTTTTTATTGTAATACCGTTACAATACAGATTAAAAGCTTTTGGTTCTTAAGACTTTTTTTTTTAAAATATATTTATAGGGTAAAGAAAGTAATAAGGGGATCGGGAAGCTTTTTGGAGCTGGATTTTCCAGTAATAAACCCTTCCAACCACACAGCGCCCATCGCTGAGGGCCTCGGCCTCACCTCGACTCCAGGCCACCCCCGCGCCCGCCCTCAGCGGCTCTTCCTCTCCTCCCATTGGCTTCTCCCGCTGCCGTCGCGAGGAGAACAGCCAATAGGACGCGGCTCCGCGGGAAGGCCCGCCCTCCGTGAGGCGGCCCGCGCAGCGCGGCGCAGGGCGGGGGTCGGCGCCGGGCAGGGCGCCGTGCCGAGGCGGCGGCGGAGCGGCCATGAAGGTGACGGGCTGCCTCGGCCGGGCCGGCCGCGGGAGGGACGAGGGCGGCCGAAACGGAGCGCGGTGCGGCCGGGGCCCCGCCGGGGGGTGTGGGGCGGGCCGGGCTGCGCCGCGGCTCTCCGCTCCCCTCGGGCCGCGGCCGCCACAGAGGGGCTCCCGGGGCTGCACCGCCTCGCCGAGGGGCCTTCGCTGAGTCAGCGGGCGGGCGGGGCCCGAGGCGAAGCCCGATCCCTCACGGCGCCCGCGGGGCTCCTTCGTCTGACCCCCAGCCGGGCGCCGCGCATTCGGCTCGTCGCCGAGCTCCGTCTTTGGGAAAGCTCCGTGCGGCCCCGGGGCGCTGAAGCTGGGGGCTGTGCGGGAGGATCCGTGCTGCCGCTGGGCGCGGCTGGGCTCTAAGGCACCAGGCCCGAAATTACGGCCCTGCGGGGTGCACGGAGCGCGGAGGACCGTGGGGAAGGATGGCTGGAAGGGCTTTGGCTGCTTGGCCGGGCCGCGATTAGCTCCGCAGGGAGGAAGCTGCTTGTTTTAGTGTCTCGTCTGTGGGTTGTGCTGGTGCTTGCTGGCTTGGACGCACAGGGAGGGCAGACTGAGGTTAAGGAGCAAATTAAGGACACTGTTGCACTGCGTGGGTCTGCTCTTAGAGCAACTGTAACACACGTCTTCTGTCCAATACTTAGCAAATTCATGTATCAAAAGTGGATGACAAACTTCCTCGATGCATTTTTACCCTGAGCTTATAGCCTTGTGTGAGCTGTTGCAGGCCATTCAATGAAATCACTCCTCCAAGTGTTAAACTGCCTGGTAAGGACATGGGTAGCAGCTGCATTCCCTCCTGGTTCTGTTGTCCTGCTGCTGGGTGCCCTGCAGTGGAGCAGGTTGGATTCTCACACACTTCTGGTTTCGTGTTTTATCTTTCTGTGCTTATTTGCCTGCAGCAGTTTTTGTTGTTGTTCACTATAAAGCTGGCACAACAATTCTGTAAGACCATGTGAAGAATTAGTCATTATTTTTTTTGCAAATGACAACTTTCCGGTAAGGAGAAAAAAAAAATACTCTTCAAAAGACCAACCTTGCATCCAAGAGAGCTCCTAGTTTTAAGTCACCAGTTTTAAGAATGCATTTCTGAAAGGTTATTTAACTGTTGCTTAAGAAGCAGGGAAAACTACACATCATTTGTTTTGTGCAGGAGAAAGGAATATCGACATTTCCATTCTCTGCTGCTGGAAAGCAGAGAGCAAGTCTTGGTTGGATGGCTCATTGTGGAGGGCAGTGAGCTGCAGGTACCAACCAGGGTCAGTCATGCCCTCAGCTCTGCAGGATTTTCTCTGTGCTGTGTGAAGGTTCCTGGTTACGGCTGGGGTGAATGTGGCTCTCAGAACAGTTGGGCTAATGAGTTTTGTTTGTTGCATACCTGTTTGATGTTATTACTGCCCACAGCTAAGAAGCAGAAGGACTGACTGCACTGCTAGTGTTGCAACACTTGTAGTGTCAGCATACAGCAGTAAGAGTGAAGCCCCAGGTTTGTGAAGGTCAGAGAGGTGCTTTTGATGTTCCATGTTTAACAACGTGTTCATGCAAAAGCCTTGTAGAGCATGTTTAGTCCTATGGCTCTGTGCCTCAGAGCTTCTCTCTGTACCATGGTAAGGACTCCTTTCTGAGCTTTTCTGCTTCATCTATGTTAATATGGAAAGCAGGGACTGCAGGGACTGCAGTGCCATCACTGATCTGACATGTGCTCTGGTTGGTTGAGGTTTGCATTGAGAGCTGCCAGGCTCAAATCCAATGTTCCATGTCTTTACACTTGAGGGTGTAGAGGGTGCTGTCCAGGCTGCTGTCCTGGAATAAAGAAAACAAAACAGAAGAACTTAGAATAGTTGAGCAAAAAAAAAGTGAAAAAAAAGTGAACAAAAAAAAAAGTGAACAAAAATATGTTTAAAAGATAGTTGTACCACTCAGCTTTCCTTCTATAAAAAAAAAAAAAAAAAAAAAGTGTGCTTCTGTTGGTTCTTGTTGTTGTTTAATAGGTTTCCATGAGCCACATGACTGTAATTACGTGTGTGACCCAAACAGCATAGGTTCCAAATTCCAACTTGAAGTAGAAATCTGATAGAGAATCTGGTGCTGAAGGCTTTCAAGGATAAAAAAGTAGCAATGAACTGCGTGTATTTATCTAGAATGTCTTTGCAGTGTTTGAGATAAAACAATAGGGCTCAAACCAGAAATACAGTCAATATGGACTAAGGTTATTCAGAGGTACTTAAGTTTTGTTAGATCTTATGTAAGAGAACAGCAGAGCAGGTCCAGGGAGGGCCTGAAAGAAGTTTCCCTCTCAAAGAAACAGAGCATGATGAGTTTGGAATTAAGTTTGGTTTGTTTGTTTGGAGATCCAGAAATGTTTTTTAGAGTTTCACTGTGAGTCCTAAAAGAACTGAATTACTTCTGGAGAAAGTCCTACAGGGAGACAGCCTTACAAAAAGCTGTTGTACCACTCGCTCTCATCCCTTCAGCTCTTGTCCTTTACCTACAATTGCCTGTCAGTCTCCTCCTTCACTTTGCGTTGCCTCTTCAAATTCCTTACACTTTTGTGCAGAACTCTGCTAGAAAAGGAGCTCCTTGTGCCTGCTTCAGCCTCTTGGAAGCAAATCTTACCTACTTTGGGTTGTAGCTGGGAAGGAAGGCTCGCTGGGCTGCACTGATGTTTGTGTGCTGCATTCCTTGTGCTCTGGGATTTCACACAGCAGGCTTTAGGATGGTGACAGATGGGATGGCGAGGCCCTTTGGCGGCAGGACACGTGCTATGTGGGTCTTAAGATATTAAGTTTTGTTCCTTTTTCTTCTTTCTGTATGCTTCCAGGCAGGAGCTACTTCCATGTGGGCTTCCTGCTGCGGGTTGCTGAATGAAGTCATGGGGACTGGAGCTGTCCGTGGCCAGCAGGCCGGCTTTGCGGGAGGCGCCGGCCCGTTCCGCTTCGCACCAAACACGGCTTTCTCATCGTGTCCATCTCCAGCTGCAGCAGCTGCCAACGTGGTTTGCAAAGCCTGTGGACTTCCCTTTTCAGTTTTTAGGAAAAAAGTGAGTAACTTCCTTTTAAATCATATTTTTACTGATATGAACGAATCTGTAGGTATATCAGGATACAAATATATATATATATTTATTTTTCCTCCAGTAAGGACAACTGAGTCAGATGGTCAGGGAGGGAGAAAGTGCCTCATCCCAAGGTCACAGGAAATGAACATCAGACAGGATTAGAAGTTAAGAGATCTGACGGTCATTGACTGGTGACACGTTGGATCTGAGCTGACTGCTGATCCAATTTGCAAGGTGCATGTTTTAGGTGCAGAATCTTGGCTATTAAAACAAATCTGTGTTTGAAGATGATATCAACCACAGTGGTGGGGTACTGAAATGAACAAACTACATAACAGAAAAGTTTAACCACTACCAATATAGTATCACAACTTCTTTCTGTGAAATACTGTTTGTTAAACAGGTTTAGTTCTGTTAAGTGCTGTTGTGCTCCAATGGCCTCATTTCATCTGGGGCCAAGCTGGTGGCTTAATTAAGTTTCCAGATAAATAAAGTTGAGATTGTTGGTGTTACTTCTGCATATGACAACTGTCCATCATTATTACCTTGTCCATTTAGGCCCGCCTACTGACCTAATTCTCTGAAGCCTCTTTCCTCAGTTTTGTTCTGTTTTCCCTTTTCTTGTTGTCTTGCTCCACCTTGGCACAGCTGCAGAACTATTTAATGGAGCAGTTTTCTAGACTTAAATCCTAAAACTGATGCATGTCAAAATCAGCAATGAAAGGCTAGCAGTAAATTAGGTGGTCTGGAGAAGGGACAAGCAGGGACATAGGCTCGCTTTCTCTGACACAACTGAGTGGTTATTTTCTCATTCTTAGCACGTGTGTTGTGACTGCAAGAAGGATTTCTGCTCGGTTTGTTCTGTCTTACAAGAGAATCTCAGAAGATGTTCTACTTGTCACTTGCTGCAAGAAACAGCATTTCAGCGGCCGCAGCTGATGAGATTGAAAGTCAAGGATCTGCGTCAGTACCTTGTTCTCAGAAACATACCGACAGATACTTGCAGGGAGAAAGAAGACTTGGTGGATCTCGTGCTGTGCCACCACTTAGGCTCTGAGGAGGATATGGACGCTGGTAGCTTGAGCTCATCACGCTCACAGACTTCTGGGTTTTTTACACATCCATTTTCTATGTCTGTGTCAGTGTCGTCCCAAGGAGATCTTGCAAACAGAGGAGGAAGCACAGGAAATGGGACACCTTTACGGGTACAATAATTAACATGTGCTTTATGGTAGAGTGGCTTTTTTTTTTTTCCAACTAGATAATGCATCATGCTAAACTAAAACAAGGACCAACTGGTGCAGTTGGAGGGGCTGGAAAATGCCTTTTCTGTTTCTGATCTGGAAACAGAAGATGATTAGATAAGACTGCTAGTTTAGGTGATAGGGATGACTTGAATTGATAATTATTAGCAGCAGCTGAAACTTTAAAAAGTTTGGGCAGAAGGAAGGTATTTTAGAAGAGGTTGGGGTGCTTTTAGTTTTTTTTCTTATTTGTTTTGATTAGTTTCATTTTGTACACAGGGCCAAACTGAAACATCTTCTATAAATAATGATGAAGAAGAAAGTGCTGAGGAACAGGTGAGTTAAGAACTACACAAAGAAACTTTTGCACGTGACACCACAAAGTATTTAGATCTGTCAGCATTTAGTATCACACTCTACTCTTTCAGAACCAGCCATTAGTAACACATCTGTAACTACTTGCCCTGAAAAGGATAAAGCTTTAGCCAAACTGCTGCAGCTTAATGTAGTCTGTGATAGCATGGAAAAATCTGGTGCTTTGAACTTACCAGAACAGATAAAAACATACAGCTATGTGTTTCAGACTCCCGGATTGTCCAGAAAACGAGCAAGAGCATCTCTGTCAGATATTTCAAGTCTGGAGGACATCGAAGGCTTGAGTGTTCGGCAGCTGAAGGAGATCCTTGCGTGTAATTTTGTCAACTACTCAGGATGCTGTGAGAAATGGGAACTTGTGGAAAAAGTGAGCAGGCTGTACAGAGAGAGTGAGGAAAACCACAAAACACGTAGGTTTATATTCAATTCTTACCTTTCTTTTCTGGTTTCCAGTATCCAGTTCTGCCAGCAGGACAACTTGGTGTCTAACTTGTTCTGCATTTGTGGAACTACTCACAAGTGTGGTTTCCCAGTTGGAGCTACACTTATAGAATAGCTGAATGTGGTATTAGTGTGTAAATAAAGCTTTCCAGGAATTGTGCTGTTTTTTCAAAGATTTGCTTTCTAAAGATTGGAGAGCTTAGCTTTCACATGGAAGGTAAAATGGCATGGCTGAGAACTGGTTCTTTGGAGAACGTGAAACTTGGCACCTCCATATCCTGTATTAGATTTCACAAGGTATTAGCAAGAGAGCTTCTCTTGTAGCTGTCAACAGACCAAAGTAATTCAGGTCTTTTACTGTGGGACAGAATTAAAAGCTACAGTGGCAAAAGTCCAAGTTCAAGTGGTTTGGGCTCTCTCCATGCTTTCACGATAAGGTGTTTTTGTGGCTGCAGCTCAATGACTTGTATTCATCCAACCTCTGTGCTCAACAATTGGTGTCTTTCACTTGCACGACTGTAGTATGCGCACAGCCTGATTTCTGTTAACAAAATATTTTGGGAGAAACAGTTTCTTGATGATGCTGCTGGCCTGAAAAATTCCTGCCTGGCTCTTTATTCTCGCACCCACCAGGCAGGATGTGAGCAACAGGCAACTGCAGTGACTGGAAAGCTGCTGTAGCTCAGGGCTGCTTCACAGCCAGGTGTTGCCAGCACATAACACTGAAATAACTGGCTAAGAGGATTGAAGCATTCTGCAGGTGCTGATCACTCTCTGGTACTGCTGGTGAGTGTCAGAGCATGGCTCAAGGGAGCCCCTCAGTTGGTGATTAAAGTAGAGCTGAAAACCTGTCTGAAATCAAGCATTAGACTTAGGATTTTCTCAGTATGGTCTGACAAAATGTACAATTATTGATAGAGGAAACCTGCACTGAAACCTGGCAGGCTTTGTTCAGTTCCACCATCCTCAGGCCTTGCTTACGCTTCAACAATTTGGTCTGCTTTATTCTGTATCTGTCTGTATCACTGTGAGGAAAGTGTTCTGCTACACAAAGTAAGTTCAGAGATGGAAAACAACAAGCTCTGCATTCCAATTACTGTCATCAAGCACTTAATTGAGACTGGATGCTCTCTTAGAGGTTAAGGAATATGAAATGATTCTTAACTGGGAGTTAGGAAACAGTTGTAAGCATGGAGCAGTGCAGCTTTATGCTGAAGTACCTGTTTGTATCTTTCAGCTGGTGCCAGGGTCAGGGCTGAAGTGTTTTGAGGGCCTGAGCGTGTGACCTCCCTCTCCATTGCTTTTCAGAGGGTGAGAAGGTACAGCTGAACGACAACGATGACAACTTGTGCCGGATCTGCATGGATGCAGTGATCGACTGCGTCCTGCTGGAGTGCGGCCACATGGTGACCTGCACCAAGTGCGGCAAGAGGATGAGCGAGTGCCCCATCTGCCGGCAGTACGTTGTACGGGCTGTGCATGTCTTTAAATCTTAAATGGAGACCAAAAGCAAAGTTTAGTCACCCTCTGACTACCAGGATTTCTGTGGGCAGGAGTGCTGAACCCTGGGGCGTAGATCAGATTTTTAATTCTCAAACACAACATTTTGAACATCAGGACATAGAAGTTTATGAAGACTTTTTTACAGCATACTTAATCTTGATGGTTGGGCAGGATGATGTGATGCCTGTGTGGTACAGTGACAGAGCTGCCTAACTTTCCTTAAACCCACAAACTGAGTCAAACTGTTTACAGCAGTTATTGCTCTCTTCTGAAGAATATCAGCCCTAGTTATTGCATTCAGTACTCAGCAAGTGGTCACAGAAACCACCTTTGCTCAACCATATTTGTGTTATGTTGTCCAGTCCTCTAGAACTTACTGGTTGAATACTCTGTTCTTATGCAATTAAACAAATATAGAATGTAACTGACACTGTTCCTGTAACAGTGTTAACAGTATAAAGACTCAAGAAAGCACTGCCATTAATTGTACCTGCACAGAAGACCTTAAGCAATCTGTTTGATGGGGATTGCTGCACTCAGAATGTCAAACGTTACCCATGTAATCTCTTGGCCATTCTTTGTCACTCTGTAGGGCTCTCATGTGGTATCCAAATACTGCTTACTAAGTACTTTTTTTTTTTTTTTAGTTTAGGAATAATTTTTCAAGAAAGGAGGTAGAGGAAATCGTATTCTTGTGGTTCTCAATCCACTCATGCCTATTGTAACTATTAATCTAATGTGATGATTGTACTTCATGTGCCGACAACCTGATATTACTGTGAATACTAATCAGGGTCATGAAACTACTTGCTGCTAACATGTGGAATGTATAGTACTGCTAACCTTAAGGGAGAATGGTTGAATTAGGACAGGGGAAAGGAAACCTCATCTTTAAAACCTCACATTCACCAACATTAACCAAGACTGAGTCACCATTACCCCTGCTTCCCATTAGCTGCTGCATACCTGCGCTGCTGGCGGCTCAGCTTCCAGCAGGGTGTTGTCTTGGAGCAAAGACCTTCTCAGTGCCTGAGGCTGCCCATGCAGCCTTCTGAGGGAAGCTGCAAAATCACTTCAGATGTGGGGACAGGATCCTTGTGTCCAAGCATGGTCATGCTTGTGCTTGACTAAAAGTAAGTTCACAGTTAAAAGAAGAAAAAAAATGAGGAAAGAAAATTCAGCTAAAGCTACAGTTTCTCCTTCGAATTTCCCCCATGCTAACAAAGCAGTAGAGGTAAGAAAATGTTTTGCCAGGGCTTCAGTATCTGGTAATTCTTACCTCTGCTACACTGCCTGTCATTCCAGCTCTTGTCTTTATGTGGCTGGCTCGAAAAAGAGAAAGCAGCTCCTCCTCAAAACAAAATATGCAGCTTTAAGACACTGCTGGCTATTTTTCAGAAGGGAGCAAACCTCTCAATGGCTTTATTTTTTAGAACTTTTTAATGCTACTTAATTCCCGGAGTCTCCGTTGAGTGGGTAAGCTAATGAAAAAAGTACCATATATTACTTCCATGCTGATCGTTAGCCACACAAGCTTAATAAAGATTTGTGATGGGCTTTCACAGCCTCTGTCTCTTTCCTTAACGAGTGGGGAAGGTGTTGGACAGGCAGCCCAAGCTTTACCTGTCTCTTACAAATGTGTGCCCAGGCAGACAGCAGCTGCAGGAAGGGACGTGTATTTCATTTCCCCTTAGTAAAAACGTGCTGGGAGGCAGTGGAGAAAGCCTGCACTGAGCACCGTGAGCTACTGCCTGAAGCACAGCAGAAATCGGGACGGCTGCATTACTGCTGGCTTCCATCAAGGCTGGGAACAGTTCCACAAAACACAGAATCAAGGCATGGCTTACTGTGTCACACACCAACACCATTCTGCCTCTGCTCAAAGTCCTGTGTGGGACAAGAGCAGATCAGTACCCTCACTGCACAACAGCAGCACTCAGCAGAGGAGGGCCGGGCTGCAGCAGGAAGCGTCGCTGCTTGCAGGGCTTGTGCAGCTCCACAACTGCAGTCACTCCACACACCTGAAGTCCAACCACAGCCCCCAGCTGGAACAGAAGCCCTCGTAGCCAGAATCTGTTTTTGTACAATTGTTTATACAAATTCAACAAAGGTAAAACTGCATCAGGAAGGTCTACGAAAACAACACCTTACAACAATGGCACTTATGAATGCAGAATTTTACAATCAGGAAATAACCATGTTATAAACCTTAAATGAGAACTCAACTCACACTTCAAAGAAAGAGAGACTACGTTTGACCATTTATTCTACTGCTGGACTCACTGTATAAATTAATTTTATATTGAGTACAAGAGCTCATGCTACAGAGTGAAACCCTCCTATGTGCAAAAGCTGAAATTGGAATTTTTAAAATTTTGAGAAAAAAGGTGATTTCTATACAGATAAAACTTGGCAAAGTGTTTTACTTCAACTATAATTTACACCTTATTTCCACAACATGCTTATGTCACTTCTCAAGTATACAAAGCAGGATATAAACTTCCATTAAAACATGCTTTAAGTTGAAAGTATTAACCTACTTTTCCTGACCTGGGCACGTTTGTAGATAGATACTGTCTACGAAGTATAGGTTAAGTTCTCTCCTACCATAAGTAAAGATAAAAATTGGCAATCAAAACCGAAACACTGGTAATGCATTCAAACATTGCATAAATAATTTTTAAACAATTTTTGTACAAAAATAGTTCTGCATAATGTAAGATGTAACAAAACAAAATGTGTTAAGAAGGCAGAAATGCAGTGCGTGGTCCACTTTAATGACACCAACTTTTTTTTTGTTTGTTTGTTTGTTTTAAGAAATGAAAAGCAGAAATCAAATTTACACTACCAAGCACATGCTGTGGTACTTTAAATAACAGTATTCCTTGGAGATCAGTCTTCTTCCGGGTGTGAACAATTATCATCAATAACAGTCGCCTTATGAATTTGCATAAGAGCCAGTGCAGGACATCCCAGGTAGACTGAATTAGTGGCACAAGTTGAGATTCTTAACGTGGGTAGTTTCATGTTGTTCTCGACAAGAGTTGTAAAATCCCATCACGGTATTTTCCAATATTCCAAGTTCCCAATTGAAAATAAAATCCCTACATGTTCTTAGTCCCTTCCCCGCCTCGCCCCAGTATTTACACGTGTCCTTTAACTAACTCAGTTTTTGCAGAAGTTTTTCTTCCACTTGCCCAAACTGAACACTTACTGACATCTCTGCTATGAACTGCTCACAGCCTTCTTTTGTCACTTGCTTGCAGTACCTCAAGTCGATCTGGCAGATGTTTCCACAACGTTTAAAGTAGGACAGGCACTGGTCAGTCACCTTATTGCAGTCTGCCAAAAAAGAGAAAAGGGCAGAGACGTGTAACCACGTTTTGATTTCTGATTTGACCTCATTGGCTCTTTCCACTCCTCCTGTGCTACGCTGACACCAGCTGCCCCAACCAGCCCGCCTGCAGCTCCCGGCTCCCCATGGCGGTTGTGTAACCAATAGGATGAGGAGGATGAGATGGGATGAGGAGGATGTGCGAGGTGACAATTCACAGCAGGGAGGAGGGGCAGCTCAGCCAGGGCAGGGCCTGGGAGAGCAGCAGCTGCAGGATCGCCGACACCAGCGGCAAACAGCGTGCTGATGGGGACGGACAAACTCCCACCCTCCTCCCAGCCCCGAGTTCGTGCTTCGTACCTGATAAATTAATTTCCGTTAATGAATCCCGCGTGGTTGTTCCAACCGCGGTCAGCAGGTTAATAGACTGATCTGTCACGTGGTTACAGTAACTAAGATTGAGTTTGGAGAGCAGAGGCATGTGCCTTATGATCAGCCGCAAAGACGCATCGGTGATATCCAGGCCGGCCAAGCGCAGCTCAACGATGTTCCGTAGTTTACTCCGGTTGTCGATCTGACCTGGAAAGCAGAAGCAGCAGCTGAGTCTCGTGCTGTGTTGCAAACATCTGCAAATCTATATGAAATGCACTGTGACACACAACACTGCTGCCCTGAGTTAACTTCAGATGTTTTTGCCTGTCTGTTGCTTTGGAGGGGACATCAGCAGGAACGCTTGCCTATTTTTGATACAGGCACGTGGACAATAACCACCTCCTGATTTAAAAACAAAAGGGATGAAAGTAACTGCAGGGGCCCAGCGGAATTACAGGTCGGGAATAAGCAGTAGGCTGTGCAGTGCATGCCAGAAAGCAGATCTGATTTGCTCAAAATTTCACCTGAGCTGATATCCGGGCGAATGTGGCATGACCCACAGAACTGCTCCTTCCCTGAACTGGAAGAAAGTGTTTCCATACTCTCTAAAGTACACCCGTTGCAGCCTGAAGAGAAGAAAGTCAGACAGAAAACCAGCACAGTGGCTCAGACGACTGTTCAGCAGCCAGAGAACATCACTCATCACCCAGAGGCTTCCAGCGAGGTGCTGCACGTCACTACTTAACCACCTCACGTGCCAGCAAAGCCCAGAACCCCACCGGTGCTGGCTGCAGGGTTTGCTGCCCATTTCCTCCACGGGGGACCAGCAGCACAGCATGCTGCAGTGCAGTGGGACAGCCCGCGCTCCTCCCGCCGGTTACCTGGCCGGTTATCTGTGGGCGGTGACAGGAGGTCTCTCATCTGGGCGTCTTTCAGTCCTTCTGCCCACTGCACGTCCAGAGTTCGGAGTAAAGGGCAGCTGGAACTACAAAGTGCTGACACTGCTATCCATGAGCACCCTGATAACAGCAGGTCTCGAAGACCTGCAGATACAGAAGAGATTGGAGCACACGGCCCACACGCAGAGGCACTCAGTGATCTGCTACCACGCACAGGCTGAGCTGAGCCCAGCACTGCTCCAACACACCCCAATGTTCCGGGGCAAGCAGGGACCCCGGGAGCCCTCCCACCCAGCCATCCCTCTGCCCTGCACCCAGAACCTCCATTACAGGGGGTGGGGGAACAGTCCCCCAGCATCCCCCAGCTGAACGGGTCAGCACAAGCACTGCACTTATTGGCCAACACCTGCCACAAATTAGTTTACTAGAATGCCAAGTAGTCACAACAAAACTCATTTTTTGCTCATTTAAACATGCTGATGCTCTGCTCCTGTATATGTACTCCTCCTTTCAGGTAGCTGGACCCCTTCACACCCTCCTCAGAGATAATAGTTTACATCTAAACTGATTTGCTAAGATCTGGTGAAGCAGTCAAAAAAGCCATCGCTTACCTGGCAGTCTGTTGATAAGCCAGCTCAGCTGCTTTTTAGATATATTTGTCCAGCTAAGATCAAGGGTTACAGGCTGTCTCCTAATAATGCCACTAAGCATAAGTGGAGTGATGGATTTACAATGGTTTAAATCTATTTTGGTCCATAATCTTTTGTCACAGCACCTACCCAAAAAGAAAAAAAGTCAACAGCACTTGAATTTGACACTTGTTTCAATTTCTGCAAGACTTTTAAAAAGCATTACTGAACTATGGGGAAAACTACAGCACTTAACCAAAACTAGCAAAAATAAAGCGAAGTGATGCTGAGGTAAGTGCACCAACAAACAGTGCCATGTAGGTTTGAAGTTTTCTGTCAAATCCGTCTCACAGCGAAGTACGGAATTATTTCTGCTGAATAATCAGTGTCAACAACATAGGATCCCATTTTAAGTTACCACAGCATTTATTAAAATCTGTCTTGTAGCCTGAAAACAAGCACCTTCCTTCTTATCTTCTAAATAAAAAGAACGGTTTCATATGCTTCTTGTCCTGATTTCTCCCACACTTTCCCTATGCAAAACAAATTCTGTTCCTGTTATTCCCATTTAGCTGCCTCGTGTGTTTCTGTGCTCTCTCTTTATGGCTCTCTAAGGGCCACAAGCAACAAATCTGAATGGGTTTTGCAATATTCTGTATCTTCCTACATTTTGCATTAGAAAATGCCATACTTAAACAGAAAATCATCTAACACCTTCTGTGGCACTGAGAAACCTGTGGAGGAAGGGCTCCATGGGCATCACCTTGTGCCAGTTACCAACCTTCCTGTCATTTATCCAGGTTTTGCTAGACTGTGCTACCGAGGGGCCTCTGCTATGACTCGCCCATCCATGTGCACATCATGGCTGAATATGAGATGACAGCCAACAAGATACTTCGCTGTGAGTGCAGTGAAACACAGAAATCTGTCCACTAATGCTTTCTGTGGTGGTACAGTCACTGTCTGTGTCAATTTTTACGCTCTGACACTCTGAGCACAGAACAATGAAGGACTCTTCCACAAATTCTGCTGATATGGAATCAGCAGATGGGATCACTCTGTCTGCCCTCTGCAGAGCAACAGCTGGGATGGACCTTCTGAAGGGAACACTGAGGGCACCAGGAGATCTTCACTGTATCTCAATAGATATTTAAGAACTGAACTAAAAAAACAACTGCATCAGCAGCAAGAGCTCCTGGGGGCACAGTGACGCCAGGCTCAGCCTGACCCAGACAGCATGTTCTCATGTGTGGGAACATGCAGTGTCTGTGGACAGAACAGGCTGCTCTGGGCAGCACAGCTGCTGCAGGCTGATGCTCAGACACAGAGCTCTCATCAGAAGCGCTGGCAACTGCTGCTTGTGGGAAAGCACCAAAGACAAGCTTCTTCAGACGCTGCTCAGCACCCTCTCTCTTTGGGCTCAGTAGGACAACCTGCACACCTCTTTCAGTGCTCAGCCACCCACCTCCCTTCCGAGTCCATCCCCACCACACACACGGTTTCCCACCCTCCTTACCATCTGTTCCAGGTCTTGCAAACTCTCATACAGATGCACAAGTCTCTATGACTGAGGTAGCTAAAGACAGCCATCCAGACTTCCCTCTGCATCACGTGGGCTGCCCCGTCATCCAGGGGGAGCGAGTCCGGAGGGGGGCTGATGGGGGGCGGCCGGATGACGTGCCGCTCCATCTGAATGCATTTGGGAGGAGAGAGCGAGGGCGGGGGCCGGGCGATGCCCCGCGGTGTGCTCCGCAGGCTGGGGATGAGCGGGTGCCTCAGCTCCCGGGGAGTCCCGTTCAACCCTTTGCTGAACCTATGGAGTCTCTCGCTGTTGTTCAAGGCGCGCTTGGGTTCCTCGTTTTCGCTCTCGGGTTCAGATTTGATGGGTTGGTGATTCTCATTGGCAAGGCTGTTCTCGGTTTTTTGGATCTCTTGGTTGAGCTCCTTGCTGAGCTCCTTGCTCAGTTCCTTATTGGGAAGCCGCCTTTTCCGCCTCATCTTGAACTTCTTCTTGTCCCTGGGCTCGGCCCCCTCTGTGCTGGGACCCGCGGTGGGCGAGCTGGATCGCGACTGGTCGCTGTCCTTGGAGCGGGGAGGCGCTTCCGGCAGCTCGTCCTCCGGCTCCTGTTTGAGGCGCCGCAGGGGTTTGAGCAGGGCGCTCCGCTCATCCGAAGCCTTCCACGATCGCCGCTGAAAAGGAAGAGACAAGGGCTGACTACAGGAGCACCCAGCACGTGGCGACACCCGGAATGCTGCCGCTCTGCAGGGCAGTGGTGCCTGGGGAACAGCTGCCTTCCTGCACTGGGCCCACCCGCCCCAGCACCAGGCCGCATCCACCAGCCAAAGGCACCGCGTGCCATCGCAAAGGCAGGGAGCCCAGCTATCGGCCCTCCAGACTCCAAGAGTGACAAATGCATTTATTCACCATGCATCACCTTGCAGACTTAAGGGCCTTACTCATTACACAGCAGACAGCTTCCATATAGAAGATGAACAGCATGCTATAGACAGTTCTCCCCCAACGGGCCAGAAGAAACCAGGCTTAGGATGCATTCACTGGGCAAACTTTCAACACTGGCTGACACACATGCATGCCAAATGGCCAAAAGATTAATTTCTGAAAGCTCCTGAGTTGCAACCACTACTCGCACTGTGGCTGCGCTTCTGCTGTGATGACACCATTCCTGCTGGATGCTCAGAGCCTCGGGTAAGCACACACTGGCTGCCCCTTTACATCCTACTGAACTCGGTTCATCTTCTCAGGCTTCCCCACTTCCAGTGCGTGTGGACAGGGAATGCCAGGTGTGACACACTGCCACCAGGATGAGCCCGCATGCTGCCACCATCTCTGATGCAAGGTGGGTGCACAGGGCTGGCAGCTTCTTCCCTGCCCTGGTTGCTGCTCATCAAAGAGAACTGCGCTTCATTCACATTAATCTAACCTTTTGATGCACGCCAGAGGGATACAGAAGAGACACACGGACCAAAACCAAGGAAGACTTCAAGTCTGATTTGACTGCTATATGCAAGAAAGAAGCTAGCAACTGTTAGAACGAAACAGCCTTAATAAGAAGAGATCAGGCCTGGCAAGGAAAGGTGAGCTGCTGTGAACACACCTGTTCTATCAGAATGCCTGTGTTCTGCAATAAACTAATTGGATCACATCTGTGGATGTGCTGCTACACCTCGGACTCAGCGCTGAGCAGAGAAAGCTGATCAACCCGTCCTTAAACATGTAATAAAGGAAGAGGTCACAGTAAGTTAATGACAGGTTAGAAAACGGACAGGAAAATTAGAACATCAGATTACTGTCAGCTTGCAGCATCTTCCACACAGGGCACTGAGGAGTGCGTAATTTAAAGGTATCAGAGTTCTGTTATTGTGGCAGATTGTGAGAGAGAAATCAATGCTTGTGCAGGGGGGGCTCCACGCTGTGATGCAGACTGCTGAGGGTGTGTGTGGCAGGAGCAAGATTCAGCAAGAGAGCAAAGCATCAGCACAGAAACTGAATTTTATTCCTTGGGGTCATCAAAACACAGTTTTTGATTGTATTTTAACATGGGACACCAGAAAATATAGAGCCAGACACTGCAGCTAACTCTTCTGAAGCATAAAGGCTTGCACGAGAGAGCGGTTTTTGAGATGTAAAGGGCATAATAAAAATGCCTGCTTTGACACAAAGACATGAATGATACACTGGCTCACCATTCAGCTCACATGAGAAGGATTAAAAGGGATGCAGAACATATCTATTATAAAGGCAAAGCACCTTCTTCCTGAAGAGTTTCTTCTTTTCCAAGTTTTAGCTGTTGGAAGAAAGAAAAAGTAAAAGCCCCAGAAGATGACATTTGTTCTGCTGTCTGTTGAAGGTCTGGTGACTCACAGTGCCTTCCTGATGCGCTGGGGGCTTTCATGGAGCAATTCAAGCCATCCATAAACACTCCAGTGAGTCCGCAGGGATGGGAAAAGGAGATCATGGCCAAGAAGCAGACATGTATAACCTGCTGTCATGAATTTTGCTCTCCACCAAAGCAACGACAATCCCTACATTCCCATACTGTGGCGTTCTCTCTGCCAAGACTCGACAGGCAGAGCAACTACCAAGTCCTAGAGAACTGCAGTACGTGCAGTACAAGAACTGCCAGCGATCCCAGTTACAAAGCCATCCGACGTCTACTTGTAAGAGAAGTTGGATCTAAGTCCTCAATTCTACCTCTGGAAGCCAGCATTTCTCTATATCTTAAGTAGAATATTCTGTAATCCACACGGCAATTCAGAGTGTCTCTGCCTGGTCCGAGAGCTCTGACTTTTAAATTCAGGGAAAAGCTGCTACAGTGCTGCTGTGAGCAGCTCCTCCTCTCTGTAGGCTACAGGAGGTGTCACTCCTAAAGGTCCTCTGATCAGTTCTACATACTGTACATCTGTGAATCAGCCACAAAACAAGCTGCCACGCGCCACCAAGTGGCAACAGATGAAAAGGTTTCCATAAAAAAGTGATTTTCACTTTGTTCCTACTCCAAGCATCTTGCAGTGACTTTTTAGTTAAAGTGGGTTTTCCAGTATTTTGAACAAACCAACAGCCACAGCCCAGTGTTGTCAGCCTCTGAATGTCAACCCGAGCTTCACCGTTCAAACTACTGTCCTGTTAGACAAGCAGTTTTCAGGAAGGGAGGTAAAACATCGCAGTTTCTTTTGTAGCAATCTGGGATTTCAAGACGAGGTACAAGCCAGAAGGCAAGAGACATCAGCCCCAACCAGCCCACGCGCATCTGCGTACGTACATAAGGGTTTGTCATACCCGTTTTCTCATAGAGGGTTCCTGGGGTTTCTCAAATTTCCTTTTCCTCCGCAGATGTACTTCGTCTGACTTTCTCCTCAGAATTGAGTCAACTTGAGGCTTTTTGGAATGTTCCTCAGATTTCCGCCTGGGAGTTTCTTCACAGTCCCCTTTCCGTTTTGCAGCATCTGTTACTTCCTTATTGTCTCTGTTCATTTTCTGTTCCTTCAGCAATGAGCCTGGGAGATTTGATGCGTATTTGAATCCTGGTCCGCGCTTTTGCTTGTACGCCAAAGAGACACAAAACACAAACAAACTTTATATCTTATGCCTTTCTCAGCTATTTATGTACGTTGCCTCCAGCACTGGTGGGTTGATCACTTTGTAACAGACAAAATCATTAACAAGGAGTTACAGTAGAAGCAGATTCAACCTTTAAGAAGTTTTTATGCACACTTGCAGCCTCTCGCTTTACAAAAGAAAAAAAAAAAAGCTTCCCTAATTCCAATAGACACTTCAGGTTTCGCATGACTTTTTTTCTTTCCTTTTTACACAATCCAAAGAAGTATCTTAGAATTTAGCATGCAGCAATGCACAGAACTAACCTAAACACTCTCCAGGTTTTGGGTGAAGTGTTAGTGCATGGAAGGAAAATAAAAAGATGATTAGGGAACAGAAAGCCAACAGCTTATTTCCTTTGACTCAACTGAATTGAACACAAAAACAAAAGCGGTACTGGGCAAAATTATACCTACAAGCCAGAGGGAACGTTTGAGATCTTGTATTTCATTCCAGCACCACTTATCCCCATTAAACTCACTTTTCCAGTTTTCCCTGCATGGTTGCACTTTGGACACTCCCAGCAGTTCGGCAGCTCATCGTTAACCACACCATCTGATTCCTTCACCTGGTGAAAGAGAGGCACAACTCAATTCACAGGCAAGCTCAAAGAAGCTGCAGAACTCTACAGGTAGACCACTCAGAGGCATTTCTCACAGCTCTTCATTTTCTCTGATCGATTGCTGCCCTCCCAAGGGCTCCAGGAAAGAAACCCGGCTCCCTGCAGGAGCTGAGCACACCCCACAGGATCACCCTCGATATAACATCCATGGGAGAGGAACGTGTGGTGGCCAACCTGGTACTTGATAAAGGCTTTGGGTCTGGGCTTTGTGTGAAGGTCAGGAACAATCCCCATTAGTGCAGGGCACATTCTGCTCTTACAAAAATAATAAGGAAAGAAGTCACCCGCCGTCCCAACTGTAATCATGCCATCTCCAAACGTCCTCCCACACCCCTGATCTGAAAAGCCATTTCCCCCCCCGAAGTGAGGCACAGCCTGCTCCCTCAATAGGAAGGGATTTTTCCCATAGACACATTCTCATACATTAATACTGTTGGGCATTTTTAGAAGCAGAGCACCCTGCACTGTAATCAAGTGTTCCTTAAAATATTTTTCTTTACAGCTCAGAGTGAGCAGCCCCATGTGCACAGCCCTATGTGCACAGCCCCCAGGCTCACGTGCCAGCAGAACACTGGCTGCCAAGCCAGCTGGAGAACAGCAAACTTCTAGTCAGAGGTCCGGACAAACGAAAACACTCTCAGGGCTTCTGACACCCACAGCTCGAGTAAAGAAGAGAAGTGCTTACTGCTTTGCTGCCTCTGAGAGACTGTGACATTCTGCTCTTTGAAAGAGAAAAAAGCATATTTGGTGTTGTCATACTACAAGGAAAGCATGGCTCTGCCCCACACAGCTCCTGCTTCCTGAACTTCTGCAGAGGAGCCCTCATTACATTCCAGACAGGAGAAAGGTGTTTCTGAAAAGCAGTTTCTGTGAATGAAGCTGAGGAGGAACAGTAGAGCTAAGCTAAAAAGCAGCCTCCACACAAACACACAAGCTCACTGATGGCACGTTCACATCGTAAGGATTAGTTGGGTTCAAGAGGCGTCTGGATGAGGTGCTAAGAGATACAATTCAATAGCTTAGTGGGTAGTAATGGTGATAGGAAGACAGTTGGACAAGATGATCTTGCAGAATCAGAAGGTTGGAAAGGACCTATGATTCTACGATTTAGGCAAAAGCCTCAAGGAAAAAAAAACCATTTTATCACTGTAGTAGCATGGTTCTGCTGTCTGCAGTCAAGACAAACAGCTGGGCATTGGCATCAGCAGTACAGTAGCAGGAGCCTGCTGCTGGAACAGGCAAGGGCAGAGCTCTGCAGATTTTTCTTGTTTCTGAAGCATTTCCTCCTCCCAGCTCAGTGAAAATGTGTGAGCTGTGCAGGAGCAAGCCCTGGGATTTAGGGAACTGCTTCCTCCAGAACTGAGCCAGACAGCAGCCATTCGAGTTTCACCATCCAGCAGGAGTGATGACATGTCAGTCTCTCTCAGCAAGTCTTTTGGAGTTAATAAACGAGTAAATGAAGTGGGCAGAATTTAAATACTGGTTTTATCACAACTGTGTGCCTTTGAACCTTCTTTCCCATGGTAGGTGTAAGATACTCCAGGAGCTGTTGTATACATCTCTGCCTCAGGGGAACAATTCCTGGCGCAAGCCCAAGTTGGGAACAAGTTATTTCCCGCACTGAATACAGAACAAATGCTACCAAAGGGAAAGCATTACAGCTCCGTCCCTTCTGAGGAGTTTAAGGAACTGAACAGATGTGAGGAACTGTAAGCAAACTAATTAGACACAAACAAACCTGCCACTAAATCCGTCCCAAGCCTTCTAGACTGGGTGGGAGCCAGTTCTGCATGTTTGCAACCAGCAGCAGGTGGGCGTCTGAGCCACGGCAGGAGGCACCTCCAGTGCATGCCTGCAGCACCGGGCAGCCATTCACAGCCTGAACACAAGACTGTGAGTCAGAGAGTGCAGAGACCCCAGGAGCCAACCTGTTATCAGCAGGTGAGAGCTATGAGTCCTGACAGTACAGAGGCAGAAGTAATGCAGGTAGAAACACACCTGATCTGAAGACAGTGGCAGAAAAGCAGCTGTGCTGGAGGAGGACTGTTTTCTCAGTTATTTATTTTTGCTGTTCTGTCAATGTACCTAGAATACTCCCTCATTTCTATCAGTCTCACTCTATCTACCAAAGATGAAAAAGAACAGGATTCTTATGAAGAAAAATTCTTCTTAAGGAAACTGCTTCAGATCCTGCTCTTGGTCACCTGCGCTACTAAGGATTTGACTCACAGCAAGAAAAATCCTTCAATCCTGGTTCAATTCAAATGCCCTGCAACAGTAGAAGACAATATCCCTCTGAAAATCTCAGCAGCTCCTTCTAGAAGCAACACTGGGGCTTATGAAAGGCTTGCCAAGATGATTTTCTCAAGGAACTATTCAGAAGAAAGAAGCTGGATAGTCAGCTCTTAACAGTGCCGTTCAAGACTCCCCTAAAGCCAGCTCAGCTCTTAGGCAATGGCAGAGGACAGACCTATCAGATGCCCTCCAAGGTTATCTTCTGCTGTTTCATGGAGAAAACTCACTGACCACAAACAGATAAAGTCAAACTGTGAAGCTGGAAGAGGATGAGCTCCAAACCAGATACACGCTGCCCCGCAGTGCCCAAGAGCACACGTGCCAGATGCCTGCTGGAGATGAAGCCATGGCTGACATGGTGCTGCCTGAGCAAGACAGGATGAGACCTCCTCTTGGTGCACAACCCTGGGCTGCATCTGTTTCCAAAGGTGCTTTCCATGCAGACTGAGGGCTCAGCCCATGCCAGGGGCTCACGCACCTCATAAATAGGGCATCCCTTCGTTCCATAGAGAACTATGGAGCCTGGGAATAAGGAGCAATGAGGGAACCAAGGAAGAGATTCTGTTCTTCTTTTGTGCTTCTCCACACAGTCTCCTCTCATCTTCTAAAATGATGATTCTGAAATCCTCCTGCTGCCCTTTCATTTCTGTAAATAATCAATAGTTATCCAGCCATTCCAGCTCAGCAGATGCACTGAGAAATTGAAGTAAAAAACACACGCAGCACACTGCTAATCTCCCACTGTTTAACTTTCAGAAACACCTCGAGCAACTTTGTGCTCCTGGTTACCAAAACAGTAGTCAGAACATATTTTATAAGCATAAAAGAACAAACAGCCCCTGCCTGATTTCACAGGTCTGACCCACAGCCTGTGCAAATGGTCCCAGATGTGGGACAGTGAGAGGAAGCCATACTTCAACTGCCACCAAACAGTGACCCTGTCCTCAGGACCTGGATACGAGGCATTGCTGGCACTGCCAGAAAGGAAGGGGAGTGCAGGGCACTCGGGGGAAGGAACAGAAGAGCAGCAGCTGCAAAACAGAACTGAGGTTCCTCTGGAAGTGAGCTGCTCCTTCCCTTGTTTCATCAGCCCCTGAAGCCTTACTTTATGCAGAGTGAAGCACACCAAGCTCCTGTTCAGATCCCAACTGCCAGGAGCTGCAGGTACCCACTTTTCAGGGCAGTTCTGGCTTGCCAGCTACCTGCTTTCTGCTCCAGCAAGTGACACACATCGCTCGGTGCAACATGGCGTACAGCACAGAAGCAGTGAAAGGCCGGGACAGCATCACCCCAGGCCTGCATAAGGAACACATCTCCATGCCCAGAGGGACCAAGGGCTGCTTTCTGGGGCATAGTACGTCAGAATACATTTGCTATGGCAAATCACTTTAACCATAAACAAATCAGCAACAGAGAACGGCTGAGCAGCCAAGGCACAACCAGCTTTGGAGAAAGTAAGCTTCTAAGTGTTCAGACACAGGGCTGTGCCCAAAAATATACTTCTGTTACCAACCAAGAGAATAGTTGTTCACAATACTCCACTCTGAACTTGCTGAAGGCCTGAAACCTGCTCAGTTTGTTCTCTAGAGCTGCAGCGTTCCTACTGCAACGTCTGCTCCCGCCCTTAAGGCCAGCTGCCACTAAAAGGCATATCTGTGCCTGGACAAACAGAAAACCACTCATTTGTACTCTGCTGATACAGGGCTGCAAATAACTCATCCAAAGCTACAGGTAGATTTTTCTGTCCTCTGGAGCTTGCCAACTGAGATGCCTTACTTTCTTACACTTCCTAAGACAAGAAGCAATAAATAAATGAAATAAACCACACACATACACCCACACATTGCTGCCTTGCTTTGAGCATACTGGTCACATCAGAAGAGAGGACCCTCCTTCAGACAGGACCGTTCACACCGCAGCTATCCATCCTGTTTCTCACACCAACTCTAGGTTCATGTAGTTCCCAAAGATGAAAATGTGAAAATTTCTTAATTTCTATGCCCTACTTCTACATTCAGGTGGTATCTAATCTTTTTGTTTGTTTGTTTCCAACTGGTATTACATCCTTTCACTCACCTTAAGGCATCCTGGGTGTATTATTTCATTACAAATGGAGCATTCCATTAGCATGAGATTAAACTTGCTCTCCTCCTCTTCCACAGTGTCCTCTTTCCCAGCTTCTCCACACACCAGACATACAGCAGTATGAGGCAACACCGGCTGTTTACACATATCAGAAGGAAGTCTTGATCAGGGCACATAAGACACATGGGAACAGAAGAATTCAAAATGCATTTACAGTATTTTCATTCCAAAGAGAAGATAAACAGGGCTTAATTGTGCAAACTGCTGAAGGCTCCATCCCAGCAGATCAACAAAGGCGAGAAAAACTGGTAACAACTGGGGCTGGGTACCCAGAGCAAGCATCACAGGACATGTTCAGGGAATGAAAGTGCCCTTCCTGTAGTAGCATAAATCCATGGGGAATTGCAAGGATGAAAATGACTTCTTTTTTTTTTTTTCCAAGGTCTCTTTAATCTGTGAGCTGACAGACACTGGCACAAAAGTCACTTTACTACAGTACAATGGGAGGGGAAAGAAGCAACCTAGAACATCACTATTCACATCCACTAAGCTTCACAATCTAACAATTTGGCAGCTCCCCTGTTTTACAAGAAGGGCAGACAGATGTTATGGGACCCATCCAGCCCTCATGGCAAGCCTACAACAGGACTGAGAACAGACCTTTTGCCGACTGACAGTCTATTATAGGAGGCCCTGCTCCTAACCAGAGCAGTGCAAAAAGACACTTAAAGGAGGATTTGTCTTCCCAAAGTGTCACAACTGCAGTTATTTTCTGTCCTTTGCTGAGGGAGAAAGGGAATGGCAGCATCTCATATATCCATCACCTATGTCAAAGCACTGAATGCCAGTCTAATTAAAAAGCTACCTTAGTGATAATGGGGAAGATACTTCTAGTTTGACACAGTAAGGTACAAGTCTCATTACAAGAAATAAATGGAAGATCCTCACAAGAAGCTGACCATAATGTGAATTATACTGATAAGGTTGCAGCTCCTTAACTATCAAGTAGCCAGATGCACAGATGTGGCTTTTCCTGGCAAGAATCTCTCACTGAAGGAGTGAATAAAGTCTGCAAGTGAAACACTGCACACTGAATCAAATTCATGTAGCAACAATTCACCCTTCAGGAAGTTTCAGACAAAGTAACCATGCTAAGCCACCACAGAGCACAGTGTGCTGCCCAACTCCCAACATCAGACACAAGCTATGGCAATACTTTCTGCTTTCTCATGTCAGTACTTACCCACGCTCCATTTTAAGAGCATTCAGCAAATGATATTGAATTCCCAACCTTCCTCCACACACACAGTAGGAATCCCCAGGATTCCATTCCACTGGCAGGTAAAGCAGAACAAAGCCAAGGCATCCAGAGCTGGGACAGTTTTGTCCACTTGTTCCGTCCGATCTCCCACAAGATAACTATTTACAACTGCACACAAGGAACAAACATCCCAGCAACAGCACAATTAGTCTTGCTGGAAGCAAGGGTGTGTAGGGAATCTCTTTGTGCCCCAATTAGCTGTGTCCCACTGACAGACTGGAGCAGCAGCTCTGCTATTATAGCCTGGCCTCCCAGCAGAGCCCCCACATTCCCTTCAGACAGCCTCAAGTGTCCCAGGCACTCCTGTTTCCCTTCTTGATTCAACTAGTGATGCAGAGGAGTTTCCTGTTCTCTGAATGGCAGTACAGGCTCTCTTAAAGCTTTGGAGTTTAATGAAAGTCTGTGTCTAGTTAATATTGTCAATGTTATTAACCAGAGGAAAGCACAATCCCAGAACTGTGGAGATCATTACTTTCACAGAGCCTTGCTTTGGTGGCTTCTTTTAGCTGGAAGCTGTTGGATGTGTATCACAATATATTGTGATTACTAGTCAACATAATGAACAAGAGTAAAGACAACATGATTGCTCATAGAAATGTAAGGTACTGTACTGTACAACAGTTCAACTTGTTATTTTTCTATGCTTTTGCTGTTCTAAGAAAGTCTGCAACATTCCCACTGTTCCTTCAAGGGGGACTCACAAAGAACAGAGAGACCTCCTGAGCCCATGCAACAGTGGGACAAAAAATCAAAGTACCCTGGCTACTAAGTTCTGTGCTGCAAACACAACTCCTGGAAATAAAACTGCAGATATGAAGCAAAAAAGAAAAATATTTTTTCATAAGAAGAGAGAGGAAGATGAGAACCAAGTTCATCTCCTCCAAAAAGCTCAGCCTGCGTATGAAGATTCAAACACCTTCCTATGAAAGCTTCCTTCATCAGTCAGGACAAGGCAGCGTGCTGCAGCCCTAACGTAATCTCCCAACTAAAAAGGCAGCACGATTTCACTATTTCTTCCCCTGGAGAATAATAAATTCTTCATCCACGCTGTTCAATTCATGCCACACTCTAGGAAATCAAGTGTTCAAAGAAAAGACACTTGAGCTGCAAAAGCACTCTGTGGAAAGGTAGATATTCTATGTACTTTACTAAAAGATCCAGGAGAGCCAAATCCAATCCTCTATCAAGAGCACTGCATGGCTTGGCACAGGACATGGTGTGAGTAACCAGGAGTACCTACTGCAAACCCTAAGTGCTTACCAGTTTTTAAAGCCTGACCCAAGCCATTTACTGCCACCGTTTCAGCTTCTTCAGTAGAATTAAATAAAAAAATGTAAGTGAAAGGAACCGTAACAAGACTAAATTGAGAGAAATCAGCATAGTTTGCATATAGCATAGCATTTCAGTTACGAATACACAACATTCCTTTCTTTAAAAACAAACAAAAAACCAGCTCCAACAACACTACAAATAAGACCTTTCTGAAGAATTAAGGGAAAAGCTAATGTTAATTTTTTCCCCTTGCTTGAGACCACTATGGACAAAAAGCCTGAGGAGAAGCTCACTGAGAGTCAATACGAAAGCAATGATTCAGAACTTCATGGAAGACTAATCTGTCAATATGTGTTAAATACAAAGCTCTCTCTTATGACTCGAGAATCTTCTGAGCGATATATCACAGTAGCTCAGGAAACTGTCTGACTACCTGCTTGCCCTGTTCTGACGCTCAGCATCTCCCAGCAGCCCCATGCAGCCCCTGAGGGAGAAAGGATGCCGGGCTACATGGCTCTCTGGCACTTCTCCATCAAAGCCCTCACATATACGTAGGTAAATGGAAATGAATTGAAATTCACATCCCAGGTAGCCTGTGGCCACCAATGACAAAGTCTTGTAGGATGTCAGTCAAAGATTTCTCCATATCTTAAAGGAGTTAAGCAGCTAAGATGGTAAAGACTGTTGCAAGGTGTTGCAAGAATCTCAGAGGCCCAAACCAAAGAAGCCCCTTCTCCTTTTAATGAGAGCTTCACACTCTTCCCCTCCTCCTCCAAATCCCAGAATCTCAGAGTGAATGAGTGCCAATTTCTGGTTTACTGATTATAACCACATCAACCTTCCGTATTACTGAGAATGGAAGCCATGTAAGAACGTTTTAGGAGTGCTCTGGTTTGAAATTTTGGGATAAGTCAAAAGTGATGGGGAGGAGAGATCATCTGAACTGTAGGGGTGCAAATTACATTGTTTTACCCAACGCACTTCAGAAACTTCACAGTAAAGAGCTCTCAGTTCCACACCTTGTTACCAGATGCCAACACAAGAAAGAAATCTCCAGAAGAACTGTAGCAAGAGGTTTACTTACTGCGATACACTGCCTCATAATGCAGGACTGTTTCATCCTGCCAGGCCCCCCAAACTTCTTCATGTCTTTGCAGAAGTGACACTCGCCACACTCTGTCCGCAGGCACGCCTCGCACTTGCGGCATCGCGTCCTCCTCCGGCGCGCCCCGGCCGTGCTCCGGTTAGCTGCGAGCTTCACCGCAGAGGCAGCGCCCAGCTTCCCTTTGGGCCGTCCTACCGCCCTGTTCTGAAAGAGCCAGACACACGAGGTTAACTCACATCACACTTACCATCTAAACAACAAAAATTCCTTCGACGGGAGCTGCACGCATCTTAGATGTAAAAATGACAGATGTATCAAATATACACAGATGGCTAATGCCCAGCAGATGCATAAAGTCGTTCTTACAGCTAAGGAATTCCATTACCTTTTGAGGAAAAGATGCATTGTAAAAAGACTGAAATCAAGGCTCCAGTGAGAGATGCCAAACCTAACACAAGCCCAATTCAACAGGAGGACACTGACTATGCACGAGTCAACGCAGGACCAAGTCCCATGTGACACACTTGGCTTAGGTCAAAGATGTAATCTGTGCCATGGCTGAGCTCGGGCTGCGAGCTCCTAGGACTGTGCTCAGGTTAGCCACAAGCTTTGCTTTCCTCCTTCACAAATGGAAGAGCCTAAGGAGACAGCAAAAGTAATTATGAGGCTAGATATGGCAGGGCAATGTTCAGCAACAGTAGCTCAAGTCACAGCAACCTCCCTAATGAAAAGGGAAAGTATGAGCTACTGCCAAATGGCAAGGTAGGAAATAAAACACAAATACTACAAAAACCTTCCAAAATAGTTTCCCTCGTATCCAATACCAACAAGTGCTCCAAGCCAGAATACTAACTGATGCTGTGCAAAAAGGGCATCCCAGATCTGGAATTCAATGACTTTTACAGTAGAAATTAAAGGAACCCAACAAGATTTTAAATGATTAGGTTAACTGCAACAGATTCATTCTACTTATCTAATTTTCATGTTCTAATAAGAAATTCCCTGTTAAGCATAAGAACATATATCTCAAAGTAAAATATTCCTAACAAAGTCACTGTCTGAAGGTAATTACACACAGACTGGCTTGGCTCATCCTTTGCACCGACAGCTTTCGCTATAAAGATGACAAAAACAGGACCACAAAGCTCATCAGTGCTGGTACTGCCATACCCTTCTCACTTTCTGCACATCTCGGCACACACAGCACAATCTAAGCAGTTTCACTTTCTGTTTGTGCTGCATTCTGGGCGATCACTGAGGTGGGACGAGGTGGAAGGAGGTGGACCGTAGGAAGCCAGGCAGAATTTCCACTGCAGCTTTTAAAAGAGCCAGGAAAACATTCTACCTGCTGCTGTGAAGTGTTCTACTGTACACTAACCCTGCTCACTGTAACTGAGGTGGGAGAAAAAACTGCTCAGCTGCTGCTAATGTTACACAGATTTCTACAAGTTTTAATTGCACTCCTCCAGAACAAGCTGGATCCCGCTGTGCTGTGTGAACACACAGAGGTGTAGCTTCCCATCGGAAACTGCACCAGACACACAGATTTCAGATCAATTTCAGACACTCTAAAGAATAAATATTTGCCTTTTAGACCAACATCGCTGCCTCTCAAGGATAAAGTCAGCGCTGGCAGGACTGGCTTAGCACCTAGATAAGAGATAATTTCCTTCCTCAGCATGAATCACCCCTCCGCTGTCTCTATTAGAGCCTCCACTGGCAAAGGAAATGAGAAAAACGAACCAAAGGGAGTAAGTTAAACTGAAATACACACAACAACCCAGGCAGCTCCTCTTCATCAACGGCACGCAGACGACTCTGTGAGTCCTTGACTCCTTCCCACTAGGTTTAAACACAATTTTTTTTTAAAGCAACAAATACCACTTACAATGCCATCAGAATGGGCTTTTTCAAATGCATCTCTCTCAAGGAAAACTCAGACTCAGTACCCCCCCATAAGAAAGGCAATGCCTGGCTCTGCCACAGCACCAAGAGCCCAAAACTAGTTGTGAGGACTGCAACTTAAGCACCAGGTCAGTGGGAAGACACAAGTGGTAAAAAGGCTTTGCTTGAACGTGGAATTTGGGATTCCTGATTAAAACATAAAAATGAAATTAAAAAGCAGGAAGGCAAGGTATAAGAACAAGTCTGAAGCCAAAGTATAACTCAGATTTCCTTATAAACCACCACACAGCAGAAAGCAGACAGGCAGATCTCTGCCTCACTCTTTGTAACACACCTATCCAGCCCCTTTCATCGCCCATCAGGAAACACCAACAACTGTCCCAGCTGGGTCTGAGCAAACTGAGCAGCAGCCAGCTCAGCCAACCCGCCCTCAGCCCAGGATGTCCCAGCCAGCAAGGCTGGAGGGGCCTTGTAGGAATTCCCACTCGTATCCAGTTTCAAGGGGCTCTAACTTGGCCGCTTACAAATCTCACCAGCAGAAATCTGGCCTGTGGGTTGCTATCCCAGAAAGGGGCTGGGATTCAAGGGGAAGAAGGAGCCTCCAACACGACTTGGGGTTTATTTAGCACGTGGCAGACAGCCAGATGAATTCCAGGTCAATGCTAGGGAAGAGAAGCTGTGGGATTTCCAGCTCAGACCGTAGGTTTACAATCCAGCTGCCCTGGCAGGTAACCTGGTGAAGAGATCCCTGGTGGCTGCTTCCATTTCTGCACGGCAATGCAGGGCCCTCCCAGGACAATGCCACAGAACTGCCCTTTGAATAGCAGGCAATGGTAGAAACTCCCCAGGCTGGTTTACCACAGCAGCCAGAGAGCAGCAGCTGCCCAGCCACCAGATGTAATACACTCTGGGCTACAAAGCCGCCTATCAGCAATGAATTTGGGATTACCCTCTCACTCCTCAGATAGAGATGGGGATAGATTTGCAAACTGATCTTTCAGAAGCGCTGAGCTCCAAACTCACTGTGAACTGTGCTCCAGATGGACTACTGCTGGGGGAAGCAGACATCAGTGACTTGAGCCTTTGAACAAGGCTGTGTAGATGTGGGAGTAAGACCAGGTATCACAGTTTCAACTTATTTTGAACAAAAAGGAAATGCTGCCAGTTCTCTCTGCTTGCTTACAGGTACTTTCACACCCTCAGAGCAGTTGTGAGCATCTGCTCAGGACAAAGAGCAGGGTCAGGGGCAGCAGAGGCACTAACGGAAGCACAGAGCTTACTGCAAGAGAATCACAGCTTGGATGTTTATAGCAACATATTTCTGACCTTCACAGCTACAAAGAATAATTTGAAAGATCCCAGACTAGCAAAAAAAAGTAGCAGAAGAATCTTTGGAGACAACACTTGAAGAGCTATCGGCTGTTAAAAGCATCACTAATAGGTGCCGACGTTCTCCAACTACTGTCCCAGCACCAAGTGTCCCTGCTGGAACTTCACATAGATGAAGGTCTGCTGATATCAGGAGACAGTCCAGGATGCTCCAAGAGCACATCTGACAAACAGTACAGCCCTGAAATAAGCTCTTCTGCAAGTGGCCTTGGCCTGGGCACATCTCACTCCAGCAAGCCAATTGCTGTCAGCAGCACCATATCGCAGCTCCTGGAGAAATCCAGGGGCACACGAAGAGTCCATCTGAAGGACTGAGCAACAGCCAGTGCTGCAAGACCCCAAAGCACTTCACTTCCTAACCAAGAATGATCCCAACAGCTTATGTATCTGTTGTGTAATTCTCTCCAAGAAAAGACATCTTACAGCTGCAGTTTTCCTTGCTTCAAGGTGCCGTGCCACATTAGTACATCCTTTCCACCTGCAGGATGGGAATGATTTCCTGTTGTAACACATGGACAGATTCTCATTATGCTGATTTGGTGCAGTTTGACCAAATCCATGCAGCAATACCAACACTGAAAGAGATGAGGACCTGGAACTTCAGCAGTACTGGTCCTGTGCTTAGACCTTTTATGGCTCTGCATACCAACGCAACTGTATTAATGGCATTAGAATACATATATTTAATCACTGGCAATTTATTTTCTGACAATTGATAACCAAATCCCAGAAAAAAAAGTGATGTTAACCCACAATTCCTAACTGTTTTCCGCTAGAACACCACCTCGATAGTCTGGAATTGGATGCTACTGGGCACTGGAGAAATCCCCGAAGTGCCAGGGAAAAGGAATCCAGTTGATTATTTCTTCACCTCTCCACACCACATAAGAGGTGGCAGAAGCTTTTTTTGACTCAAATGAGGGAGAAGCACTGGAGGACGACGCTCCCTGCTCCCTAGACAAGCTCAGACCAGCCAACAATTCTTCAGCATGAAGCCCTTCAATCTCTTCAACGATTTACAGAAACCCTAGTAAGAGATGGAAAAAAAGAAAAGGATGATACAACTGCAGGAATTCAGTGGTGATGAGAAGGAAGCTAGTTTAAGGCAGCAAAAATCATGTGGATGTCAGTAACACTCTTAAAAGCTGTACAACTGAAGAGTGAAAGCCAACACCACAGATTTCATGTGTCTGGCTACAGCTATCTGCCCAAAAGAGATCTCCAGTTTCCCCTAGTGGCAACAGCCATGTCACCCACAAGTTCCTGCCATGCTGGAGGTGTCCCAGACCACCGGTAAGCAATAAGCAACAGGGCAGGGGAAGGCAGCACAACTCCTCTCTTTCCAGCCACCTGCAGACAGGACCAAGCTCCTCAAGATGTTTCCATCTCCTCTGATTCCTACCCACAGCCCTTCTTGTCCTCTCCTGTAGCTCCCAGGGACCTCCACTAGATCACCACACAGAGCTCCTCTGCTGAAGAAGGAGAGCCATTTCCCATACGTCAGTGGAAGAGTTTGTACCTTGCAGGTCTGTCTGCACATTAGTGACACTCAGTAGCTTTTCCGCCAACAGAGCTACGTTGTGATACAGGTGTGACAAAGCTGCACGTCAGCACTGATGCAAGTGCCCCCATTTATTTTTCCTCCACTAGTGAGGAGGTAGAAGTTAGGCCTGGAGGATGGAATAAGATTTATCAGCAAAAATATGCTTTTGTAGATAAGCTACATCCAAGTAGAAGCTGTTAAAAAAAATGACTCCAGTAAACTGTAGAGACTTGGGGCACCTCGCACAAACACAGCTTCTCTTCTTACTGCTGCTTGGGAGAAACTCCACCACTGCTGCCTAGGAACACTCTTCTCACCCTGTTTACACACACAGTTCCGCTGGAGGAACTGTCACTGCCACAAACCA